GTGCAACACGTGAAATGACCGATTTAATTGATATAAGCGTAACTTTTTACATTTTTGATGAAATGCTTTGAAACTTATAATATAAGGATATATTAGTGGCATAGACAATATGACATGGTCAAAATAGCAAGATCTGACGCGCATGCACGTGCGCTTCGCTCTGATTGGCTGAAACTAAAGTCTCTATATCTTTCTTGTTTTTCGACGAAATCTTATGAAATTTTGAACATAGCCATGCATTAAGATATCCTACAACATGGTATATAGCAATTATCATGAAAACACGTGCATGCACGTGCGCTGCAATCTGATTGGCTTAAACTTTAAATAGCTATAACTCCCTTGATTTTCAACCAAACAGGATGGGATTTGAAACATAGATAGATATAATGAACTTCTACAAGAAGGTATAGTCAACATGCACGTGCATACACGTGCGTGTACGTGCGCTGTAATCTGATTGGCTGAAACTTTAAACAGCTATAACTCCCTTGGTTTTCAACCAAACGGGGTGGGATTTAGAACATAGATAGATGTAATGGACTTCTACGAGAAGATTTGGTCACCATGCTCATGTATGCACGTGCGTGAAATGAGTTAAATCAAAAATACACTTGAATGAGCGTAGTTTTTAATACTTTTGGATTAAATACTTTAATATTTAGTATATTTAAATATATAGATTAAGTAGACAAGATGATATGGTCATTCACATGTGCACACGTGCAATGCTAAAATTTGAATGAACTTGGCGTTGTTAAAGTCTCAAATGCATAGATTTTGTCCTATTTAATGAAGTTTACAGGGAATATGGCACCAAAAGGGAGTTGGGGAGCGTTTGGGGAACATCTGTAACGGTCCCCGTTACAACTAGCACTAGTTTTAATTGGTAATGATGCAAATACATGTATGTAAACAGCTTAAAGACAATTTACAATGCACAGATTTGCCTTATTTTTTAACCAAATTATTTTATACAAATTTGTTTACTATATTTTACTTGAAAAAGACGTTAATGGTAATCTAACAATTAAGCTCTGTAATAAACGTGATGATTTTAACTATACAATCGTCAATTTCCCTTTCTTATGCATCAATATACCTTCATCACCTGCATACGGAGTTTATATACTAGTATCTCAGTTGATTCGATACGAAAGAGCATGCTCCACGTATGCACACTTTCTAAAACGAGGTAAATTATGGACAACCAAATTGATAAAATAAGAATATCAACAGTCTCGTTTAAAGTCATCTTTTCATAAGTTCTTTAACCGATTCAGTGACCTTGTCATCAAATACAATTTATCATTGAGTCGGATGCTGACTGACGTTTTTCATACTAATTGTCAGTCCATTATTTATACATATATAGTAATTATATACTGCCCCATGGCACCTGATCCCACCTCTTATGTTTTGAGGTCCGTGTTTGCTCTTCTCCTATTTTGTATTATTTTATGGACTTTTGGATCTTGAATACTGTTCGTTATCTCCATGTGTTTCATCTTATATCTGCTTATTTTATACATGTTTATCAAAATCTTTTATCGATGTTGAAATTGCATGTTGCGACTTATTGGGAATTCAAATACACCAACGCTCAAACCAGACAGATTTATATAAGTTTCACCCACTCTCTCATCGAATTACATTGAAGTAGATCATTAATTACACTCACGTTGAGTTAATAATGAAATGGGAAAATGGCAGACTCTCCCATTGTGTATCGTAGACACACTAATAATGTAAAATAATACTATTAATGGAATTCTTTCCACAGATTGTATGATACTTCTTTTATTTGTGGATCGTTATACGACATAGGAATAAACATAGTGAAAGTTTTCATCGGGACATCAATTAACTATGTTTATTAATTGATTATTATTTCGTTGTACCTCAGACCTTATGAATTTAAACAAAATACACTTTTGTTTCAGTAGATTTTTCGAGCTTGGTATGAATAGAGAAAACAATTTATGCAATGGAATGTTTATCCAATGTACATAGTAATGTTCTAGGTAATTGTTAACAAATATACCCTGTATTACAATGATAGAATATAAAGGTTACAACAAGTAGTGACGAACCATTCCTTCAACATATTTTTCAACATGTGACTATTCTAACAACATTTTATATAAAGTTCTTAATGCACTGTAACTCCATGTACTAAACATGGTATGTTAAATAAAAATTTTGTTCAAATTGCTGTAAAAGCATTACATTTTCAGTTAGACTATATACAATAAACATATGTTGTAAATGTTGCCAAATTCTCTGAGGATTTAATGAAATGTTTATTTATGGAGTTTTGAGTTGGTTTACCGAATGCGTTTCACAGAATTATGGAGCACATGAATAATTTTTTGAAATTCTATGAAAGCATACCGAGTATATGTGTATTAATTCTATTTGGTAAAACACTTATATCTCCTTATGAATTCGTATGTTTGTATTTATCAAATTTCAGGGTATAAATGCATGCATTTTTAAAGTATTTTCTCTTTCTTCAGATCGGTTTTAAATTTGCAGAATCTCTTTCTTTTTATTTCATCAGACTTTGGTCTTGAATTTGAAGACACTATCCTAACATTGTGCATTTATAAGCTTTTTCACTTCAGTATTTCCCTTTCATGCTGTTAACCTTAACCTCATTCACTAAATGTATGGAGAGAATTTAAAAAATGAAAATATCGACATCAAAGGGAGGCGATCATTGATCGTGGAACAGCATTCGCATAATGATAAAACTTTATCAAACAAGGCAAGCACTGAGGCTTCAAGGTCTTATCTTGGCATAGTTTGCTAATTTTTTTTCTTATTTTCTTTTTGCTGTTTAGGCTTAAGTTATTTTTGTTAGACGTGTTAGACATTTTTTTTATTCTGGTAAAAGAAAACTGAGGTTTAAAAGTCACGATTGAATTCAAAATAATACACAGCATTTTCTTTATTTACATTTGTCCCTGTGATGAAATGAATGAAAGAAACGAATGAAAATCAATTTTCGAATAAATAAAATCGATAAAAGTCGGATACAAGTACTAAATAGTGCCTCATTGCTCCCTGTCGAAGTCATTATCTTTATCATTTATAACAGAATTAAGATTATACATTGAAAATGTTCTCATAGTTAGAAATGACCCTTGTAAACAGGTACTACAAGTCTTGAAGGTGTACATTTATGTTTCTTATTAATGCTGTCAACCTTACGGATAAGACAGGAACTGATCGATGTCCTCTCTTCTTTTTAAGACAAAGCTCTGCCAGAGTTCAGTCCCGTCCACTTCATTGCATTGATCTCACTGTCCGTCGAATAGTCCTGTCCTCATCCTATTTAATCAATTTCATAAACTGCAGGCCCAAGTTAGGAAAAGTCACGCAAATTAAAGTTTCAAAATAATACATGTCCATCTGTCCGTCTTATTGTACGTCTGTCTGTCTGTCTGTCTGAAATGTAGACGAGATTTTGTCCGGACCATTACTCAGAAACTATTGGAAGGATTTGTCTGAAAATTTGTACAAATATTATTCACCATATGAAGTTGTGCACCTGATATTTTCATCTTGATACGATTATTATTTTGAATTTTACAGGTGTTTTTTCATTTTTATTTTGTGGTTTTGTCCGGACCGTTTCTCAGAAACTATTGCAAGGATTAATCTGAAAATTTGTACACTTATCGTTCACCGTATGAAGGTGTGCAGTTGGAGTTTTCAACTCTTTCTGTTCATTTTTTTGCATTTTACAGGTTTTATTTTTTATTTTTATTGACTTGTTCATTTTGGGCTCATGTATAAGGTTTGAGACATAGAATCTAGAATATCTGTACAAAAATACTACAGCTTAAAACTACTCATATAAACTTAAAAAAAAGAAACATTTAAAAACAGTTTTTACATTGCATAGAAGATAATGTAATTTTATTTATCTCTTGGGAATAATGACTGGACATGCATCCAGTTAAAGATAAATTAATGAGTTTGGTGTGGGAAGTTGAACATTAAGGCATCTCATTATCAACCATGTGTAATCTCCTGGGAATCAGGCACAAGAACTAAAGATCTCTCTTCTCTTATTCTCTTAATTGTAATTTATTGTCTGTCAAAGCACTTCATTACTGGATGACCAGCTCTTTATTTTCAAATGAATTTGATATAAAGTTATCAAGATTAATTTGATTTTGTATATGATTTTTTTTCAACAATCAGTTTGCAGAGTGACATAAACACATATTTGCAATGTATTTTTTTAATGCAGAAATAAAAAAAATAAATAAAAAAAAAAAAAAAATAATGTTACAATGGAATTACAATGTATTAGTATTGATGTTTCATTTGGTTGCACCTTTGTTTCATTCATTAAGAAACATGATGAGCAATTATATTTCACTGCAGATTTTTGTAAGTAAATTGTGAACACCTCTAGATCCATAAAGTATTTTTGAATTGGCACTTTCTCTGAAAAACCCAGCGGGGGGTATTTGTCCCTATTGGACAGTTCTAGTTTGATTTTAAGAAATTAGTTTTATTTGGATTAATATTATTCCAATTAATCAAGTCTAGACACTTTAAACGCGTATACATTAATTAATATCATATCCTGGGTTACTTCGAAGACAAATTAAGAAATATTGCCAATGCTTACTGTGTATTAGATACAAAGTTTCTCTTATTACTGATAAAGTATTTCTTGATTAGCAAGAATTTGAAATATCATAATTTTTTCAAATATTACAATTTCGCATGTGGGAAATGCTTAAGGAACAGGTACTTCTCAGGATTGAATTAAAGTCTTGCCATAAATGATGGCTGTTTCATAATCACGAAGGTTCCTATCTGCTCAAGTTCTGATTCTGGCGTGTTTGATCTTCGTTAAGAAGAGAATCGATCGATTATAATGAAATTCTCCTTGTTGCTGCACTTCTGTTATCCCGCTAATCGACTCCCATTACTCTGTAAATGAAACGCTCAATACACAAACTTAACTACCATGGTGATCTCCTCATTGCGCATGCGCCGTCGAGGAGGAAATTGGACCATATTTTTAAAACTCTATACCTGTTGTTGTTAATATCGTCTGTTTTTGTAAAAGAATGATTCAGAAAATGTGATTTCTGAAGAGGAATAGCCATTAAACCTCATCCGTCCATTATGAAATGAATGAATTGATTCAGATTGTGCTAAATGGATAAGGATTAGCGGTCTTTTTAATCGTCATAGAGTGATGCCTTCACCACTCGTTATCCTCGCGTCTTTGTCTGTGGTGGTCGGGATTCTCGGCAGCATTTTTATCTTATTAGCCATATCTGTGGACTCCTGGGAGGAGATCAACTTTTCTATGACTGAAACCAACTCGTCTTCACTGACCATCACACCAGCAACGTCACGATCTGACGTCACTGTATACCATAATATCAACACCGACACCTACTATTTTATGTATTATGAATACGGAGGGCCTTGGAAATTATGTGACCTACTTTCAGGTAAGGAATGACGAGGAATATTCACAGACAGTTTTGTTGTCCATTATGTGTTTTCAGTGAACTGTAGCATTCCATTAAATTGATAATCGATATTGGAGATACCATTTGTCTTCACTTAGAAACATTTTATCGCATGTTACCCTATTGATTGTCATATTTACAGATCAAAGGTCCTCTTTTTCATTAAATCAAAGTGTTCGTGGCAGTCCAGCAAGATACAGCTAGTGTTATCAAGTATATTTAATGATGGTACAAAATAGAATCATCATCTTATTTGTACAGCATCAAATTATCATGGACTAGTAGTGTCCATGAGGTGACCTCAGTGTTTCTTGGAAGAATTGTTGCCATTTTCTAATACATTGTATATTTTTTTCATAAAAAAAACTTCATATTTGTAAAAGAGTAGATTGATTTCAGATCCCATTGAGTTATCTTAGACCGACACAGTTTAGGATGACGTACAAGTGTAGTTGGTTCAAATATCCTTCTCTTTTAAATACTTTAGAGTTCTGAAATTATCACATATCATCTATCTATATTCCTTACTTTACTTTAGAACTTGCTTTTACAATGTCAGTGTCAAACCATATGTAATCTGAATGAAGGATATGGAGATAACGAACAGTATTCAATATCAAAGTCCATAAAAAAATACAAAATAGAGCAGAGCAAACACGGACCTCCTAATCTTCAGAGGTGGAGAAGCTGAAGAAGAGTTCAAATGATAACGATTTCTTATTTTATATTTTAGACGAGGCTCGTGCTAAAATAACGACCTTGGGTGGTGAATTCAGAGATAGGTGCTATAACTTTGTGTCTGAATACGACGAAGAGTCATCAACGCTTCAGAGTGATGGAAAATCTATTGCCAGTAAGTCATTCTGATTTACTAAAGTGATATATTAATTACCAATTTATATCAAGAGTCTACTAAATGACAAGCAGAGAATACAGAGAGTATATATAAGAATTACGATCTAGACAGCACCTTTCAGTCATACTTGCAGTAAATAATAATTTCAATAACAAATTAATAATTACTTTAATGACGGTGGAAATTAGGAATCATTTACATAAAAAGAAGTCCAGTGGTAAGGTATTCAATTCTTCTTCACTGCTTTGCTTCAAACTTGAGACGAAAACATGGGTAGTGACTGTTCCTTCGCCAAGCTTCCTGCTTTAGATGTAAACGTAACTGTTTTTGAATAATTCCTTTAGAATATATTTCACGGTAGGTGCTGGCACAATCAAGAACTCTCACTTTGCAACAGCCTTGAGTGTGAGTATAGGTCTAAATTTTAGGCCCATCATCAGCATACGCTGACGTCACTTTATGAGTGAAAATTCTCAAATCTGATTATGAAACATTTAATCAAACAAAAACTGAGAGTGAAGTAGTAAAGGAATCATTGGCTGTTTTATTCGAGAAAAATTTGTTCAGACAAAAAATTCTCTTCACTTATTTCATTCGTTAAAAGACTGGATTTTGCAGAAATCAAGTAAAATCAAGCCAGGGTTCATAAAAAATTATTTTTATACCCTGGTATGAGATGGCAAGATTTTTGAGAAAAAAGGAATGATGATACCATATGTAAAAAATGTCAGCCTCGAGATGTCTAAATGAACCACAGAACTCAATTACAAAAGATATGTTATAGTCGGTGCACAAATTCCATGACATATTGATGATTTTAAAGCCCATTGCAAAAACAAGTCGATGACGAGAACACCAAGTTAATTTTTTTCCTTGATTTGTAAATGGAATGTTTAATTTGCAAAGATCAGTGTACTTGATGATGTTGATCCTTGTTTATTTAGTTCTTCAAATTGTATTCCAGGACTGCAGAACTCGGGGGCATCGTGCTTCATTGTCTGTATCATTGACCTAGTGGCAGCCTTGGGAGTCGGTGTCATTGCTCTAATCCATAAACACGTTACAGCGTGCATGGTCACTGGGGTTCTCTACTGTATGGCAAGTTAGTATTTAGTGGCCCAAGACTACCCTCGTCAGGCTTTTATATGATCCATCACGCACATGATTTAGTAGGTCTCAGTATAGTTCATGAAGTGATGTGATAGGACAAAGCAAAGTAAAAGCTTCTTATCTAGTAACAATTACTAGTATTTTATAACTCTCTCTCTCTCTCTCTCTCTCTCTCTCTCTCTCTCTCTCTCTCTCTCTCTCTCTCTCTCTCTCTCTTATGTGAACTTTCTAACTCGATTATACTGTATATCCTTGTTCTTCAGGTTTATTTACTGTCTTTGGACTGGCAATTTTCCATGTAAAGCATCATTATGAACTGTATTACTGCCAGTCGTTGTATCCCATACCAAAAGATTCCTGTGCGTTCCGGACTCTGGCAATTTTGTGGGCGGTGCCCGTGGCGTGGGTGGGTGTGGTCGTGTGCTGTGCTGCCAGTGTTCTTTGGTTGTTCCTAACACGTGCTCTGAGAGTCATCAAAGCAAAAACGATGATCTGATGTTTTCGATCAATTTTTACAATTATTGCTATTTTTGTAAATAATATACAAATTTGTTTTTGTTATGACGCAATAAAAGTATTTGATGAAATTAGCTTAAGTGTTATAATGGTTCATCAATTCAGTATATATACTCAATAGTCTGGGAATTTTTTATCTGTATTGCGCGGTACTTTTAGTTCAACTTGTAAAAATATGGCCTAAAATGTAAATTGTTCCAAAGTAGTGTCGATGAAAAACATTTCACTTGACTCATTGTTTTAACAGCCAAGTTTCCAATAATCTTTTAAATATTTGATGACTTTCCTACTTGTAAATAAAGCCACCCCGTAAGGAATTTACTTCAGGCTAATTTAGTCGAGCAGTCATTCATGTTGAATACACAATATTTTTTGTCGTAAATATATTCTCTGTGAGAGTTGGTTGGGTAAAAGACAGTCTCCAGGAATGGGATAGGACATTCTTCTGAAGTATTTGATAAAAGGAATTAAAAATTCGATTTTCTAAATAAAAAAATAGCATTTAATCTTGAGGATGCATCTGTTTAGCTAATTGACACATTTTAGAGTCAAATGACATTAATCAATAATGTCTTTTGTATTTACTGCTGTAGTAAAGGTAAGTTAAATTGAAAACATCTTCTCAAATTTTCACACATTGGTGTAAAATCGATTTCGATTTTTTTTATTTTAAAAGGTTGACTCAATCTACCGTAACGGTTTTAATAATTTTTCTCTCTAAAATGATGTCAAACAAATATCAATGTTTATAAAACATTAATCTCCTGCAAAAAATTCCACGTATGAGCAATTCATGAAACATACGGAAATAACGAACAGTATTCAAGATCAAAAGTCCATAAAACAATACAAAATGGGAGCAGAGCAAACAAGGACCTCCTAAACATCAAAGGTGGGATCAGGTGCCATGAAGGAGTGAGCATCGCTGCTGACCGGTCACACCCGCCGTGTGCTCCTTGTCATGATCGGGAATTTGAAAAATCCGTCGTCAATTCAGTGTATTGACTCAATGATAAATTGGATTGGCTGACAAAGTCATTATATCGACCGTAGAACTATGATGAATTTAAACGAAACTGCTGATATTCATGTTTCATCAATTAATTTGTCGTTTTAGAAATTGTTCATACATAGAACAGGCTCTTGTGTATCGAATCAACTGAGATACATAAACTCCGTATGCAGGTGATTTAGGTATATTGCTGCATAAGTTACTAAAGGGAAGTTAACGATAGAAAAATTAAAAGTCATCACGTTTATCATTAGAGCTTAGTTGTTGGATTACCATTAACGTCTTTTTCAAGTACAATATCCGAATATGAAACAGATTTGTCAGACTCTGTAGTATCTATTATTTTAAACTCACCAGGATAAATCATATCGACATAAGAATGGAAATTACAATTGTTGATTACCAATTACGTCTTCGATATACCTAAATGTCGAGTTGAAGGCCACATCAAGTGTTTTCTTCTTTTCAAGCATAAGATTTTGCATAAATTATGCTTCATATGAATACAAAAATAGGTTTGCTAATAACGGGGCGCAATTGGTACCCATGGGAATTCCAATAAATCGTTGGAAGACATGGTCTCAAAAAACTATATAGATACTGTCAATCAGAAACTCAAGCTTTTTGATATCGACTTTAGAGTACTGCTGTGTACAATCAGAATGTTTATTAACAAAATAATTTTGTAAATGGTCAATGACAAGGTAAGTAAATTTACGAGTTCCATTTTTATTGAAAAGGCAGCTGTCAATGATATCAAAAAGCCTGGGGCCCGTTTTACAAAAGAACTTACGACTTAAGACCAAATTTAATTCTTCATATAACTTTTTAATAAACTTTATATCGAAAGTTATTTTAAACTTCTTAAAAGGAATGTAGTAAGATATTTTTACACAAACAATTTCAAAGAGAATTATTAATTTTGCAAAATTTTACAATCATCTGAAGTTTTGGGTCTTAGTCGTAAGTTCTTTTGTAAAACGGGCCCCTGGACTTTTATTTATCGTGGGGAATGCTTGTGTATAAAATCGAAAAGTCGTACGTTTTTTAGCTGTTGATTTTGGTAAAATCTTGTGATTTCAAATTGTCCAAAAGTTCCTGGAATATTCAAGTATCTGCATCTGATTTACACCACTTCTTGAATGTATTGTTGCATAGTACTCTTGAAGTTTCTCCTTCACTACTGTTAATATCTTCGTGAGGAGTAAAGAAAGAGGCTTGGTTGAACATTTACTGGAACCCGCTATGTATCTTTGTGTGTAAGGATTCTTATGAAGTTTAGGAATCCAATATAGATATGGTAGTTAAAAATCATTTTGGTCCTTTGTGATATATTAAAAATATTCAAAACTGACATATGACATTTTTAAGAATTTCCTCCATAGAAAGGGAACTATGAGTATAAGCTGGATTACCGCTTGTAGAATTAAATCCAAGTTCTTCTAAAATACAATTTATGTAATGAGCCTTTAGTTACAAACAAAGACAATGTTGTTACCTGCTTTGTCAGCAGGGACCAGTACGTACTGATCATGTAATCTATCTAGTTCTTTTTTCACTTCTGGGTTATTGAACACTGATGGATAGATGGTCATCTAATTATTTACTTATGAAGTTTAGTTGATTGAATTGAATTGCACTGTTGGACAACAGGCATAAAATGTTTCTTTATAAATGAGTAGTGTTCATGATACATGCATTAAAATTGTGAATTATATATTTTTTGGTCATTTTAGTATATAAATATGATTGATCAATAATGACTAAGAAACATGGAGATAACAAACCGTAATCAAGCCCAGACGTTCATATAAACAATACACTTCAGGAGCAGAGCGAACACGGCCTCTACAGAAATAGAGACGGGGTAAGGTGCCATGGGGAAAAAAAACATCCTCTGTCGTCTGGTCACGCCAGCCGTGTGATCCTAGCTCGTCTTGATCGGACAAACGCTTTTACAAATCCTTTGACAATTCAATGTGTAATTTTTTGATAATAGCCTAACAATATTCGACTTAATGAAAGATTGTATTTGCTGACAATATCATTATATCGACTATAGTACTTGCGAAATGATGACAAACTACTAGTATACAATGTTGTTATGCATACCTCGGTTTAGAAATTATTCGTAGGTAGAGCAAGCTTTTGTGTATTAAATCACCCGCGGGGAAAATAAACCTCAAGCGCAGGTGATAATAGTATATATATTGCCTTATTATTAAGTGAAATTGACGATGGAAAAGTTAAAATCATTACGTTTTGTTGTGAGTTTACCTTTAAAGTTTTTTTTTTTCTGGTGAAATATCCAAACATGAATCATATGTGTCATATTCTGTGTATTATCTTTTATTTCAAGTTCACTGGGATCTATCGAGTCCAGTTATGAGTTGATGCTACTATTGGTAAAAGATAATACTTCGCTGATATATCTAAGTGTCGAGTTGAAGGCCACAACAAGTGTTTTCTTCTTTTGTGTAAGGTTTTGAATAAATTCTGCTATATATGACTACTAAATATGTCTGCAAATAATAGGGCCAAATATTTTGATAGGTTTTTTGTAAGATCTTATCTTGAGAAAATACATAAATATTTTCAAAAAGAAACTCAGGCATCTTTTTAATATCAACTTCAAAGTATTTTTGTGTACAATCAGAGTTTTTTTTTAACAAAATAATTTTGTTAATACCAATGACAATAAAATATGAGTTCCAATTTTATCTAAAAGCAGCCGTCCATTTAAAAAAAAAGGACTTTAATTTATCGAGAGAAGGGTTTTTATAAAGTGTTGATAGTTGGTATGTTTTAATGGTAATGTTAACTAAAGTTAATGTTATCTCCGCATCGAAGGGATGTGTTTGTTGTATTTCTGTCTGTGTTTCTGACCGTAACAATTCTTGAACTTACTAGAAGTTTAATTTTATCTCTTATTGAATAAACCAAAAATCAGGAATTAACTTTAAATGTAAATAATGAGTAGGGCAATACCTCATCTATAGGTAGTTAACTTTATATACATGTAAACTCAGTATCCCTGCTTGAAAAGTGGGATGTAGTGTACAACCCCAGTCACATTTCCAAAAACGATCAACCGCCGACGGTTTTTGAAGCAAAAATTGGATTCTTCGGGTGAAGAACTTTTTTTCCATGAAGCGATTCTGTAAAATGTGTTTAACCCCAAAACAAATGTGTCTTTCGTGTTTCTAAAACTTCAACCCATATTGTTCACCATCACATCACCTCGACCCCCTGAAGATAGAAGATGTATACTCTCAGTGATATATATGACTCATATAATGTTATTTATTTCGAATATATTTTTGACTCGTGAACATATAAAAAAAGTTTACATTCTTTGTAATAATTATAAGGTGGCTAACTGAGAGAGGTTCATCGGGAACACTGTTAGTTAGAACAAAAGCATGAACAGGAACTGATCGGTTATTTTATAACTCTTCAAACAGCCGTCAAATCTAAAAGTCTAAAAGTACACCTACCACAATACTTTAACCATTAAAAAATATTGTGTAATTTCACAAAACAATTAGCGCATGAGACGTTTTGTCGAAATAACGTTAACTCATTCTTTCATAAACAATTCAAATAATTTTTTTTTCAAACCAAAATCCTCAAGGCACTGATCAAAATTTTGAATATGCTTCGATAATATACAATTTTTTTAGCCTATTCAATTTCATTTTTTAAATACAACTGAAAAAATGATAATATCGAAATGAAAACACAATCCAACCAAAAACGACCAGCGGCCGACGGTTTTTGAAGCAAAAATTGGATTCTTCGGGTGACAGTCGTCAGTTCATTGGCCGTTGTCTTGGCCGATTTTGAAACTTTTTTTTGTCGGCCGAGCAATTTTGTGTCCATCGGTCCAAGTTATAATTTTCTATGCGTCGGTGGCCGATTCCTTCAATTGAAGTTATCCGTCGACCAACCTTCGATCATCGTCCGACTATCGGTGGTCAGTTTATAAAGTCGGTTGTCCGTCGTTGGACAATAAGGGTGTTTAAATTTTCGGCCGACGCTTAAAATCAAACTGTAGCTCAGACCTCGATGATCGGACGACGATTGGCCGACTTGTGAATATTTAACCTAGTAAAGTATAAGTCACATTATCCAACGATGGGGTATACGATGAGAAACCGATGCGTTTTTTGATGAAAATGGCGTGGTTGCCTTCCGGGCACCACTAGTGATCGGACGGTGACTGATTCTCTTTTTGCGAATCGGTGGGGTCATCGGTAGGAAATAATTCGTAGTTAAAATTCAGCGATGTCTCCAACGAGGCCTCGCATCGCTCCTCATCGGCAACCCATCATTAACACATCTTTCAAGGATCGGCCGATGTATGGCGAGCATCATCTAATATCCTTTAAATCTGAGGTCATCGGGGAGTTTAGTGGTGTTCAACAGATAACGACCGGTCATCAGTCAATGTTCGACCAAACATTGGCCCGTAGTCGACCGATGTACGAACGATGTTCACCAATGTATGAGCGATGTAATATACATCGGCCGATTATCCTTGAACATCGTTTTATGATTAGCAATGCATCGCTGGGCCTTTGTAAGTCCGGCCGGCAACCACGCCATTTTTCTCATAAAACGCATTGGTTGCCCATCGTATGCACATCGCTGGATAATGTGACTGATACTTTTAGGACTACTAGGCCGATGTGAACCGATGTTGGGGCATCGTTAACACCACGGATTACTACCGATTACCACCGGTCTACGGCTACCGGCCGGGAAATGTGACCTAGGCATAAGGATATTAACACAAACAAAATTTTGATGCATGGATTGATATAATTTTTTTGAACGGAAATAACATGAATAATTAATCCGTAAGATATAAAGAAATCTTAAGTATTATTTCTGCTTAGATATGCACCATTTGTCATTTTTATGCAATTCCATACAAAATTTTGCACACATTTTCAACTTTGCCTTGCAAACATTACTCACGTCACCTATCTGAATATAGATCTATGAAAAAATATTGCTGAATTCTAAAGAAAAAAGATTTTTTATGTTATTTGTCCAAGTCATCGGTGTCCCTAGGAATTAATGTGACTGCTCCGTGTCGCCCGATACTGTATCGGCCGATCATGTTCTTTCAGCCGACAAGACCAGAAAAATTTCGTCGCCCGACCATCGGCTTAAATGTGACCTAGGCTTAAAGTGATGGGAATGTCCGTCCTTTTGTCTGTGCGTCCGTAACAATTCGTGTAGACATTCCTTCTTTGCATCTCCTCTTACACAGCTGAAAGAAAAGTGAAGATAAAGAACTGTATTATACGGAAGCGTATTAGTGCCACTTGCACACTTTACTTTTTTTTTATTTCGACACTTTAATCTGTAAATTTTACACTTTAAAGTGTAAATTTTACACTTTAATCTGTAAAATTTACACTTTAATCTGTAAAATTTACACTTTAATCTGTAAATTTTACACTTTAAAGTGTAAATTTTACACATTAATCTGTAAATTTTACACTTTAAAGTGTAAATTTTACACATTAATCTGTAAAATTTACACTTCAGTCTGTAAATTTTACACTTTAATCTGTAAATTTTACACTTTAATCTGTAAATTTTACACTTTAATCTATAAATTTACACTTTATTTGTTTATTCACATAGTCAATTTAGCATCTTCACACATCCTTAGTAACACATTTTTAAGCCAACAGACCATGTTTCATGCATGATAAAATTTAATTCTGATGTTTTATATTAAAGTAAAACTTTTCTTTGAATATAAAGTGAAGAGCATACATGCACATATTCCCGATCACAGGTGCTTGAGGACCCCCCCCCCCCACCCCGATATAGATTCCAGGGCCTGTTAGACTATTTTCACATAAATAATATATGGATGACACAATTGTGATATAATCTATAAATCCTATCAATTCAGAAAATTTGCTTAAACTAACATTTTATTGGCTTACAAATGTGTTACTGAGGATGTGTGAAGATGCTAAATTGACTATGTGAATACACAAATAAAGTGTAAATTTTACAGATTAAAGTGTAAAATTTACAGATTAAAGTGTATAATTTACAGATTAAAGTGTAAATTTTACAGATTAATGTGTAAAATTTACACTTTAAAGTGTAAAATTTACAGATTAAAGTGTAAAATTTACAGATTAAAGTGTAAATTTTACAGATTAATGTGTAAAATTTACAAGTTAAAGTGTAAAATTTACAGATTAAAGTGTAAAATTTACAGATTAAAGTGTATATTTTACAGATTAATGTGTAAAATTTACAGATTAAAGTGTAAATTTTACAGATAAATCTGTATAATTTACAGATTAAAGTGTAAAATTAACAGATTAAAGTGTAAAATTTACACTTTAAAATGTAAAATTTACAGATTAAAGTGTAATATTTACAGATTAAAGTGTAAATTTTACTGATTAATGTGTAAAATTTACAGATTAAAGTGTAAATTTTACAGATTAATCTGTATAATTTACAGATTAAAGTGTAAAATTTACAGATTGAAGTGTAAATTTTACAGATTAATGTGTAAAATTTACAGATTAAAGTGTAAAATTTACAGATTAAAGTGTAAAATTTACACTTTAAAGTGTACAATTTACACTTTAATCTGTAAATTTTACACTTTAATCTGTAAATTTTACATTTTAAAGTAAAATTTACAGATTAAAGTGTATATTTTACAGATTAATGTGTAAAATTTACAGATTAAAGTGTAAATTTTACAGATAAATCTGTATAATTTACAGACTAAAGTGTTAATTTTACAGATTAATGTGTAAAATTTACAGATTAAAGTGTAAAATTTACAGATTAAAGTGTAAATTTTACAGATTAATGTGTAAAATTTACACTTTAAAGTGTACAATTTACAGATTAAAGTGTAAAATTTACAGATTAAAGTGTAAATTTTACAGATTAATGTGTAAAATTTACACTTTAAAGTGTAAAATTTCCAGATTAAAGTGTAAAATTTACAGATTAAAGTGTCGAAATTAAAAAAAAGTAAAGTGTGCAAGTGGCACTAATACGCTTCCGTAGTATTAAGCTTAGAAGTATTGAATTTATACAACTTGGGGGAAGAGAAAATAAGGTCCTCTAAATATATCAGAGGTGGGTTCATGTGCCATAGAGGAGAAAGCATTCCCTGTCTACCTATCACACACGCAATGTTCTCCCTAACATGATCAGACAAATAAGAAAATCCGTGCATAATTCAGTGTGTAAGTAATGACCTTATAATAATAAACTAGCATGAAAAAAAAAATTTAGTATTTAACTTTCTGAAAGACAGTATTTGCTGACAATGACATTGTATCGACCATAGAACTTGCAAAATATTGACTGTAAGCAAGTTTGTTGATATCCTTCATTCCTCATCTTTAATTTGTTTGTCAAAGGGTTGCCTCGTTTTCAAAATTGTTCATATGTTTAACATGTTTGCGGGATTATCGAATCAACGTACATGCGATAAAAATTAATATGGTTAATTGATAAAAAGTCTATGTTTATTAATGTTGAGTTGAAGGCCACGAAAAGAGTTCTTTTTCATGAAGATGTTATTTATATAAAGTCTGTTTTATAGGTATACAAAAACAATAGATTTTCTAACAACGGGACGCACTTATATAGTTACAATAGGAATTCAAACAGATTATTGGAAGACTCGATCTTCAAAAACTTAATATTGGAAAAAGATATTCGAAACACAAGCATCGTTTTAATTACATCTATGTTAACTTCTAATACTCGTGTGAACAATCAGAAGGTTTTTGACAAAATATTTTTGAAAATGTGCAAATGATCGACAAATGACCAAAAAAAAAAATACGAGTTCCCCTTTTATTGAAAAGCAACTGTCTTGTGTCAAAAAGCCTTGGCTTAAATTTATCGTACGTAATGGCTGCATAAAGTGTTGAAAAGTTGTTTGATGCCATTGATTTTTTTTATATAAATTTTGTTAATTTCAAATATTCTAAAATTCCCTTGAAATTTTTAACCCTCCACAAGTTCTTGAATAAATTGATTCATATAAATTTGCATCAACGTTCAAATACAGGTACCGTTCATAATTTTTTGTACAAAATGCAATTAAATGAAACTTTCATAAAATCTTCATTTCATAGTGACAAAATTGTCTCTCCTATCAAACTGTTTAACCATGCAGCTATTTCAGGATTTTCATAGCAAAACATGGACTCTGTCATTCTTTCTATAACTTTAATTTAGAATATACTTATCCCTTATCCGCAACTCCTCTTTATCACTGAATAAAATTTAATGAGAATTTCAAAGATAATCCATTGTCCCATTGTGTACCTCCTATTCTACAATCCCACTGAATAGAAATTTTGTGTTTTCTGACAGCAAAACATGGACACTGCCATTCTGTGAAGATAATACTAATCTGATACCTGCAACTTTTTCCTTTATTACTAAATAAAAAATTTAACGGAATTCGCAGAATTTTTATTACATAACAGTCAATTTGCACTTCCTATTTAATGTTATGATTGAAAAGGTATATTGGGTGTTTTTGTACATCATGACTTAATTGGGTATCGTCATTATACCTATGCGCGGGAGCAGTGTATATCATTCTTTGAGGTCAGTGCTCACAGACCACTAACTAGTTTTGTCTGTCGACTTTATCTTCTGACTTGTATTTATTTATACTATCAGATACAGCACGTGCCACCATGCAGTCGACAGGTGTGAATTCTGGGGCGCCGAAGTTGAATTAATAAGAAAAAAACGCACAGAAACAAGTCAGGGGCAAACTTTTGTACATTTTTGTAAATGACCGGAAGCAGTGTTTTAACTTCCTGACTGACTACGACGAAGAATCTAGAACTGTGTCAGCAAATACCAAATCATTCATGGGTGGGTGTAATCAGCTCATATTTCGAATATATGATCATAAATTATGTCTTGAAAAGATTTTCTGTCATTCTATATAAATAAATTGTAAGCTTTGGGGAATGTACCTAAACAATAAAGTTAAGAAACTTTATTCTGCAGGTCTGCATAATTCCACAGTGGTGTGTTTCATGGTGACTATCATAGACCTGATTGTGGCCAATTTTCTGGCAGCCCTGGGGATCTACAAGAAACATGTACCCGTCTGTATGGTAGCAGGTGCTCTCTACTGTATTGCAAGTAGGTCCTCCTTAGTAACCTTTTCTATTTCAATTTTTCCAAATTACTTTCAAATGCTTTCATTTGACTACCTCCAGATCAGTTCCTAGAGAGAGTACGCATATTTGTATGACTTTTTCTTTACTTCATCATTTCAGGTGTGTTCATATTTTTTGGTCTCGTTATTTTCCATGTGAATCATCATTACGAGCAATACTACTGCCAAGCATTATATGACATCCAAGACCACATATGCTCCAGTCGGTCGGTCAGTATAGGCTGGCCAGTCCCGGTTGCGTGGTTTGGCCTGATTCTTTGCGCGATGGACAGTGTATTATGGGTGTTCCTGACGCAGGCAATGAGAATCATAAAAACGAAGACGATGAGTGATCGGTACTAGTTATTTCTGGTGAAAGAATATTGTATGGCATTCCTAACTTCTATCAGAAGATATGGAATCACTTGGTCTGTGATGCGAAGCAAAATCTTTGGATTTTGTCTTCAGATTTGTTTATTTATAATATGTAAACTTTTTCCGTCCCTTGTAATCCCGTCCTTAGAGAACAGCAATGCAAGAAATTAGAAGTACACTTGTGTCAAATAAATTGTTCATAATTGAGAGAGGTGAATTATTCCGTGCCTTTAAAATAAAATACACAAATCGGTACACGACGCACAAATTGTGTATGAATTGAATATCAGCATTTTGTATTAGTATGTACAGTAGACCTGGCATTATTTTAATGTTGCATTACAAGAGTTGGTGTTGATTGTCGTGTTGTTGATGAAATATAAATAAACAGCGTACCAATACTAGACCTATATGTTAGCTTACTGAATCATACAAATTTCTCAAATGGAAATTCAAAAAAGCAATAAGTATTAATGGTTCTTTAAAAAACCACTCCATAAGACGCGACAGATGTACAACTGTTTTAGAATTAATATCTGTATTTTGTTGATGTTAGTTGTTATTAAAATATATTTTTTAATTGTTAAAGTCATTATTCAATAAAATTATCTAAAAGTATATTTTGTTGTATGTCTTATACTCTTCTAATACATTTTCATAACTGCTTTGCTTCCTCCATCCTAGCAATATTTAAGAAAAAACAAGTTCTATACAATAAAGGTATAAATCTAAAATCCTGAATACTATAATCAATCTGTTAACTACCTATGGGGCGCCGTTTTAATATTTTTAAGGTATTTTCTGATATCAAAAAAATCATTTTATGATATCAGAAATTTGATTTTTTGATATCAGAAATTTGATTTTTTTGATATCATAAATTCAACAAGATTTTTTATATCAAGAATTCGAATTTCCGATATCAGAAAATCATTTTTGATATCAAGAATTCGAATTCTGATATTAAAAATACATTTGCTAATATCAAAAAATCTTCGAAATTTTATATTATCAGAAAACGTATTTTTTATATCAAAAATTCGAATTCTTGGTATCAAAAAATATAAGTCATTTTCTGATATCAAAACTCGAATTTCTGATATCAAGAAATCATTTTCTGATATCAGAAAATGATTTTTTTTATATCAGAAATTCAAATTGATTTCTTGATATCACGTACAAAATATAAATTTTGATATCAGAAAATAAAATGAAATACATATGGCGAAGAATCTTCATAAAAATAATGAATACTCCTTTGATCTGTCGAAAATCCCGAACTTCAGTGCCAGATTTGCTTTCTACTAAAATTTGTTAATTTCAGATTTTAAAAATATTTTTTAATGAAAGAATTTAATAAGTGTTCTCGATATTTTTGGTCATATTTATTTGCATGGAATTCAAATATATTACTTTTGAGATAAATCTGAGTAAATAATCTAGGTGTGCTGTAGGTTGGGCTCAGACTGAGAATTTCTCTGTAACCCCTATAACAGCAGCCATTAGCTTCTCCAATTGCATATTTGTGTAAAGTAAGGTTCATCACAGCTGACCAGCAAGTACTCGTTGTGTGGTCGCAAAAGTTCATTCTTCAAGGTGAAATCCAAGTTATCCATAATGTTTGTGGTTAAGTTATGAATGCACAATAAATGATTAAAAATATAGTCAATGTGCAAAAGAATTAACGATGGCATCCTAACATCAAGACATGTCTTAAACTTATTAGAACCCTGTACAAAAGACGACGGCATCCTTACATATCCAAACATGTCCTACACTTATTAGAACCCAACAAAGTTCGCAACAAATTTGTGTAGCGGAAAGCTGAATTTTCATCACGGGGAGCATTCATTAAATCGATCGTAATTTTACTTGGTTCTTATTTTCTGATATCAAAAAAATGATTTTGTGATATCAGAAAATACTAATCATTTTCTGATATCAAAAAAGGGAATTTCTGATATTTGATATCAAGAATTCGATTTCTTGATGTCATAACATACAAGTTATTTTATGATATAAAGAATTTGAATTCTTTATATCAAAAAAATTGATTTCTTGATATCAAAAAATTGATTTCTTGATATCAAGAATTCTTGATTCTTTTTTGATATCAGAAAATGATTTTCTGATATCAAAATTTCGATTTCTTGATATCAAAAAATAATTTTCTGATATCACAAAATCAATTTTTGGATATCAGAAAATATATAAGATATTTTGATATGAAAAATTCGAATTTCTGATATCAGAAAAAATCATTTTTCGATATGAAGAATTCGAATTTTTGATATCAGAAAATAATTTTCTGATATTAAAAGATATCAAGAATTATTTTCGAATTATTGGTATCAAGAATTTCTATTTTGGTATCAGAAAATACCTCAAAAATATTAAAATGGCGCCTCATAACTATCTAGATCTATGCACGATACGTATGTCTGTTGGTGGCTCGTCTTCTCTCCAGGAATGTTTTCTACATATACGCTGCTTATCAACATTCTTCATAAATTGGTCTGAGTACTTGACAACTTTTGCTAAGTATGTTTTATTTTTCCGTTCATGTCTCGATTTCTCCAGTTTTTGCCAAAAACTGAGATAATGGCTGTGGTAAGTGGCATTTAAAATTCCTTCTCGTGCATCCAAGAAATGTGTGAGCTTTTATGGGATTTTCAAATGACGTTCCCTTAATTCTACGTTCTCCCTAATGGTTATGTTCGTGTTGAAAACAATTTTTTTGTTGCTTAGTCAGCAACATGAATTACAATCAATATGTTTTGGAGTAAAAATCTTCAAAATCTTCTTCCTTAGATTTTTTTTTTATTCTAAAGTGCTGCAAATTTTGTTGCCTTGAAGAACCTTGAAGCACATTGAGAGCCATATAATGAAAATTGTTGCATGAAAAGATTTAATTTTCAAGCTTCATTTAAAGACTTTTTGAATTAAATTATAAATTAAAGAGTTGTCCTTCCTGGCTGAGGGTCGGAGTCCCTTAATGGCAGATGATACAACAAAAACTAGAGGTACTGTGAGCAATGAGCTCATTAAATGATACCCCCGCCTCCTATATGGTGATAATAGTTTCATAGTTCCATGTTTTTGCTCTCGGAGATCCGAAATAAGTGTCGGATAAAAAAGTAAAATACATGTAGGAGGTCACAATGGCATTATATCATAAAGAATCTGTGAAAGTATCATTGAGTTTTATTCAGTGGTATAGGAGGGGTTGCGGATAAGAGACGGGTACCCCAAGACGTATCAGACAGACGGACTTGACGACAGACGGACGGACGGACATCCATATCACCACTCGTACATGTATATACCTTTACTTTTCAAGCGGGGATGACCATCATTTAGTGAACTCATTGCTCACAGTACAGGTCCTCTAGTTTTGACCTATTTTAATTGTAAATGATGTGAATATTAATAATATTTTTTAACATAAAAAACCTAACTATGAATTTTAAAGCAATATGAGCTGTAGCTTTGATCAATGTCGGAATTTTTTGTAGCAAAATTGTAAATTACTATTTCAATGATAGAAAAAATAACGTTAATAAACTTCTATTGTTCGTATTTGCGATAGAAGAACTATTTATGAGCTTTGATTGAATCCAAATTACATTATTGTCGTCCTGTACAATAATGATTTCTTATATAAAACTGTATATTGGATTGTTTGTAGAAGTCTTTCTTCTGCTTTATGTTAGTCTAATTGAGCATATAGTTTACATTCAAATTTATCATAATAACACATTTTAACAGCAAAATAAAATTTTTAAATAAACATGAATTAGCATGTTATTTTACCGTGTGAAAAGTAGGGGCGTATTGTCATGTTGTAAATTTTGAATTAACCGTGTGGCAGTACATACAAAATTTACAACATATTTTGTATTTACTGCCACCCAGTTAATTGAACAGTCTGTATATTGCTTCGACAATTACCAACTTATTAGTATCTCGATTGCTTTGATTTGCATAGAACCATTCGCATACCAAATTTCATTGCAATTCATGCTGTCATAGCATTACCACAATTCCCATGCCTTGAGGAATGTATAACAAAACTCATAAGTTCATTTCACATTTATTAACTTGAAAACAGTAGTATTACACCAATTATTATAGTCACACATTTTCAAATACAACAATTGTCAACATTCACAGTTAATTCAAAATTTACATCATAGTATATAGTGATTAGGCTGTCCGTCCGTCTGTCGGTTACGCTTTGGGGTAACCATCTCTTATCCACATCTCCTCTTTTACCACTGAATGAAACTTTGTTACAACTGCTATTGTGCACCTCCTATTTTACTTTTTTGATCAGACACAAATTTAAGATTTCACAGACTAAAACATGGACACGACCATTCTTTCTATAATATAGAAGGGTACCCATCTCTTATCCGTAACTCCTCCTACACAAGTGAATAAATTTTAATGATACTTTCACAGATTCTTTATTACATAATGTCATTGTGCACCTCTTATTTTAATTTTTGATACGATACTTATTTCGGGTCTCCCATGCAGAGCAACACATGGACTTTGCCATTATAACCATATGAGAGGCAGGGTGTGTCATTAGTGGGCTCGGTGCTCACAGTACCTCTAGTTTTCAGGAGTTTGAAAAATTTGTTTTTTTGTATCACATGTAAACAAAATTGGTTTCAAAAATCTTTTGAGCAAAAATGATGAAAAACCACGTATTTACTATATAGGGGTATATAGTGATCGGGATGTCCGTTCATCAGTACGTCCATCTGTTATGCTTAATTTGGGGTACCCATCTCTTATCTGCAACTCCTCTACTGAAATCTTTGTTCAAACTGCTGTTGTGCACCTCCTATTTTACTTTTTGATCGGACACATATTTTGGGTTTCCCATAGCAAAACATGGACACTGCTATTTTTTCTTTAATACTGATAGTAACCAACTCTTATCCGCAATAATAATCTCATTTTAAAATGAAATGAAATATACGGAGATAAAAAAAACAGTACTAAAGCTCAAAAGTCCATTAAACAAAACAAAATTAGAGCAGAGCAAACAAGGACTTCCAAAACATGAGATGGGATCAGGTGCCATGGTAATCTCAGCCAGATGTCGTAGGGACTAAAAATTTTGGACCGAGATGTTGTAGCGGACGTCAGACCAAAATTTTTAGTCCCTACGACATCTCGCTGAGATTAGTGCCATGGAGGAGTGAGCATCCCCTGCCCACTGGTTACACCTGCAACACTCAACAACTCAGTGTGAAACTCAACCATCTTTTTAATTTCAATTTCAGATTACTTTTGTGTACAATCAGAATGGTTTTTTTTTTCTTTTTATACAAATGACCAATAACTTTTAGTAAGTAAATTGACGAGTTTCATTTTTATCGAAAAAGCCTGGACTAAAATTTATCGTGGGAAATGATTGTATATACACTTGAAAATTCGTAAGTTTTTGGCTGTTGAGTTTTTAAAAAATTGTGATTTAAAATTTTCAAAATGTTCCATTGGAAATTTTAAATATCCATATCTGATTTACATCACTTCTCAAATCTATTGTAGCACGTGTATCCCATTTCTACTGACGTTTTCCTTCACTACTGTTAATATATTTGTGAGGAGTAATGAAAGAGGCTTGGTAGAACATTTACTGGAACCTGCTATGTATCATTGTTTTTAAGGATTTTCCTGAAGTTTTGAAATCCAACATAGATGTGGTAATTCAAATAAAAAAAAATATTCATTTTCAGCCATCGACATTCTTTGTTTTATAATTGTTCATATATGAACATTGAGAATGAAATGAATTTTTTTATATATGTTAAATTTATCAAGAATACACATATATTTTTGACATCTCCAACATTAGATGAAATGAACTTTTTTGAATGTGAAATCTTAACAAAGCAAATGTGACTTAAAAAAACATACATTCATAAAGAAAAAAAAATCCTTGTAACAATTATTCAGGACACAAGAAAAGAATTGTTAAACTTAGATTTTTTCATCACTACAACACATGAGCTTTAATCATAACATTTTTGAATATGTTCCAGATAGTCTTGTTCCACAATGAATTCCTCGTAACACCTATCACACCGGTAAGTTCGGGGGCTATGGCTCGGTTGTCGCTTCACTTTATTGAGTGCCTCTTGTAAGTCCTGCACCGTACTGTGAGTTCTAGACCCTTCCTCATGGTAATTACTATGTGCGCCCTGCCGAGCCCTATGATAAAACGGGTTGGTCTCCTCTAATTGACGAGCTTTTAATTCTGCTATTCTTTGCTCACACACATTTCTGTCTTGTATTACTTGTTCATACTGAAACAAAGAATTGTACAATTTATCTAGGATATATATATTTGATGATTTCTTTTCAAGGTACAGAATGTATTCACAAATTGGTTGTTCATTCTTTTCTAAAGGGCCATGGAACATATTTCAAGTTTATTAGCTTCAAAATTGTACTAGAATTTCATGGCTTAGGTACTGCAACATATTTTGGACCATTACAATGTATGCTGACACGCAAAAGAAACGCAACACCCTATTTTAGGTGAAATAATTATGTAAAGTAAAAAATGTTAAATCTTAAAATTATGGATATCTTCAAATTGGTAAATATCCGTAATTTAACAGTTGAATGATTTTCATATCATAACCAGAAGGCAAGTTTTAGTCTGCATAACAGAAATCGAAAATTGCATGTTTCACAAAACAGCTGGCAATATTATGGAGTTTTAAGGGTTTGTACTATTCATCTTAAGTAATGCAGCAATTTTTCAAAAAATAAAATCACCTTTCGTTTCCCGTAACGATGCTAAAGCTTCTTGGAAATGGCTTAAGTGCGCATTTCCATTGCTCTAGCTGGAAAATCACAAAGTAAAGGCGATGGAGAGTTGATGATGCAAAAATACACTACATTACGTCTCAATGGGGTCTTACGTGTTTGATTGAAATCCAAGGGTTACTACAATGCGCTTCTTCATTTGAAAAACAGGCATTTAAAAATTAAAGAATATTCCTTCAATATTGATTAACCTACTGTATCCTAGAAATTAAGCTGCTAATAGGACAGTCTTCCACGTTGTAATTGATAGGGGGGTGTTTTAAAAGTCATATGTTACTTAGTAAAGTTAAAAGATAAACATTTAACATTTGTATCAAATCTCTAATGTTCTGGAAAGTGAGTTTAGCCTAACTGTATTCTTTTTTAAAAATCATTAGATAAAAAATTCAAACATTTGTAGATTACTACTTGTTGCGTTTCTTTTGCGTGTCAGTATATATTATTAAAACCAGTTTAAGAAACTTCTCTTCTCTAAAAATTATAAAAACTATAAATGTCAGGCATGTTTGATTGAAATACTCGGTTCTTCATTTACTAAAATTTATCCTTAATATTGAAGGACAATGGAAAATATAAAGAGTTTTAATAAAACATAAATGTAAAAAAAAAAAAAACAATACTACAGGCCCATGGACCAAATCTCTCACCTGACCACATTGGCTTGGAAATTGCCAGGGGATAATAAAAATTCAAAATTGCAAACAAAAGAATAAACCATGTCTACAGATTTATGTAACTTTATACACTTACACTTTCTTGCAATCTCTGCAGCCTCCTATCTTTCTCTTTATCCTGATTTAACAATCGGTCCACCTACAAAAATTATTATATTAGGCTACTTTTGTTATTATGAAAAGATGAAATAAAAATCAAATAAAATGTGCCTAATAAAACCATTTTTGTTTATCTTTGAAAATCATAAAAGAATAGGGATCCATTTTCCAACTATAAGAATACTGTACATGTGTATAGGCCTAGGGTTATTATTGATCTAGGTCTTTTTCAATTTTTGTACAGTGATTAAAATCAACAAGAATCGTATTTAAAAATGAAGCAAGTGAAAATGAAACGTGTCTATTATCCTATTTCTCAGTGGAAAATGAATAATTTAGCATAATTTGGGTGGATTACCTTGACTTTAAGTAAAGCTAGGCATTAATTTAGTGGTTCCTTGTATTTATTTTTTTTTCAAAAAATTTCTTGAAGTTAAAATTTGACATTAAATATCATAAAGAGAATACTAAAATAACCGCCCTCTTTTAGCAATTTTCTAAGCGCCTGGGGAGGTTGATAGGGATTATACGGTAATACTCTTTCTTTAAATTGAATGAATTCAACTGATTTTTAATTTGCCCACTGAAGACAATGTCAAAAAGTAGTGAAAATGAAATGGGGACAGAAAATTTCGCTGAGAGGCAAATATTCTGGTATAGTTGCCCAAGAAGCCATGTGGTATATGTTAAATAACATTTTTCAAATTAATAAAAAATAGCCTAAAATCATTAAAAATTGTAGTGGCCATAGCCTGATTTCATTTGAAAATGTGTGAAGTTGAACTTGCTTTTCAAAAGCTTACCTGTTCCAGGAAAACTTTCCTGTCTTCCTCTGCTAAATTAAGTTCTTTTCTAAACTTTGCATTCTCTGTTGAAAGTTCTGACCATTTCTGCATGGAGGAAAACTTCTCATTTTCCAATCTTTTCTCTAACCTTGCATAATTTTCTTTCATCTCCTAAAATTATAATTCATAAACACATTTCTTTTATATAAAAAATGCACTGTGCAATCACTAATTTTCGTGGGGGTTAATTTTTTGTTGTTTTCGAGGTATGGGAAGACCCATAAAATTATTTCCATGTAAATGTAAATTTCATATACACTGTACATGTACATTACCACTTAACATTCTTCAACCATGAAATCAAATCCCACAAACCAATATTTTTCCTTTAAACCTCAAAAATTTGACCCCACAGAATATGTGATTTTACAGTATTGCAAAAGAATCAAATCTAGGACTCCTTTAAATAGTTCTCTACGTTGACATACGGCATTTTCCCGCTTCATGTGCTCTACTTTCTGTTTCCAGTTATGGATTTCATCTTGAAGTTGTTTTTCCCTTCGACTGACTTCACTGTCCTCCTTAGAAAAGAAGGAATAAGTAAACATACATTGAAAAATTCATGAATACATATATAATGTAAAACATATGGCTGGACTGGAAATCAAACCTGGGACCCCTGCATCACTAGTCAGGTGCTCTAACCACTGAGCTATCTACGCTGATGTCCTCAGTCCAGCCTAAATTACTACATAAGAAAGTGAACTCTCACTGAACTCATTATCATCAACAGCAGCAGATTGTGACTCACACAAAACATTAAACTTAATATTCATCTATATCAATATCTACTTATAAAGCTAAGGCTTAAATGACCTCTTTTGGTTATGGCTAGGTTAAAGTTTACAGACAAACAGACAGACAGGACAAAAACAATATACCCCCAGGAAATTACAAAGGTTAGATATGTTGATTAATTATTATTTTACACTAAGAAAAATGAAAGGACTGGATATTCAACAAGCTTGTCATTTGGTACCTTATAAAATTTGGGGAAAAGAGTCAATTTTCATTTGGGACACATCCATATACAAGGCCCACATGCTAGGGATATTAAATCCCAGAAACTGTTTCATCCCTTTTATTGTTCATATATTAAAGCATTTACTAATTTTCATGTAGATTAAATCATTTATTTTAATCATTTTATTTACAGGTACATCTCTATGGGATTTTCTTAAAATAAGAATATAAATCAGTTTTTCAATCTTCAGCATGAGTAAAGTACATTGTATAAATATCATGGTTTTAAAACAATACTTTCACTGTCTTATACTTTTCAATAAATTGATTATCTGATTGATTTAATTTAGGTAGATCTACCCTTTCTTTTTTTTATTATAAAACATAATCAACGATAGGATAATTGTAGATTATTCTTTCCCCTCCCAAACCTTTGGATTAAAATTTCAGAACAATATTAGATAAAAGCCACTGATAAAGGTCTTATTTTACCTTTGAGAAGCTATTTTCCCTGCTATTTCTGGAGATTTCCAGGGAGTTTGAGGCCGGAGCCACAGAGATTCCTTCTATGTCATTTTTCATATGCTTCTTGTGAACCTGGAGATTCTCAATTCTCTGTTTCAGATCACGTATTTCACTCTGTTGTGCCTTCACTTTTTCTTCCAGAAAACTAGTGGCTTCTGATTGCTTGTCACCCTGTTCAATTCAGAACAACATGAAATTATTGAATTTCTCTAACTGTATCTTCATATCTTTCCTTAAACTTTATTCAATTGCTTTTCTTACTTTAAAATATAATGATATGAAAATGAAAATTTCTTCCTTAATGAATTGCTGCAAAAAATTGTAAAATATAAAATGTCTATATCCAAAAAAAAATCTTGCATTAAATTTAGATATTTTTAGCAACAGCAAATCTTGAAATGAATCTAATTTTTAAGATAAATTTTCAATTACTTTTTTATTTAAAAAAAAACAAAAACAAAAACAAAAAAAACCCCAAACAAACAAAAAACAAAAGAAAATAAAGAAAGAAGACCTACAAAACTAGTATTTTTGTAATCTGCCAGTTTCTGTTGCAATTCTTTCATAGCTGTTTTGGTTTTCTTTAACTCTCTAACCACAGACAGGAACTGGTTTTGTGACACGCCATGACTGTGTGACCAAAGATCTGCCATCATCTGTTCTCGCCGCTTCGTCTCCATTGACAGAGAACCCTGTGATGGGGTCAGATAACTCCGAGGATCCATCGAATTGTTCCCAATATGAAAGTCAGGGAAAAGTGACAGGACAATATGTCCTTTATGGTTTGGTATCAGATTCTGTACTGCTGGCTGTTTTGTTACAATGTCACCATCCACATCTAGATCTGACTTTGGGGGGACTCCACTGACAGCTGATTTAGTCTCCTGATGCATCCTACTCTGGCAAACATGGAATTCCAAAGAAATTTACCCCAAGTAAAATTTACTGGTATGTAAAATCCAGATGATTTTTGTAATGTTTGATTCTCATAAACTTGCATAAGTTTATATATATATATATATATATGTAATGTTTTTGTTTATATATGTAAATATTCTGCAGTTGTTAAATAAAATAGGAATATTATATTTTGTTTATTTGATAAGCCCTAACCATGGTACCTGATTAGCGCCCTTATCTTGGAAGTCTAATTAGTGTCCTAATTATGGCGCTTATCAGATGCCCTAAATGTATCAAGTGTTTTGACACCTAACGATGGTGCAGAGGCCCTAATACTTGGAGCCGATTGCCCTAATAGGTGCCCTAATGATGGAGCCGATTGCCCTAACAGGGTGCCCTAATGATGGAGCCTAACGCCCTAACAGGTGCCCTAATGATGGAGCCTAACGCCCTAACAGGTGCCCTAACGATGGAGCCTAACGCCCTAACTAGGTGCCCTAAATCACGTTAGGTGTCAGACAGGGTATATAAGGAGAGAGAGTTAGTGAGTTGATATACATAGCTTGGATTTGATTTATAAAACTACTCTTGGATATTATTAATACACTCGTTGAAACGAACTTTGTCGTTGTTCTTATGTTAGATCTATAAAGATCTAAAGTTCCTGAATTTATACACGGGATCCACAATATTTTGTGACGCGGGTAGAAACAAACACCCCATAGAGAGAAAAAAACGTTACAATTGGTGGCAGCGGTGGGATCCAAAGAAGTTATTCTACGTGTTACACAGGTACGAGACAGCACAGAGTTTGAAATGGAGACACCCGTCGTAAGGAGGAGAATTACGCCTAGAAAGGTAGGACAGTACGTTGACAGTCCAGCTCCTCTGAATGACTCTGGAATAGAGGTTGATACATGGTGTAGAACAAGTTTGCAGCCCACAAGTCGAGTAATGCCAGACAATCCTAACTTTCAGGAGTTCGGGCAAAGCTCACAGGGCCGTTCTGTTCAAAACGAGTACAATCCAAGGCCAAGCTTAAAGAGAATCCTATTTATTTGGGTACTCTTTGCTTTGATAGGATGTTCCCTGATGATGATGACCTGGACCTATTTTCCAGAGAATGAGATCGTGCAAGAATCTCGAGAAAATGCAGTAATTTCTCTAATATCGATAACAAGTATGATATTGCTCGTTACGGTAATCAGAGTATTATGGAAGTATGGATCCGGTCTGCTGAATGCCAGTAAGGAAAGGGAAAATTCTTTGATATCCCATGATACACCCTATACTGGTGGTAGTGCACCTAATGCCCCTACAGATACCTATCAGGAATCTAAAGTTTTTGGGCAATCTGGACGCACTACTCCTTATTTGGGTAATCAGTCTCCTCAGGGACTTGGGTACAATTTAGAATTTCCTATGGCTGGCGGGACATCTACAAACAGTCCTATGACACCAAATGCTGGTCAACGAACCAATGAATATCCAGTAAGGAGGACCTTCTCAGGGGCCAATGATGATGTTTGGGATGAGTTTCTACAATATTTTGAAAACATCTCAGAATTAAACTCATGGAGACCCGAGAAATCTCGCAGAGTTCTACTTAGCACTTTGCGAGGACAGGCCGAGAGCTATGCCTATGGAATGCCCCTTACTGTGCAGAAAGACTATAAGCAACTTAAAGATAAGATGAACCAAAGATTCGGCCATTCTGCAATGAAAGAAAAATATATTGCGGATGTAAAATTAAGGAGACGACTACCTGGTGAGTCCCTGCGAGACTTTGGACAGGCCATCGAAGATTTGTATCGAAGGGCCTATCCAGGAAATCCAGATTTAGTTGAAGAAAATGCTATACAGTCCTTCTTAGATAAGTGTGGACAATCTGAGGATTTTCGACTTGCAGTGAAACGGACCAGACCCAGGACACTTCAAGAAGCAGTTCTTAATGCGATGCAAGAAGAGTGCTTGCGGATTGGAGAAAAAGAATTGCCAAAGGAGACAAAATCAGGCTATAGGCCTGTGTATGAGATTGAAGATGGGGAATGGAATAATGAAATAGCAGCTGCGGATACTGCCAAACCTCCAAGCGCGGGTGACGGATTCAACAGTATCTTTAAAAATGTGAGAACCCTAAGTACATGTACCAATGTAGGACCAGGGAGGAGGGGACGCCCTTACAACCCATGGAACCAGACAAAGGGAGGAGGATTTCAACAAAGGGACAGTTCTCGAGACCATAATTGTGTTGAAAAGAGAACTGTAAGGAATTATATTAACTAAGATGACTGATGCCGCAGGTCAGGTGTCAGTCAACTTTATACGGCCTAAAACCTAAGGAAGAAAATCCTAAATCAGGAAAAAGGGAAGAGGAAATGTTGAAAATAAGCCAAAGAAATACAAATGTGAAGCTACCAGTGTGATAAAATTTTGATTTAATCTAGTGACATTTTTATTTGATTTAATTTTGTTGTTTTACTTTTTGTCTTTCTGTTGATTTTGTTTGGCTTTTGTGTTATTTGATTTTATGTATAACTCATGTTCATGTTTTAAATATTAATGACAGTGGAAGTCATGTTTCAAAAGGAGGGACCATTGTAATGTTTTTGTTTATATATGTAAATATTCTGCAGTTGTTAAATAAAATAGGAATATTATATTTTGTTTATTTGATAAGCCCTAACCATGGTACCTGATTAGCGCCCTTATCTTGGAAGTCTAATTAGTGTCCTAATTATGGCGCTTATCAGATGCCCTAAATGTATCAAGTGTTTTGACACCTAACGATGGTGCAGAGGCCCTAATACTTGGAGCCGATTGCCCTAATAGGTGCCCTAATGATGGAGCCGATTGCCCTAACAGGGTGCCCTAATGATGGAGCCTAACGCCCTAACAGGTGCCCTAATGATGGAGCCTAACGCCCTAACAGGTGCCCTAACGATGGAGCCTAACGCCCTAACTAGGTGCCCTAAATCACGTTAGGTGTCAGACAGGGTATATAAGGAGAGAGAGTTAGTGAGTTGATATACATAGCTTGGATTTGATTTATAAAACTACTCTTGGATATTATTAATACACTCGTTGAAACGAACTTTGTCGTTGTTCTTATGTTAGATCTATAAAGATCTAAAGTTCCTGAATTTATACACGGGATCCACAATATTTTGTGACGCGGGTAGAAACAAACACCCCATAGAGAGAGAAACGTTACATATATATATATATATATATATATATATATATATATATATATATATCTGTTTTTTAAAAAGCATACCTTATTTTTTCATGTCTCGAGTGTAGTTGACTAATATGACTTCAAGGAAGCATTCAATATTACGTCATAAATATTCTGAAACAAATAGATCTTGATCAATTGATTGACATATACAGGAATAGGGTATTTCTAAGATTTTCTTATTTCATTGGGATTTCCCCAAATTAATGGTTTAAAATTTTCCATGACTATTCTATCTGTCTATTATCAATCTCTAACACTATAATTTATAACTACTGATACCTTTGTTGGCCTTTTCTTTCGAGAGTGCCCCACTTTTTCAAAGCAACTCTTATCGGATATTTAAACTGTAAAGAATATACACGGCTGTCAATATTTTCAAAATGCCAAGATACAAACAGAAACCTGGGACTCCCAATCCAAAATTGGAATGGAGGAACTTCCTACTTTCACTTTTCTAGCTTGGATAATTCGTTCATAAACTGGTTTACTTCCTGAATCAAAAATGAAAAAAAGTGGAGATCTATAACGAACAGCTTTTGGCAAAAACGAAATGGTTTATGACGATAATAACAAATCAGCAAATGTACCTTATTTATCTCCCTCCCTAATATTATATAGATAATCCCCGCCTCCCATAATGTTTTAAGGGCAGAGTCCACTGATCATGTTTTGCTCCGGGGCTAGTGGTACAGGGGGACCCGAAATATATGTGTCAGATGAAAAAGTAAAATAGGAGGTACACAATGGCATTATGTAATAAAGAATCTTGAAATTATCATTAAGTTTTATTCAATGGTATAGGGAGAGTTGCGAATAAGAGATGGGTACACTTCGATAATATCATTGTAGAAAAAGATATGGTACATAATCCAAAATCTTAAGATATGAGAAAAATTATGAATTTAATAGAACCAATCTATATTGAAGATGTGGATTTGCACATTAAATAACAAATGAAAAATCAATAAATGGCAGTGTCAATGTTTTGCTATGGTATGGTGGCATATTTCTGCCCCTTGTGTGCAAGTTATTTTCATATCGAATATGTCGACATGCAAGATAAATATGTTGACATGCAAGATAGTTATGTCAACATGCAACATAAATATGTTGACATGCAAGAAAATTACAATCAAATAAATATTATAAAAAATCTTCAAAAATCTCAAATATTGCCGACATGTGACATCCAACATGCTAGATGCTACTTGTTTATGCTAACGTGCAAGATAAATATGTTGACATGCAACTTATTTATGCTGACATGCAACTTAGTTATGTTGACATGCAAGATAAATATGTTGATATGCAACTTATTTATGTCGACATGCAACTAAGTTATGTTGACATGCAACTTAGTTATGTTGACATGCAAGATGAATATGTTGACATGCAACTTATTTATGTAAACATGCAACTTAGTTATGCCTACATGCAACTTATAAGTTGCATGTCGACATATTTATCTCGCATGTCAACATAACCAAGTTGCATGTCGACATAAATCAGTTGCATGTCGACATAATTAAGTTGCATGTCAACATAAATAAGTTGCATGTCAACATATTTATCTTGCATGTCAACATAACTAAGTTGCATGTTTACATGAATAAGTTGCATGTCAACATAAAAAAAGTTGCATTTAGCATGTTGGATGTCACATGTGGGCAATATTTGAGATTTTTGAAGATTTTTTATAATTTTTATTTTATTGCAATTTTCTTGCATGTCAACATATTTATGTTGCATGTTGACATAGCTATGTTGCATGTTAACATATCTATCTTGCATGTCGACATATTTGATAGAAAAATAACTTGCACACAAGGGGCAGAAATATGCCACCATACTATGGGAAACCCGAAATATGTTTCCGATCAAAAAGTAAAATACGGTGAAAGATCTCAACCCCCCTTTTCTGTTTGTTTGAATTCCATTGCTACTGCATCAAATTCTTTAGATATAATATATTTAGACATAAAATGACTTATACCGGTAATAATTTTGATTTAATGGACCGGGCGAAATGATTGAAAACTGCAGAACACCATAATATACAGAAAAAAGTAACACTCTCAAATATTTTTTATGCAAAAATAATTAATTTTAAATATTTATAAAAAAAAATCCTTAAACGAGCAAAATTCAAATCACGTCAAGGCCAAGAATCTTTTACATGTATCTCAACAAAATTTTTCTGGCTGATTTTTCTGACCGGTGAAAGATCTCAACCCCCTTTTCTGTTTGTTTGAATTCCATTTCTACTGGTGGCATATTTCTGCCCCCTACAAGCAAGATAAATTATGTTAACATGCAACATGATTATGTAGACATGCAACATATTTATGTCAATATGCAAGTTAATTATGTTGACATGAAAGTTACCAATTTTTTAAGTTAATATAAATTAGATATGGATAAATTTACATACTAACGCCTGTTTCTGACATTTTAGATGCAACATGCAAGATATTTATGTCAACATGCAACTTATTTATGTCAACATGCAAGATAATTATGTCAACATTCGACTTATTTATGTCAACATGCAAGATATTTATGTTAACATGCAAAATATGTAAGTTGATATGCAAGTTATTATCTTGCATGTTGACATGAATAAGCTGCATGTGAACATAGATATCCTGCATGTCTACATAATATCTCGCATGTTAACATAAATATCTCGCATGTTAACATAAGTATTTCGCATGTTGACATAAATACGTTGCATGTATACATATTTAACTTGCATGTTGACATAAATATCTTGCATGTGTTCATAATTAACTAGCATGTTGACATAAATATCTTGCATGACAACATAATTATCTCACATGTTTACATAAGTAAATCGCATCTTCTTATAATTATGTTGCATCTTGCATCTACGATGTCAGATACGGGCGTCAGTACAGGATTTTACCCATATTTAAATCAGATTCCCTTAAAAGATTTGTAACTTGCATGCCAACATAATTATCTTGCATGTATACATAATTTTCTTGCATGTTGACATAATTTTCTTGCATGTTAACATACATGTAGTTTATCTTGCATGTAGGGGGCAGAAATATGCCACCATACTACTGCCTCAAATTCTTTTGATGTAATGTATTTAGACATAAAATGACTTATACCGGTAATAATTTTGATTTAATGGACCGGGCGAAATGATTGAAAACTGCAGAACACCATAATATACAGAAAAAAAGTAACACTCTCAAATATTTTTTTATGTAGTGGCCAACTTTTTCAAAGCCAACTTACTATCACTTCCAATTTTTTCCCTACAATCCTTGATATCACTATACTATGGTTATAAAGTGGGGGGCCAACCATCATTTGAATGAACATTTACTATAGGGGAGGTAATGTTGGGGAAAAAAGTGGGGGGGGGGCCAGGCCCCCCCTGGCCCCTTCGGTTGCTACGTCCCTGAAGAGGAACATTTTTTTTTAACATTCTCTACTGAGGAGTGATCATTGTTAATTTTCGAAAATTAAAAATCACAAAAAAAAGTTTTGTGGAAAAAAAAGCATTGAAATGAATGACTTTTCAACTCTCTATACAATCATTCTCCACGATAAATTAGTCTCTTATGGTGTAAGTGACATCATAGACAACTCGGTGCTTTTTCAATAAAAATGGCAATCGTAATCGTTATTTACATACTTTTTCAATGGTCATCTGCAAAACTATTTTAGTTGATGAAAGACGTGTTCTTCAAAAACTACACATTAATGTCAATCAGAATCTCGAGCAACTTCGGACTGTTTTTAATTTTTTTTTTTAACCAAAATAGTTTTGCATATGACCATTGAAAAGGTATGTAAATAACACGAACAGTCTCGCTAGGATTACTGAGCCAATGTTGACCAAACCTTGTCACTAAACATCCTTGGGTGAAGGGGATCAAGTTTGAAACTATATTGGATTTATATGTGTAATAGAGACGTTACCAATAATATTTCTATGCCCCGTAATCGAGATTCGGGGGTATATAGTTTTTGCCTTGTCCGTTAGTCTATTTGTCTGTCTGTCAGTTTTGCTTGTCTGCAAAAACTTTAACTTTGTCCATAACTATTGATTGGCTTTACTATTTCACTTGTGTATATTCATTGTTACAAAACTTAATAAAAGATTAAACCTTGTTCTTAACTTTCGAACATTTGGAACTAGGGCTTTCATATTTCAAAGGTGTATTCTTTGCGACAAGACCTATCGTTAGATACTAATACATGTAATTTTGTCAACTTGACCTTGACTTTGAAGTTTGATCTGTTTTTAAAAAAAAATCTGGTGTTTACCCCTCTGTATGCATTAAACTAAATAAGAATCAAGAAGGTAATTACATGAAAAGAGAACAGGGTTCCTCTTTCTTTAGAATTAAACCTCAGAAAAATCTAAACTTGACGAATGACGATATCTTTATGGAGCGTGATAAACATGTAGTTACAGCATTAGAATAGATTTCTGAAATATGTAAACATTGAAAGACAATATTGTAATATAAACTGCTATTTTCTTTGTCTAAAAAATATTGCATAGAAAGCATTTGTCCTTTTGTTTCTGAACTGGAATAATAAAAATTGATTAACTAAAAAACTATTTAAAATTACTGATTTCTTTGCTTTCTTCTGAACTAAAATAAAAAGGGAAAAAAAAATAATTTTAAAAACTTGATTAAAACAGAATATCTATGCTATTTTGAAAGCTTCTTTTTTTTTAATTTGCATACGTATAAACAAGAGTAAAGAAGAAAAAAAACGACAGTGTCTATTTTTCAGCATTTTATTGAAATTCCCTTATATATAGATTTGCGAAAAAAGTACTGTACTTTGAACATCTGTAATTTAAACGATAACATATTGAAAGAAAATCATTGTAAAGTATTTTGCGATCCTAACAATGCAGTTCATTCTAGAAGGCTATGTGAATTTTTATATGAATGTTTTGAGTCTCGTTTAAAGTCATCATTTCGTAAATTCTATGGTCGATACAATGACATTGTCAGCAAATACAATTTATCATTGAATGAAATGCTGACTGACGTTTTTCATACCAATTGTTAGTCCATTATTTATACACTGAATTGACTACGGATTTTTTCCGTTATTTCCTGATTATGACAATGAGCACACGGCGGGTGTGACCGGTCGGCAGGGGATGCTCACTCCTCCATGGCACCTGATCCCACCTCTGATGTTTCGGAGGTCCGTGTTTGCTCTGCTCTTGTTTTGTATATTTGTTTAATGGACGTTGAGATTGAATACTGTTCGTTATTTCCATATCCTTATTCCAAAAATAAAGGGCAATTATAATATATATATTTAATGCATTTATTAGCTCATCACTGTCCATACTATACTATGGAATGCCATATACGACAGCCAACTGCTTACTGCCAACTGCTGACTGCTTACTGCCAACTGTCAGCTGCTTACTGCCAACTGCCACATATATTTGAATACATTTTATTTTTATATTGATATTTATATATTTCCATTTCTAATTTTTTTCTCTGTGATAACTCTTTGAAAGTTAGGGGTAGTTTATTTCTTGATAATTCTGCCGGAATGTAAATTAGGTAGGTCGATAGGTCGGGAGCTAAGGAGGCCTAATACGCATGCAATTCTCGTGCGCATCTGTCTCTGTGTCTGACGCTAAGGAGGCCAAATATGCATGTAAATCTCGTGCGGCTGCCTTTGTGTTTGACGTCGGTTGGCGAGGACTATTGAAATTGGCATGGAAGTCATCATGTGATTTAAATCTATTTATCTACATTTTTAAAGTCTAAATCTACAATTTTATTTCACAATGAAATGGAAATATAAGGAATCACTGTCTAGTTAGGAGGGTATGTCAGGGACATCAACAATAGTGGGAAACATGGGATAATTTAAGCATAACGGGCTTCGCCCGTTATGCTTAAATTATCCCATGTTTCCCACTATTGTTGATGCCCTGACATACCCTTCTAACTAGACAGTGATTCCTTAAGTAAATTTAAAAAAAAGGCGCCGATCTATAGGACATTTTTTTCCAAGAGGGTCTCTCTGGTAAAAAAAAAATCAAACCCTTTGACAAGAAAAAAATACGTAAAGTCCTTTCCTAAATGTGAACATTTATTTCGGCCGGGGAGAGGTTCTAATGCGTCATACCTTCATGTGTATGACATTTTCATGCCAACTTAACACGAATCCACATTTTCGGTTGGGGAGTGGGGGGGGGGTTCTAAGGTCCCTTTTAGTTGATTTATTTTATACATTAAATAACTTTTAGTTGGTTAAGTTTGTGCATTAAATAACTTTACAAATTTCAGAGGGGTGTTCCGGACCCCTCTCGCTAGATCTATGCATGTAAAACATATTTTATTTGTACAAACAAAGAGATATAAATGTTTGATCGACGTTTTCTAAGTGGAGGGTCCAAGGTCAGTTATACCGGTAGTTCGTTTAGTTTATTTAACGTGTGACTGTACAAATTTTAAATGCCCCCCCCCCCCCGATCTATGCATGTGAAACTTACAGGGACGTAGCAACATTGGGGGGCCAGCCCCCCCCCCCACTTTTTTTCCCAACATTACCTTTACTATTGAAAATGTATATTGAAAGGATGGTTGCCCCCCCCCCTCCCCCCACTTCTTACCATAGTATAATGATATCAAGGATATGTATTATTGTGTGGGAAAAAATGTAAGTGAAAGGTAGTTGGCCTTAAAAAAAAGTTAGCCACTTACCCCCACCCCCCTTCCCCCACGAAATTGGATTTTCGAGTTTGGGCTATTTCCTTTTTTTTTTTTTTTTTTGCTTGTCAAATTTTTCAGGTAAGTAAAAAAATTTTTGTCTGGTTGCCCCCCCCCCCCCCCCCCCCACTTTCAAAAACGATGCTACGTGCCTGCATTATAACATACAGAGATATACATCTTTAATTTGAGGAAATTTTTAACTATAGAATATAATGGAAAACGGAAATTTATTTTCAAAACATCTTTCTCTGCGAAACGACAAATCTTTTTTATTATTATTCTCTCTTCAAGGGTGAACCCCTTGAAAAAATGTCCTGGATCCGCGGATCCGTGCCTTTTTTCCCTTTTTTGTAAAAATTCAGATAAATATCAATACAAATATAAAATTTATTCAAATATGTGTGGCAGTTGGCAGTAAGCAGCTGACAGTTGGCAGTAAGCAGTCAGCAGTTGGCAGTAAGCAGTTGGCTGTCGTATATGGCATTCCATACTATACTGCTTACATAATGATTATGTTTAATCTTCAAGTTGTAATACACTTCATAGTTGACTTCACTGATCCATACACTTGCATGTATGTATTGTATGTATTTTATTATTTGTCTTTTGTATATTATATATGTAACATGGTTGTATGCCAACATGTTTGGTGAATCAATAAAGAAATACAGGTACAACTTGAAATATTTTTTTTTTCAGTGGCATTCATCCAAATTTGAACGTGATTATGTGTGCATCGGCGAACGGAGTCTTATATGTTGTTTAATTATCGTGAAATTGTATATTTTGACCACATAGGTATGTGGAAGTGATGATGCATGTTGTGACTCACTTGTTTCCGGATTGTCTTCGAGTACGGAGAGGTTTTGGCACTTAGAGTAATGGCTTCCAAAGAAGAAGACGGTGAAGAAGACATCGAAAACATTGAGGTCCCTGAATCTGTTGCAGGTCAAGAAAGTGAAAGTCCATTACTGGACGATATAACGCAGTTAGAAGGTATGAATTTCCATTCATGTGCATTGTTGGTGCTTTGACAATTTGGAGGTAAACGTTTGGATCCACCACTGTGTCTAATGTGTGTTTACTTTTCGTCTGAAAATCTGTCAGGTTATATTAGGGCGATTCCTATTTGGGTGACGAGGGGAGGGGGTTATGTGGAAAAAATGAGTAGTCAGATAATTAAAAATCATTATGTATAGTAATTTATAGGATAATCAGTTAATTAGGCAGTTTTCATTTGCTCTCCTAACGTTTTTCTGATATAACAAACCTCCACCAAGAACAGCCGAGAGGCATAAAAATGTGTTAGACCTTATTATTACATTAATGCTCTGTTAATTGTTAAAGTAGACTTCAGGTCATCAATCTCTATAGTTTATCTAACCATTTCAGTATTCAGTTGAATTGTACGCTATGAAGCACTTTGATTTTTGGCCAAAATGAGTTTTAGGTGTGTATCATCAGTGTATGTCATGTTGAAAACTATTTGATTTAGATGTGAGCTAATTATAAACTAAAGTCTACTCCTGTTGTCCAGATCCATCATTGTTTGATTTGGGACCAAGTGTCAAAAGCTAGGTAGGTCTATAGATATGTCTATTCAAGAGTTATCTGTTATCAAAACAGGGACTTAATTTTATACTGTACAAAAGTCTCGATTAAAAAAGGTGAGGCTGTGTAAGTTAATTGTTTTTAAAATTATTGAAAAAAAAATTATAAACTTGGGTGTTAGATTATAAGCATACAGAAGCTAATCCTAAACTGAATGTTGACGGGAGATAAGGAAGGAGCACTTAAATTAGTCTGTCAGCATACATTTAGTTCCTGATTGTCATGTGTATCCAGACAGTGATATTATATAATTTTTTTTTCTTTGGTATTGCAAGAATAGATTATGTTATTTTGGATAAGATGAATGTTTCTTATATAGTCAAGTAATACTATTCTGTTCAGAAATATTGGATCCATGGTCTCTGTCAGCCTTATGTCATCTATAAAGTTTTTAAAAATATTTTGTTAATTGAGTGTGTTCTATATATATTTGAGTACAGCTGTTCTGTCATTCAGCTTCTAGTTAGATTTCAGGTCCAAAAAATTCTACATTTTCTACACATTTTTCAAAGAACAGTTTCCGTCAGCTTGTCAACTGTCAAATGGTACTCCACCATTTGATTGAGTTGCAAACAAAATATTGTTCCTGGTACCTTCTTTTAAAAGCAGAAAAAAATTCCTTAAAACAAAATCTGTTGAGTAAGAATAAATTATAGGTACAATTTAACATTGTTATAAGTAGGCCTGTATCCAGCCAAACACTTGTACGCACAATTTAACCTCCACATTTTTTTTTCAATAAAGGAGAGGGGGGGGCATAATTTCCATGTATGCTTTAAAAAAAAGCATCATTTTGCAAAAAAATAAAATAAAATAAGTAAAAATTACTTACTGGAAACAATTTAGCATAACGATAAAGGAATAAATGAAAAATAACAGATAGGTTTGCCCAGAATTAGGTATGCTATGGAATATTGCTGATTTTTTTTCTAAGTGCATTCTAACCGACTATTTTTCCATATATATATTTTGTCTCTTCAAAAGTCTAAAATTGTTTGTAGTGGGTTCGTCATACAACAGATCCTTTCTCAGTTTTGAGTGTTTGTATGCATTTTGTACAAAAACAGAACATACCTAAAGTATGGCTGTGTAACAAACTTATAGAGTGTAAGAAAAATGCGATCAGGAGAGGCGATTATGCACATCAAAATCATCAAAAATTCACTAGCTTCCGAGGGCTTCACCTCAAACCCCTTGTCTAATTGGGCGTCCACATCAAAAGTACCCTGGCTACATCCCTTATAAGTTACAGAATTATGATGTCAGCATTCTTATGTAGGACAGTATGATTCAATATTAGAAAGGGAACAATGTGGTATTTCTTTGAGATTCCTATGCCATTGAAAGCCTATATACAAAAGTAACAGGATCTTGCAAACCGTTTTTTTTCAATAGGATAAATGTCTTGAGTGAGTGTCATACCAGGTTACATTTTAAATCCATCTAACCAGGGGGATTAGGTTTCCTCTGCTATGAAGATAGAATGTATTGATGCATATAGTACATTCCTTTCATAATTTCTTTGTCAGATGCAAAACTTTTAGTGACATCATGTTGTGATAATTCTCTCAGTTTATATGAGGCATAATAAAGAAAGTGTTTGATCATTGTCCTCAAAAAGTAAAGTAAATGTTGAAATTTGCAAGCAATTTATTGACAAATGATGCAAAAATAATTCAAAAAGTTTTTGACACCACCATCATACATTGGCATAGTAGTCATGAATAAACAACAAATTAAATAAGAAAATAAAGTACAAAATTTTCTTCATTTTCAATAAAAAAAAAATTACAACAGTGACATACTCATTGTTTTCTCTAGGAATAGCCGGCCTTGATTATCTCCCTATTTCAGTATATAGTAAATGAGAACTAATTCTCAGTACCTGTATTGTTAGGATTGTTCTTCCAGATTTCTTGGTAATTGTAGATACTTTTGTAATTTATATTCATTGACATTAATTACATTACTATAAGAAGTTAATTTTCCACAAACTGATTTAGAAATGTTCTTTAATTGTTCACTGGTTTTGTTACTATATAAATGCTCCTTAAAAGCAGAAAAAAATTCCTTAAAACAAAATCTGTTGAGTAAGAATAAATTATACGTACAATTTAACATTGTTATAAGTAGGCCTGTATCCAGCCAAACACTTGTACGCACAATTTAACCTCCACATTTTTTTTTCAATAAAGGAGAGAGGGGGGGGGGCTTTTAAAGCATACAACATCATTTTGCTAAAAAATAAAATAAGTAAAAATTACTTACTGGAAACAATTTAGCATAACGATAAAAAAATAAATGAAAAATAACACATAGTTTTTTTCCCAGAATTAGGCATGCTATTGAATATTGCTGATTTTTTTCCAAGTGCAATCATAAATCAAATTGTAGTCTGCAGTCCAATTTCAGAACCATTTATAAAGGTAATTAAGTCAAGGTAAAATCTATAGGAATAAAAAAAAAAGAATTGGAAAAAAAATCCCTTTAATTTCACAAGAAAGGGTCATATGTAACCTGTTAACGTATTGTGAATGAGCTAGCTTATATGAAAGAAGACTGCAGTAGGAAATTTGTGACATCAGATTTATACCCTGTCTATACCTATTAATCTTTTCTTCCTTTTTTATTCATTTTGGTCATTGGTGCATCTAAAGAAATGTGATCTAGATCAAAAGAATTTATAGGTTTATTTCTCTCAAGGATGTATATAATATTTATAGTCTTGAGCATAGGAAAATTTTTTAAAAAGAGCTTTTTATTGGGATACATAGTTTTGAATCGTACAAGAATAAAAAGGAAGTGATATATATAATTGGGAAAATTATACTGCTTTAAACATGTACATGTGTATTTTACACAACCACAGTCTGCATCAAAACTATTTTTTTTTAAATTATTATTTATCTTAAAAATTACTATGCATAATCCCCAGTATATGTTTCATAAATGCAGTTCCATACAGTTTGTTTTCATTTGTATGAATACATCATAAAGTCAGTAATGAAGTTCAACACTTTAACAATACCAGTATATTCAACTTTCTGTAGGTAGACTATATGCAAAAACTCGAAATAGCTAGTAAACAATTTTTAAAGATTTCAATACAAAAGTTTTATGGTTAATTTTTTCCTGTTTTTAAGAGGATACCGGTATTTTATTGATTCAAATCCTTTTTATATAACAAGTACATGCATTTGACACTTGCCTTTTTGATGAATCCCCATTGTAAATAACTAAGTTGGGAAGAACACTGATTGACTGAAGAAATTGCTACTAATTTCTCCTCTGTAAACAACATAACCTCGGGACATTTGATACATTGTCATTCCTACAAAGAGATCAACTTTCCATGACAAAATAATTTGTGGTCCTTGACCAGAGTGAACTTTCCTCTAAGTTCTTCATTCCGGGGATTATTTTGTTACGATTACATGACAGTGGTGTGCGTGCACTGTAGACCCTACATCAGAAGGAGTGTGTATTTTTTGTTGTAGTGATTCATGTGTGAAATCAGTGACATATTATAAAGTGATCATTAGAAACACTTGAGTATGATTAACTGTTACAGTAATAGATAGTTCACATTTTATAGCAAGGTTATACACACACATGGGTCAACACCAAATTTATACCTAGAATTATTCATGATGTGTTTTTTATATTGACATTTGTGTCTGTATAATGGAAGCTTCTGATTATCTGAGATGAATCGTCGTTTAGGATTTCGGGGACGGTGCCAGACAGACACAGGAGTCATTGTGAGGTTGAGGAAGAATCCACGGCTCCAGAAGAACCATAGATCTAAAGTCGTGACCCTGCTACTGAACAACCATGATCTGGAGCAGGATCTACAGGGTGATATCCGGAGTAAACTGCCCAGTGTCCGGATCAGGAGGTTCACGTCATCCAGGTCCATCAAGGACCGGCGGAGGGACCTACACAGGATCAGCGAGGGCCGATACGTCAGACCCCGGCCCTTCTGGGAGAGATACGAGGACCTGAAAAACAGAAATAGAGTGTCCTTTAGAAATGTGGCTAGGGCAGTCAAGTAAGTAGTCTGTAGAGAATTAATGGTCTTATGGTCTAACAGTCAAACAATCCAAAATCTGATATACAATGAGCCAAAACCATGTATTTTATCTAACTTAAAAAATAAAGGTTGTTGATTTAAAGCACTCAAATTCAAGAAAATTTTTATGAGAATCATTGGCCAAAAAATGGTGAGAAAACTGAGGTAGCCTGATGGCATTTTTATTTCACACTATGAAACAATAACTTTTGTGAGATGTAAAAAGTTTAAATCACCCACAAAGCTACTGATAATTTTGGAGATACGGTGTCAGAGAATTGTGTTTTTTGAGTGACATAGCGTGCTAAGGTTACTGATTTCACAGATTGTTTACTTTTTTGTAGAGTGTCAACCTTGGAGAGAATAGAAATACAAGCAAGGGTGGGTATAGCTTTACATTTAATACTGCAAATAAGGAAATATAATCAGCAGATCATAGATTTTATTGTCAAAATTCAGATATGACATCAAGAGGGTTTTATACAAGCATAAAAATAAAATAAGCCAGCTGGAAGAAACATTTAATTGTGAATCATAAGTCAAGTAATAAGTATACCTACTGGCTATTTATAATTTATGGCTTAATGTTTTCTGACAAGTTCGTGTAATAATTTATCAGTCAGTAATTACTGTCCATATGAATTACAACATACATGAATAACTTTTTATTAGTTAAGGCAGTGCAAATAAACATCAAGAAGTGAGTTTTTCCTGTTTAAATCAAGTGTTATCATCTAATGCATGCACCCTACCTTAACAAGTTATTTGATACCACATACTATGTCGTTGAAAAAGATGTTGACACAGTTGTTTTTATGATTATTTTTTATGCATGTTCTGTAACGGGCTTTCTATGTTTTTTTTTTTCTATATAAAATTGTCTAGTATCTTGAAGTTTTACTGAAGTGGACTTTCATTGTTTCAAAATTAATAATCTGAAATACTTTAATTTCTATTTATTTTTGAAATGCCTTACCTAATTTGATTACAACAATATATATGTAAAATGTTTTGAAATCTGTTTTATTGAATTCATTTGACAGATACTTTAAAAAACATACAATTTAGTATATACACATACCGGTACTTTTTTTGTTTTCTAGAAATGGCACAAATGGAGGATGATGTTCAAGGACATTCGTCAATCCGTGACCTTGTTCCACGGAACTCTCAGACAAATCGAGGGTAAAGTATCAAGATCTTATCTCTCATATAATTATGGTTTTATAACCAGAAATTTAAAAAAAAACTTCAGACAGATATATTCATATTTTGTCATCAGCATTGAATGCTCTTTAAAAATATGCTAGCATATACCATTAAAGTAAGAACGTGTACATAAGCAGTATGTTTTTACTACAGGTCGGTATGGAATGGCCATCATGACCTACTTTCGCTTTGTGAAATGGCTGATGTTCCTGAATTTTTACATCATGGTCATCATGTTCACAATCTTAGTGATTCCTTATGCTGCCCTCAATTCCTCAAGTTTTGATCTTTATGTGAGGAACATTACTTCTCCAGAACTTAATGTCACAAGTGAGGAGTATACAATGATAATGCGGACAGTGAACTGTACCCAGCAGTACATTAAACATATAGACAAAATACATGGGCCTACACATTCAAAGGCTACTTTATTTCTGGATCTCATACAAGGCACGGTAAGCATTAACAATGTTTATTCTAAGTATGAAACGTCCATTCCATCATGATCATAGCTGTGCTTTTCTAATGCACAAAAATAACAGCAGTGTCAAAATATATTAATTAAGTTAAAAAATTTAGGGAATGATTTTGTCACTGAATGCATATATTTCCTTCATTTCTCTAGCACATTCAAATCTTGTTTAAACTGCTTCTTTTTTGTGGTAGAGTGTGTTGAAAAATACTCATAAGTAATGTGTGCAAGGAAAAATTGTTGTGACTTAATTCATATAATTGCTTGTTTTCTCCAGGGTTTTATGGAGAGATCGATCATGTTCTATGGAGCTTATAAAAACAGGACCCGTACAGACAATGGTCAGGAGGTGGTGTATAATGTAGGAGTAGCCTACCTCTGCAGCGTCTTCTTCAGCCTTCTCCTCAGTTTTATCCTAATCATCAAAAAGTAAGACTCTTATCATCAAATGCTATATGACCCCCTCCCCCCCCCCCTCCACCACCATCACCAGCACTGCCATCACTTAACACTGACCAATACTGTATGACCTGAAAAACAAGACCTTTACCTTGAAAGATTTTTAAGTTAAAACTGCTGTCCTTGACCTTTAAGATATGACCTTGTCAATGTTTTACACACTATAAGGTCATGAGCATCAATGTATAAATGTATAATTTTCTTTTTTATATAATTCAGACCTAAAAAACTAATTATACCCCACGCAACAAGTTGCATGAGGTATAATGTTTTTGACTCGTCAGTCAGTCAGTCCTGGCCTGGGGGGCATAGAATTTATACGAACTCACTTTTGATCTCAATCTCATTTTTTTCCAAAGGAATATATAGCGGAAAAGTGAGACTGAGATCAACAGTGAGCTCGTCTTAGATTTATGGCCCCCAGGCCTGTTTTTTTGTCAGCACAACTCCTCATAAACTGCTGCACAGATTTTCGTCAAACTTTGCAGATATTTAGAATATAATGTGTAGATGTGCATATAACCAGGAAATTCTGATTCCTTTATTTTTTCCGTGAATTCCACACTTTAAAACTTAGATTTTTGGCCATATCTTGAATATAGAGATGTTTGTCAGCACAACTCCTTTTAAACCGCTGCACACAATTTCGTCAAACTTTGCAGGTATTTAGGACACAATGTGTAGATGTGCATATTGCCAGGAAATTCTGATTCCTGTATTTTTTGCGGGAATTTCCGCACTTTTCAACTTAGATTTTTGGCTATATCTTGAATATAGAGATGAACAGTTTGTCAGTGCAACTCCTCTTAAACCGCTGCACACAATTTCGTCAAACTAAGCAGATATTTAGGAAACAATGTGTAGATGTGCATATTACCAGGAAATTCCTATTCCTGTATTTTTTGCGGGAATTTCCGCACTTTTAAACTTAGATTTTATGGCCATATCTTTAATATAGAGATGAATATTTTGTCAGCACAACTCCTCATACAGCTGCAACAAGTTTTGTCAAATTTTGCAGATATTTAGGACACAATGTGTAGATGTGCATATTACCAGGAAATTTTTATTCCTTTATTTTTTCGGGAAATTTCAGCACTTTGACTTTTGGGGGAGCGTGGGGTATGTGAGCTTGCTCACTTTTTCTTTCATTTCAATATCTTTAAGGATTGAAGCTTACCCTTTAGTCAGCATGAATATTTTTACATTATTTAACTTAAGTCTTGAGTAATTAATAATTAACCTAAGTTTCAACCATTTCAGTGAGACGGTTCTAGAATTATGACCCTACATCATTTATTTGACAGGCAAACAGACCAAAAGATGTTTTGGATTTGATGCTTTGAGTATAATAAGAGATTATGGATTCAAATTTCAGTTCTGCCAAAAACATGAAAGCCTCCCATGGTGTAGAGAAGTCCGTGGCACAGTTTACCAATAAAGTGTTTGGTGGCTGGGACTACTGCATTAAAGAGGTCAAGGCAGCCAGTCATAAAAGGAACGTCATTGGAGTCGCATTAGTGGTACGTGTTATAACTTACTAACAGTGACTGGTAATAATCAACAACAAATAGTACACAAAAAGAAATGATTTTAAAGAAATTGAGTTAGGGCCATCAATTTTTTTTCTCTAATTTAAAAAATAAATTAAGTTCTTTGATGTATATATATTGTTTGATAGCTATTCTTTGTTTTATATAGGCTGACCTAGCAGACCAGGAGCGTACAAAGCGGCTTGGTCTCCGTACATTGGTGGACTGGTTAGAGGTGTGGGGGATGAGGATCGTTATCAATATCCTGGTGGTCATTCTCCTGTGTGGATCCCTGGCTCTGATTGGACTCACCACATCTAAGATGATAGATGTAAAATATATTAAGATTCTACACACTGTGTGTTACAGTTTATGAGATAATCTTAAGTGGCAAGAAATTACTTCCTGCTGATTTTAGATTTGAAGCAAAACACTTCTCTTAAGTGTTGCACTCACAGTTTTATACCTCTGGGGATTTTTTTTTGTAAATGTAGGTACATGTATTTGTTTTTCATCTTCCTACTAATGCAGGGGAACATCTAGTAATTGTACCATCAAGCAGTAAAACAAAATGTGTAGCTTAGCACTGAGCATTATAGAGCAGAATTTAAGCTGATTTACTGATGAGACACATTTTTTTTAACAAATGATTGTTTCCAAAAGAATCAGATGTATACAAATTTTACATTTCCTTTTAGGAAAGTGATGGAGAAGGTTCAAGTGCAGCTTCTAACCTGTTCTTCCAGTTTGTTCCTCATCTAACAATTAATTTGCTGAACTTGGTTGTGCCTCGAGTCTTTCAGAAGCTTGTGATATTTGAAGAGTACACACATGAATTTCAAATTAAAATTACACTCTTTAGGTAAACAATTTTTCATACAAGAAATATACATGTACAAGAGAAAAACTTAGTGGTATCTGCTCATATGAAAAGCATGGTTTACCTGAATAAATGACTTAAAAAGCAGTTTACACTGTTTTCTCAGGAGTAAGTACAGAAGGCAGTAAAGTAATATACACATAAATTAAATGGCATCAGGATAAAAATTTGTGTCAATACTAGGGATGGCAATTGAATTGCTAATCAGATAATCACAATATGGTGAGACCAACTACTTACATACTCCTAATATTAATATTATTTCAGGAGTATCCTTCTTCGGTTAGCCTCTCCAGTAGCATTGATGGTTATGCTGTACCATAAGTTGTTGTTGGAAGATGATAAACAGAAAATTTGTGGAAACATTCAATGGACAGAGGATGATGACCCAAACTCAGTCAGGGTAGGTGCATAACCCCCCACCTCCCAAAATAAAATTTTTCATCTGTTGGTATTTTAGCTGCAGTACTATAGCTCTGTGGAATAGAAATTTAGACAAACTACTAGGGTTGTCCGTAAAGTTCGTGGACAAGCTAAAAATTTAATGAAAGTTGTGTCATTGATATTTATTATTGGCATATTTCTAATCTTTTACTAAATGTGAATTGAAAAATTTGAAATTTCATTGAATTTCAAATGTTTAATTACAATTATGGCTGCATAATAAGACTTGGTATGGAGACTCGGAGCAGTGCAAAATTTTAATTTAAAAAATTACCGGTATTTATCACTTTATAAATTTCATTTGTTTTTTATAAAATTCTGGGGAAATCTGGAAGAATTTTACATTATGAGGTTGAAAAAAATTTATCACGTCAAATCTGCAAATTTGAACGTTCAAAGTTTCAAAATGGCTGAGCAATCAAAGTTAAAACATTTTAAGACAGGGTCGGAATTGTTCAAAAAAGAGACATTTTCGGGATATGTGGAGCAGTGAACAGTGATAAGATTCTGCGTAGACGTCTGAAAAACACCTACAAAGACCATACATTCTGTAAACAATCGGAAAAACATAGTAAAAGAAGTCGTTCACTAGTATTTAAGTGGCATATAATATTTTTGGACGTTTACTGGATGACATGCATGAAGGAAAACCATCATTCCGAGATTGCAGTGCTGTAAAAAATGAATTTCGTTACGTGATCATGTCTTTGCCGTATTTCTGTAAATAAAATCGTCTTTACATGGACAGAGGTTGGATGATTGCAGGATATGAGACAGGCATTGTTAGATATTATTTTACGAATGAAACCTGAACATTTTGTGCACATTTTTATGACTGGTTAAAATGACATAAGAAATGTATTGAGTTAAATGGTGACAATGTTGAGAAAAGTTACATGTGCACATATTTAGCTTTTGAGGTCGGGTAACGTCAAGAATTTTTGTTTTAGTACTCCGGGTATGAGTGTTTGTCTTTTTGTATCTGATAAAAATTTAACTATTTGTGCTTTGATTTTGTTGAAAACTTGCATATTTATGAAATGAAACATGAACTTATTGAAAATAATACTGTATATGGGGTTATTTTCGCCCCGTGTTATTTTCGTCCTTTCACACTTGAAAACAATTTTGTCCCGTTTTAAATTCGCCCACTTATAGTTTTGTTTAAGAAATAATACTGTCGTCTTTGAATTTGCCCCATTTTAAATTCGCCCAAAAGAGGATAGGGTGAAAGGGGCGAAAATAAAACGGGGGCGAAAATTTCCCTGTATACAGTAGTTTCATATATTTTGTCAATGTTTGTCAGTAATTATCAATGTTGTCCATGAACTATGTGCAACCCTCTTATAATGTTTGTCTTGTACATATTGCATCCTTTCATCTTTCTATCTTTCCATCCTTCCCTTTGTCTGTCTATTATACTTTCATCAACCTTCATACACTACAGATTGGCGAGCGCTATTCAACTATGCCATAATGTTCGGTCCTAACCTTCCCTCTAACCTTGACCTCAATATTCCCCTGTACCTTAATCTTAAACAAAGAAGCGAGGTTTATTTCTTTTCAAGTTGCATTACTGATGTATTTATGCCCTATGGACTTGCCAGGGTATTTCTAGTCTTTGATTTATTTTCAGTGTTGGGAGACCTATGTTGGACAGCAGGTTTACAAACTCTTGCTGATAGATATAGTTATTGTTATACTGGTGGTTTTACTCTGGCACAGCCCCAGGAGGTAAGCTCAGAAAATATCTGTAAAAAAAATATCAAATTTTACAACATTGCAAATTCTGCAGGATTTATTGAAACTGTCAGAACTTGTCACTATCTCTGCCTCTGTTGAACATTGATACAAAAGTGATAGTTTATAAAGGGAATATACTTTTGTACAAAATGAAAACCCTCTTTTTTTTAAAAATTTTAATATTTATAGTTGTCTTTTTATTTTCGTAGAAGAAATAAATTGATAAATGATATCCATTGAAATTTATTTCAGATATGTTAATACAAAATACAGGGATCGCTCTAAGATTGTGAAGTTTATTGGTCCCCAAGAGTTCGATTTACCAAAGAGTGTTGTTGATATTATTTATGCACAGAATCTGTGTTGGTGAGTATAAACAAAACTGTAGCAGAAAAAATGGGGGTAATGCTGTGGTAGTTCTTTGTTTGTCTAGATGTACCATTGTAGATAACATTAACCATGTTAAAATGTTGTAGACCCTCAAGTGGATCAATTTCAAACATGGTATAGTTTTTCCCTGTGATATTCTGGTGTATCTTGATGTGACCATTAAGAGAAGCTTATTTGGATAAGGTCAGAGGACCTTTATTGTTGAAAAAAAATCACATATATGATTAAGATTTAACAAGATGTAGTTTATAACGGAATATTTACATTTCCAATGTCTTTACAAATAGTTAATTTACTTTATTTCTAAATGAACTGGTTCATCGATAGGGGTGTTTTAAAAAAATCAGGTGCAGGGTGGAACAAATAGAGACAGAAACGGGACTTAGAGCATGTGGATTGATGGAATCAAGAGCATGTAAATATAAGGAGTATATGTCAGATTTTTTTATTCCATGACAATCATCAATCGATTGGCTTGCGTGACAATTTTATGCATAAAACGCAAGCCACTTGATTGATCACATCATGCAATGAAAAAATTCAACAGTTATTACTTAAATAAATTCTGAGGTTTAGTTTCCACTCATTTCAATGCAATGAAGATAACAGTATTGAGGTGTTATATACGAATACAGTTGGTGTAATCACAGTAATCATGTCATTGTCATAAATGGTTTTCAGGCTGCAGTTGCACCTCTTCCTTATTTTAATACTTTTATGTTAGTCCGGTCTAGGTGATTTATAGATGCTAATATAATAATAGCTCTTTACATATTTCTGAAAATATGCTGTAAAAATTAGATTGTTTTGTAATGTACATGTACATGGTATGTCTACATGCTTTCAGTACAATGTTTTATACAGGTTTTGTTTTATTTCAGGTTCGGTCTACTATTCTGTCCATTGATTCCAGCCTTTACTTTACTACATAATATCATTGTATTTTTTGTTAAAAAGGTAAGGCATTTTTTAAATACCCGGTATCAGCTAAAAAGTGTAAAGTAAACATGTTAGCTATAAATGTATTTTACTGTATATGAATGAGAAAATCAAGTTATTATTTTATTTATGTAATTAATTGATAACTTGTAAGAAGTTTTACATTTTGTTTGTAGTTTGACCTTTTTAAGAACTGCCGCCCTGAGTCCCGGCCATACAAAACCTCAAAGTCCACGTCACTGTTTATGAAGGTGTTGTTGCTGTCTTTCATGTGTGCTGTTATTCCTGTAGGATATGTGATTGGGAAGTAGGTTAAAAGTTTTCATTCTGTAAAACATATAGTAACATTGTCAAGGGTTAAATTATCTGTTTGAATGGATTCTTTGCGTGGTCAAAGAAGTCTGAATTCATGGAGAGCATGAAATTGTGGGTCAGTTCATACCTCCAAAACATATACAGTGGACCTTCAGATATCCGGACCCCAGATATCCGGATGCTTCAGTATTCGGACGATTTTTCATCGGAACGGAATTTGTAAATGTAGTATTGTCTTGTTTAACTGGTGATTCAGGTATCCAAACGCTTCACGTATCCGGACAAATTGACTGGGAACCAAAGAGTCCGGATAAATGAGGCTCCACTGTAATAGTAAATTCTAGCTTCTTGCATTATTCATTTCAGAATTCAGCCAAGCCAGAGTTGTGGCCCTTTTCGGATGTATGGTGATGACTCTTATAAGATGTATCACAGCTTAGTTAATAATGTGTACTCCTGGGCCAAAGTACCCCAGACTGTGTTCTTCTTCATTGGGACTGGTATCTTCGTGGTTCCTCTCCTTGTTCTGTTGCTGTGAGTGAGACATTCATGGCAATAAATTCACACTGATTTGTACATGTACTGGGTATTACTATCAGTGGAATTTTTAGCAAGACACAAATTTTTGGACTTGTCCTAAAACAAATTAATTTTATCTAGTAGTAAATTTAATTAGATAAGTGTAACCTCTGATGTGGATAAATTGTGAGTGATATTTAATTTTAGTCGTCTCAACACCCCCATTTGGCATTTAAGGTCATACACAATGTACAGTAAAACTCGGTTATAACGAAGTCACTGGTACCTGTGAAATTACTTCACTATATCTGTTATTCGGTATAACTGTATAAGATAGTCACTAAATTTATATATTTGGGGATCCAAGATGACTTCGCTATATCCGTAAATTCGCAATATCCGTGTTCGTACTAAATGAGTTTTGCTGTAGTTTGAACTTTATTGGGTTCTTCCCTGGAGTTGAAGAGTTCCACTCTATGAAGGACCAGTGTGCAATACTTTAATGTTTATATGGATTTGTACATCCCTTCTAAAAAAATTTTTGATGAAAAAAAATCTGGAATTTATGATTTGTAATTTTTGTACATTTTTCTTTGAATAATGCAAAAATTTTCACAATTTGATATCTTTTCAAAACCCCTGGTAACGCATACTGATTTTTTGTCTAAGAACATGTAATGGTATTTCAAGTTTAAATTTAGAATATCTTGAAAAATTATCAGTAGGTGAGGTATGTTGTGCATGTCCTTAAAATGCCAAAATTGAATCCTCACTAAAATTTCTGCTTATATGGTAATCTTGGCAGAGCTTTTGAAAATTTTCTGCTAAAGTTTCACAATATTCAACCAAATTCAGTTGATTCATCAAGGTTGAAGATTTAGAATACACTGAGAATAGTTTTTATCTAAACATCGTATTTTTAAAATTAATTTATATATATTATTTAGGTTACTGATGTATTATTACTGGGTGATTGGAAGTGGATACGCTACTAAAAAGGAGATAGCAATAGAAGACCTGAAAATGGTAAGATGTTTAGAAGTTACATGTCAGGGGTCTATATATCATAAAGTGAAAATGAATTTACATGTATCTCTTCTGCTTCTAACTAACTAGCAGACTAAAGTACTACATAAGTATGATGAGCATAGTTGTCTTCTCCTAAATTGTGAAATTCATGGCCCCCAGGTTCAGTGGTAGTTAATAGGAATAGACTTATTTATCATATACTGAAAATGCATTAAATCTCTTCTGCTCCTTCTTACATAGCAGACAAACTAAATACATGCTTACGTTGAGCAAAAATGCTTCTATTATGAAATCCATGGTCACTGAACCAGAAGTTACTGAGTCAGGGAAGGGCTTGTTTAATAATATGACCGGATGGAAATTTTTACTCGGCTAAAAGAAGTTATTTCCCTTTGTTAGGCACCCATTATCATTAATCACAGTAAATAATGTATTTGATAGGTTAATGACAGAAAAAGTGAAAGAATAATAAAAGAATTTTTTTACGTTTAATACAAAAAGTAGTTTATGATACTCGGGTAGACTTGTAAATAATAAATAAAGAAAACAGAGACAAAAGTACTTTATATTTGCTTGTTATACTATGTTAATACATTTACTGTGTTTTAGGCTTAGAGAACGAATGAATTGTTGAATCTTTCATGTAGTTGTATCATACGTAAGGTCCTTTGGCATCTTGTTTTAAAAATTGATGTTTATCTTTCAGGAGAAGATGGACACTAAGTTTCTCCTGAAGCGAATTAACAAGGAAAAGGAGGAACTGCTGAGGAAAGACAGTGATTGTTGATACTCAATGGACAGCCATGGTATACTGTCATAAAGCAGCAGTAGCATTGTCATAGCTATAGCAGTGGAATCATTGTCAAATTAATAGCAATACCAGTATACTAGTGTCATAATACTAGTATCATTGTCATAGTAAAAGCAAGGGGAAGTACAGTCATTTATAAAAGATAGATACAGAATCTAGTAATTTTTGGTTACATGGGCCATTTTTTATATTAAATTTTACATCTTTTGTATGTTTTATGAACTTATGTCACTTTACATGCATTTTGATCATATTGTATGGTACCATTTTTTTCATACAGCTACATGCAAGTTAGCATAAACATGATAACTTGAATATGCCTTAATACAACCTTTACTTTTTATTCCCATCTAATTGTGATGATATTGATACATTTGCTTCTGTCAGCAATGTAAATATAATATGACTTGTGTTCATTATTTCTTGTAAAAGCTTATTTTAACTTGAGATTGCATTATAGGACAGTAACAAGTTGTCATTTTTTTTTATAGTAATAGTTACCTTTATACAAGATATTTTTGTGAAAAAAAAATGACTTACAATGTTTGCATGGATCTCGTTGCAATGAAAATTTTCCTCTTTGTTTTGTAACAAAAAATGGTGAAATAGCATTTGTGTTCACTCTGACTGCAATGTTTAATTAGAAATATGGTTGTAATATACAAATACTTATGTTTGTCATTGTGGGATATATTGTCAGTAAACAGAAAATGGAATCTCCGTATAAGGGGGAATCTCATTTTGAGTGCAAACTGTAAAAGGTTGCTAACAGGAAATAACCTATAGCAAACTTTATGTTAAAGTTCACTTAGTAAAACCATATAATATGATATGACCATATAATACCATTCTATTAGAGATCCTGAAGTGCCTGAAGTGTTTAAATATCATAGACAGTAACTTGCAATATTAACACACAAATGTTTCATGACTTATATGATATCTTGATCAAATGATTCAGTGGAAAATATGCCAAAATTAATCATAAATTGTAGACTATTTGCTTATTTTTAGAGAAAAAGTTTTAATGCATCTTTTTAACTATATTCATGTACTGTGTCATTGTTGTGAAATAGGCTGCATTTCATTTTATTAGCTCACGGCTCAAGTGAGCTTTTCTGATCAAAATTTGTCCGTTGTCTGTTGCCGTTATTGTTGGCGTCATTGTCATAAACTTTTTACATTTTCGTCTTCTTCTCAAGAACCACAGGACCAAATTCAACCAAACTTGCCACAAAGTATCCTTGGGTAAAGGGAATATAATATAAGTTTGTTCAAATGAAGGGTCAAGCCCTCTTCCAAGGGGAAACAATTATGAATTAATGAAGAATTAATGGTATCATTTAAAAATCTATTTCTCAAGATCCACTGGGCCAGGAAAAATGAAACTCAAGTGGAAGCATCCTTGGGTAGTTTAGATTCAAGTTTGTTCAAATCATGACCCCCGGGGTTGGACAAGGCCACAATGGCCTGTCAAAGTTTTACTTAGGAATATACAGGAAAAATCTTATCAAGAACTATTAAGCCAGGAAAGCTGAAACTCATGTGGAAGCATCCTTAGGTAGTGTAGATTCAAGTTTGTTCAAATCATGACCCTTTGGGATAGGGCGAGTCCACAATGAGGGATCAAAGTTTTGCATAAGTATATATAGGAAAAAAATCTCCTCCAGAACAGAAAAGTTTTGTTTAGTCAAATTGACATGTAAGCATCTGCAAGTACTAGTAGTGAAGTTTTAAATTTATTCAAATGATGTCGGGGGGGGGGGGGGGGGGGGTCCTTGGAAAAATCTTTTCAAGTAAGGCAAAATCACATGTATGCTTAATTTATATAGTGACATTCTCAAGTAATAGAAAATTCAAATCCCCCTCCCCTAACAAGTATACTTTTCAATACTGAGCCGATTTGTGTCTTTTAACTAGCCCATGTGCTCAGGTGAGTGATATGGGCCTCTAGTTTCAAATGTTAGAGCTTACAGGCAGCCTGTATAATTAAGGGCATCACTAGTCAGATTTAAAACTTTTTAAAATACTGTTTCATTCTCTTTATTGGCATTCATGTGAGCTTTACTCTTTATGTTTTGTATCTGATATTCAGATTTTAATTTATATAGAGGACCAACATTTGTTATTTGCATTTATATTTATTAACTACTTTGTTAATGTTATTATTTTTTTTATTGTTAATGTATTTATAAATTGGTATAGAATATTGAAGCTTTCATAAATAAAACCCGATATCAGATTAACTTGTTTATCTGGTTGAATATTAAAGAACATTTCTACTACTGTGGTTATTGCACAGATCAAAGAAATGCTAAAGTCATTATTCTCCAATAAATCACAAACCTCATCAACAAATTACCAAGTATCAGTAACTTTAAATTGATTTCCTTTAAATTTGACTGCTCTTACTAAGTAAAGGACATAGGTCTTTTTTGATTGTGATGCTTCTTGGTAGGAAATATATGGTTTTGAATACAAAAACCTTTCTCTGTGGACTTAAGGTTTTTATTTGCCAACAAAATCTCCAGACTATTGGGGTATATCACCAAGAATTTCTTCATCACAAACCATGGTTTCGAGTCCACAAGCCCCCTCAATAGGTGATAGAATTGATGTGAAACACCTGGGTGATCGATGATGTGCTGATAGAATCGATGTGAATCACCTGTGGGTTACCAAGGATGTGGGAATTTATATCTTAAATATAAATGACATGGTTTGTAGCATGTCTGGATTTCTTAATACAAATGAAGTTTTCCTGCCTTTTGAAACCATATTCTGTGTCATCACAACCAGAGGCCATTACTGTAACTAATATATGTATGCAACTAAATATTCTTCGTTTGAATTTGTGCAGATATATTTTTATTGAATACCTTATTAACAACTAGTATATATAGAGAATGTTAATTAAAAACAAACAGAACTTTATTTATTTATATGGCAATATAATGATATGTTTCATTAATTTTTTAAAGAATGCAGGAGTTATTCCCCTTTATTCATAAGAAACAAAAAAAAAATACGTCCATGCATATCTTTTCAAATTATTTTTAAAATGAATTGTAATATCTGTTGTCCAGACAGTATATCAACGTCCAGACATAATAACAATGGCTAGATTTTCATATGATGAACTAAAATGTATTTCTCTGAATTTGAGAATCTTGAAAATTATCTCTCATAAAAAAGACAACAAAAGTTTTTGGTAACAAAATATTTACCAAAACAAATACAATTAAAGGTTAAATAATATCACATATAACGAATACTATTTTTAAAATGAATTAAAATCCCTGCATAGATAAAGAGAATTGCTTGTTGCATAACTATTGAGTTCCTAATAGAAGACGCCGTCAAAGTTTTCTTTTGAACTCTAGGATGAGATCTTTCCACGATCCATCTGTCCAGTTGTACAGTCGCCTCTTTCCCCTCAGGTTCATGTCTGTATTGTAGTAAGCTGTGAAAACTATATGTTCCCATGACGGAGGATCAATAGCACCTGGAAAAGGAAGAAAATGCTTTACCTGATGTAGTTCATATTTCATATGGGGGTTTCATTGGAAAACATATACTAATGTCACTTAATCACATACCTTTGATTTTCACATTATCATCTATCAGTAAGTGTCCACTGACCATAGTTTTGTCTCTGGTCAGTATAATTTTATTTATCCAGTTCTTCCCTAGATAATGCTCAACCCACATGAACTGCAAATAAATCATTGTAAATGGATACAATAATAATTTTTCTTGGATCTCAAAATTTGCTAGACTAATTGATTCATTTTAATGCATACTGTAGGACACTCTTTATTATTTTTCTCACAATGAAGTTCAGATATAGTGATGCAACTTGTATGTTTTTGTTTGTGGATGTGTTGTGTGTCAAATGGAAGTGACATCATTTGCATAATGTTTGATGTCTCTCATTTCTAGGAGATACTCCACTTTGTGGTGCCCTTGTTATATTACATTTTACATATCTGTGTTTCCTTCCTCCACATGTAATACATAAAGTATCACTGGTATAATTTAACAAATATTAAACTTTTGAAAAGAGTGGTTCTGCTGCAGATATAACTACTCAAAGTACATGTAGCTTGCAAGTGCCACTTTCATCCTAACTTAACAAAATTTCCTTTGAAGCAAAATTTTTACAAGTTTGGTCTGGTTTTACTTGAAGTAAAGAATGGACCTTCTCCAAATTCTTTCATGTTTATTGTTTAATAACCAAAAAAGTATTAGCCAGATTCAGCATCTAAATCAAGTCAAGTAGAGGTGATTAGGTGAACCTAGAAGCATTGTCCATGCAAGTACAACTGTTATGATGAAGGGCTTACAAACTTTAATCTGGTCCATCATCAAGAAAAATTAAGGTCAGATTTAAGATCAGAAGTAATCTGGCAGCTTCATCACAAGATTATCATCCATGCAAGCTTGTTGGGAATAGACCCTATAAAATGTGACCTCGTCATTCATCTGGAAAATGCAGCTCTAATCCTATGGTAGATGCAAATTTGGGGCTAAACAAAAAACTTACCTTTTCCTTAGCACTGTGTTTGTAGAAGAATAGTGGACTTGAACATATGAACACCTCTACTCTGCAACAAAGTTAACGGCACATGTATATATCTATATCATAGTAAATAGTAAAACACAAACATTTTATCCTGTTAAACTCAAGACAATAATGTTAATACATTTGATAATCATACTATCGGTATTTTTATAGAGTTAATATGTTCAGGCTGGTTATAAGTGCTACATTAGACTAAGGCAATAATTTTATGGCAAACTCATTCTCCTACCCATCCATCTCATTCATTTCTTTGACTGCACTGCAAGCACCAGCTATTGGAGGTAAATCTCGGAAGAATCCTTTAGACTCATAAACAGATTTAACCATTGGCTGCAAACAAAATTTTTAAGCAATATTCAAGTTACCGTCTGTGAAATGTGTCATTGATAAACTGTTTGATAGATTTGGGGTAATAATGCTAAAATTAAGGTTTTTCTCTCAAGTCTAAATTTGCTGATAGATACAGGGACAGTAAATCATTATTATCTACTGTAAAATATAATGAACATTAATATTTTGGGTTTACTTATCTAAATAACATATACAGAGCATATATTCAAATACTTTCATGAGTGGTATATACTGTATTTTTTAAAACTCGATCAATTAAGTCTCATCCAATTTACATGTAACAAAATCAAATGCAAAGACTTATTTGTATCACTAACTATAAAGCTCATGTCAAATTTTGTTGATCCATATCATAGCTTTTTCTGCCTTTAAAATCATGCATGAATGTATCTCTCAAAGCCCTCACTGTACAATGACTTTAATGAATTAAGTAATATGTAATGTATTTTTAAAGCATTTTTCATAGGAGTAAGTGAAAGTAGGATTAAGCAAGATAATTATATTAACAATTTTTTTTTTAAATACGGAATAGTAGCAAAAAAACTAACATGAATATTGTTTGCAAACACATAATTCAAAAATGCACAGTTTGGTCAATTTCTGCAATATTTTGCCATCTGCTGTGTCAAGTATGCATACAGTCAAATATGATGGGCACAAAGAAGCATGTTATTTGTGCATATATAGGCCTAAATAAGCAAGATTACTACATCATGTTTATACCTCTTTTGTGGCCTGACAGCTCAAGCTGGAATATAATTAATTATACAACAGAATTATTCATGGATTTGATTTGACAAAAATCTGTGAGTTGCATTATATACCTTCAGTCCTTCTTTTAGAGATTCATACTGATCAGCCAGGTAAAATGTTCTCCTATCTTCCAAAGCAACAAATGGTTCATCAGGATATTTCTGTTTCCATTTTGTAAGAAAGTGTCCCTCAAAATCAGCCATGACACCGTCTAGGTCAACGAGAACAAGTAACTTCTTCTGTGCCAGGGCAGCAACCCCTCTTCTCCCAGCCATATCGATTGTCAGTGCCTCACACGATACACAGGGTTGTTTCAACACTGCCACCCGTCCTTGGTTTTTCCATGATGTTTACATTAGTCGCTTATATCAAATAATTAAATAGGTTCAAATAAATATAAAGAAATGTATTATCAAGAGTGCAAAAGTAATTTAGATTAACTAAATTACTAAGAATATAGAGTACATGAACAAGCATAAATAACTCAAAAGCATTTAATTAATTAATTTGCTCTGTGACCTTCACCTCAAATTTTTACAGGATAGAAGGGGCATGCACAATTTCATCAATTTACAAGAAAGAGTGTAAAAAGAGCCAGACTATGATTATTGTTGGGTTTGTATTGCTCTGGTGCCCCATAATATTTGTATTTCTTTATCTCGTCTTTAATTATATGATACGAGGTAAGAATTCCGTGTGTATTGTTGTTCTTGGAGACATTGGACGTAGTCCACGTATGCAGTATCATGCATCATCATTTGCGGCTGAGGGGTTCTCCGTGGATATTGTTGGCTATGGAGGTTTGTAAAAGACTCTATGTTTTTAAAACAATGATTTAAAAGCGTTTTGGAGATTAATCGATCGTTTGACCAATTTTATTCATTTTTCAATCTGTTTATTTTTTACAGGATCAACACCACATTCTGTCATAAAAAAATCAGAGAGAATTACAGTTTATGAACTTATGGAAGTGCCAGGGGGTTTAAAGAGTAGGTTTGGTTGCTAGAATTTGGTCTTGTTAGTATTTAAATGAATTCCATCCATAATATTAATTTGCAAATAGAAAAGGTGAAAAATATAGTGATGATATAAAATTACATAATTATAAAAAATAATATTTAAAAAAAAGATAAAGAAAAAATACAATATCTATATTGATACTGAAAAAAATATTGGCAACTGTATATCCTTTCATTATATCAAATACTCCTTATGGTAGAGTTGCATGTTAGAGTTTATAATTCGTCCAGTAACTGTTAATTACTTTTTTATCATTACAGAGCTACCCCGTGTGCTTGGTTATGTTATTAAAGTTTTGTTTCAAAGCTGCACCCTTGGCTTAAAGCTCTTACTCTTGCCAAAGTCTGGATTTCTCTTTTTGCAGGTAATTTTCTCAAGGATTTATGTATTTATGGGTAATTTTTTAGTGTCTTAATTGGTGTTCTATTATTTCAGATTGAATAAAAAAATAAATGACATTAAATATGAATGACAATTCTAATTTCTTTACAGAATCCTCCTTCCATTCCTACGATGGCCGTGTGTTGGGTAGTATGTTTACTGAGAGGAAGTAAACTGTTTGTTGATTGGCACAATTATGGTTATACCATCCTTAGCCTTTCTTTGGGAAATGACCATCTACTGGTCAGATTCTCCAAATGGTTTGTGCCTACACATGTACATGTATACAGATAAAAGTATATGCATTATGATGAGACCTTAAGATAATATGCTTGTATAAGCAAGAGTTATTTACGCATTTATTTTTAGCTTCTAAGACAATATTAAGTATCTGATGATCTTTTTTTTCTACTTTTGTCAATTCCTTATACAAGTGTTACACAGTACTTATTGCTTGTAACGCTGTAAAGTTTCAAAAGTGATATGCATTAGACGGTATATGAATTTAAAGACAAAAAAATTCACATATATATTTTTAATCAATCACAAATACAGGTATGAACATGTATTTGGAAGGATGTCAGATATAAATATCTGTGTAACAAAAGCAATGAAGAAGGATTTAAAAGAAAACTGGAAAATCAGGTAAATGTACTAAAACCCCTATTAAAATAATTGATACAAATTATTTTCATGTTTATCTTTGTAATATGCAAATAAACTTTTATCATTGATAAGGGTGCATAATTTTATAATTTTTGAATGTATTAATACAGCACCATCTTTTAAAAGGCTTTGCAACATGAGATTGCATTATTTAAATGACTGAATTATTTTGGTTACAAAAAGTCAGGAATTGTCTTAACATCTTCAGAGCTGAGACCTTGTATGACAGACCAGCAGACATGTTTCAACAAACTCCATTACCAGAAGCTCACAAGCTGTTTACAAAACTTGCACAGCAGTATGAAGTTTTTACCAACAGGTCAGCATAGTGTATGTGTGTTTGTATGTGTGGGGGTGTTATTGGATAATCTACATTATTTCATAAATTGTTGGGGTTACAATGCATATGTCAAGGGTATTAACAAAGCAAGTCATGCTATACCACCGGTACATTAATTACAGGGATCTAGCAAACAGCACAGCATTTACAACACAATCACAGGATGGTAGAGTTGAATGGTTGACTGACAGACCAGCTCTGATAATGAGCAGCACAAGCTGGACAGGTACATAAACCGTAGGGGAAAAAAGAGGGAAATAATAGTCTGGTTAAAAAAAATCAATTAAAATATTTTACCAGAATATACCAACTTCCAGTATCTGCTCGAACTAATTTTGACTTCAATGAGTGAATCACAAGTACAGGTAATTTCGAATCTTGTTTGATCTCCCAGTTTACCAATTTAACCTGTGGTAAATATATTTTTTTTGTTTTTTACAGAGGATGAAGACTTTGGAATCCTTTTATCAGCTTTATCAGGCATGTTTATTTTACTACTACCAGAAATGTATTTACACAAAAAATGAATTTCTTAAAAAAGACTTACAATAAAACTTATAAAACATGGTTACAGAAAACATGCCTATAATGGATTCACATCAAAAGCAAAATGATTTTCTTCTCTGAAGTTAAAAAAGGTTTTCATCTGAGAAAGGTTACAAAATTCTTTGTCCCTGCACTGTGCTATGAGCATGTTTTACTGTATTTATTTTTACGACAAAGAAAAATGCTATGTGAACATTAAAGTTATTATTAAAGGCAAAATTGTCACCTTCATTTGTATTTGTAGAGTATGATGAAGCCTGGAAAAAAGAGAGTTCCCTTCCACAGTTAATATGTGTGATAACAGGTAAGGATATGTTAAGACCCAGGAAACAGGTGCCATATAGTAACCAGCAGGTCCCTCTATTTGTCAGACCATCTCTCATGTTTATAAAAGAACATACTAGAAAGGAATACCAACAAAGAAAGTTAATTTCATTACATATGTATATCCTATTCACTTCATAATTAAAAGAGGATCATCCTACTTTTTCACAATTTCATTTCACAATGTGTTTGCTTTTCCGTGACTACTTTTCGCTGATTTTTATGCCCCCTTTTGAAAAAGGGAGGACATATTTCTTTTCTGCAGTTATGTCTGTGGGCCCACCAACATTTTCAGTTTATTTTCTTTGCAGAGGTTGAACATACTGAAATGAAATTTGGTTTACAGATTTAACCAAAGAATATCTAGGTCAGGTTCTGTTATGGATGTGGTCAAGCAATTTTTGACAGAGTTATGCCCCTTGAACCTGGGAAAAATTCCAATTATTTGCAGTTTCCAATCATTTTCTTTGCAGAGGTTCCACACACAGAAATGAAATTTAGTATATAGATTTATTATATGAATATTCAGGTCAAGTTATGTTTTGGGTACTATCAAGCAAATTGCAACAGAGAACATTATGCCCCTTGAACTTGGAAAAATTCCAATTTTTTGCTGTTTCCATTTATTTTCTTTGCAGATGGAGGTTGCACATACTGAATTGAAATTTGGTATACATATTAATTATAAAAATATCTAGACCAGTTATATATTGCGTAGGATCAAGCAATTTTTGACAGAGTTATGCCGCTTGAACACTTTGAAATTCCAATTATTTGCAGTTTCCAGTCATTTTCTTCGCATGTCAGGGGGAGTGTTTCACAAACATCTATTGTTTGAGATTGGTTTTTACAACATCTGTTGTCTCCTTTATTGGATACCTACACTCTTTTGAACTGGTCACATATTTACCCTTATTTCTACACAGAGTTCTACACAGTAGTGAATACTAACTTGCAGAATTTTAAAAATTGAACCAATTTTGCATTTTACATTAGTCAGTGATAGATTTTAGACATTATTAAAATTGTTCATACCAAAACAAATCATGATAACAAACATACACTTGTATTGTACAGATACAACATGGCAAGTTGAATTTAACATGTGATTGTCTTGTAGATTCTTTCCTTACTAAACATATTTCCACTTCATAACTAATTTGTGTGATTTTTTTTAACAGGAAAAGGACCACAAAAAGAATTTTACAGAAACAAAATAGCAAATCATAAATGGAGTAGAGTTAAGTTTTGTTTACCTTGGTTAGAGGCAGAAGACTACCCTAAACTTTTAGGTAAATACTTTTAATATTTTTTCTTCTTTTTTTTTACCTTTTGTTTTCAGTATACTCAAATCATATCATGAAACATTAATGTATTTTTTTAGACACATATTACAGACTTTATTTTATAGTAAAATAGACTGTAGAAAAAAGACTATAGTGAAATAAAACTATGGTAGTTCACTAAGTGAATAAACAGGGACCTGCATTTAAAACGGAGGTAAATAACAATAAACAAAGTTTAAGCTTCACATACATGTAGCTCATTTATATCAGTATCAGTGTTTCAGTATGAATTATCTACCCTGACAGGAGCTGCAGACCTTGGAATTTGTCTTCATGCTTCCTCCAGTGGCCTTGACCTTCCTATGAAGGTCGTGGATATGTTTGGATGTGGTCTTCCAGTCTGTGCTCTCAAATTTAACTGGTAAATGGGCCATTTTCTTGTGAACTTCTGCTTAGACTACATAAACAATGACCTTGTGATTGTATGACCTTATGGTTGTAGGCATGTTTGTCAATTCTTTTTTCATTAGCAATCATCAAAATATTTCTTTCAGTATATCAGAATTAGTAGAACATGGACAGAATGGATTGATCTTTGAAGACTCTGAAGAACTTTGTCAGCAACTTAAGGTAATGAGTATTTTTTTTGTAGCAAATTTTATCATTTGACACAATCAACGTTAACATTTCTGACAAAATACAGATTAAGAACATCGCAGACACTTCCCTTAAACACTCGCCACTCCATAGATGTGCTCATTATAAGAAATATACCAATTTTATTTAAAATGTCATATTTTCTCTTTTTAGACTTTAATGATAGATTATAAAGGCGAAAAACCCAAGTTATTACAGATGAGAAATAATTTACAAAGATTTCAGACGATGAGGTGGCATGAATCATGGAAAAGCATTGTATTACCTTTACTAAAAGATAAAATAAAATCAGATTGAATACCTTTTTGTTGATTTTTTCATATTATTACAAGAGTGCTTATAGTTATACCTGTATTAGTGTTGCATTTCAACATTTAAAACTGGGTATAAATGAAATACATGTAAATATATGATCAAGCTCCAGTCCCTACAGATTTCCTTTTTGCATTTTTAATCTCTAAATTACGATTCATATCCTGTAATTTGGCACACAAGTAGACTACCACTAAGGTTCAAGTGACATCAAAATTCTGTGTGTCGTTGTCGTTGTTGTCGTTGTCGTTGTCGTTGTTGCCGTAAACTTTTCACATTTTGGTTACTAAAAATACAAATTTCTGTGAAATTCTGTTCAAAACCATGCCCTTTTCCTACAGTTTTGTTAAAAATTAATGGCAATTTTATAAAATGGCACACAAGTAGACTACACTAAGATACATGAAAATTCTGTGTATCGGTTTTTGATCATGACCCCCGATGAACGGTGTTGCCGTGGTTACATAAAAATGTGTAAAAATTTCTAAAAATTCTTTCAAGAACCACTGGTCCTACAGTTTTGGTCTGATTTCAGGTAGTGTATTCAAGCTTGGCAAACAAGTAGAATACACTAAGTTTTACATAGGAATATCTGTGAAAAATCTTTAAAAATCTTCTTCTCCAGAACCACTGGTTCCGGAAAGATGAAACTAAAAATGGAAATTTCTGTGAAATTCTTTCAAAATGCTACTGGGGCCAAAATGGCCTACCCAAGTTTTACATTTGGAATATTGAAATTTCATTAAAACTTGGCACACAAGTAGAATACCTGGAAAGATACATAATTCTGTGTATCAAGGTTTTTGACCCCCGATGAACGGTGTTGCCATGGTTACTAAATATATAGAAAAATCTTTAAAAATATCTTCTCCAGAACCAATGGCCAGGAAAGAAAACACTACTCCTCCTACAGTTTTAGATTCTGATTTCAATATAACTTGGCACATAGGGTAGAATGGCACCCAAGTTTTACATAGGAATATATGTGTAAAAATTTTAAAAATCTTTTTGACCAGAACGGTGTTGCCGTGGTTACTAAAAATGGAAAAGTCTGTAAAATTGTCTTCAAAATGCTACCCTCCTACAGTTTTGGCCTGATTTCAAGTTTTAGTATAATATATGGCACAAAATCTTTAAAAATCTTCACTAAGAACATAAAGAGACTTTATCAACGATCATTATTCTATTCAAGCTTGTTCAAATCATCCGGGGCAGCTGCTTAAGTACTTTTTACTTATATATGCTATAAATTCAAACCTAGAACCACTGGTCCAGGAAAGATGAAAGACTTGTGGAATCATCCTCAGGTATTATTACAAGTTTGTTATAGTTATACCTGTATTAGTGTTGCATTTCAAAGTTTTAAAAATGGGATATATAGGGAAATGAAATACATGTAAATATATGATCAAGCTCCAGTCCCTACAGATTTCCTTTTGTGCATTCTTAATCTCTAAATTACGATTCATATCCTGTAATTTGCCATTTTTTGTATCCCTCATCTTTTCCTCTCTTTGACAATTCCTTACTAGTTATACTGGTAATTTTAGTTCATTGTTCCAAGCAGAAAAGCCATCCATCAAAGAAAATGATTTCGGGGATCGTCTCAAAATTAAATTTCATTCAGTATTAATGTCATAACATTCACTTTTCTGTATGAACAGCAACAACTCTTAGAACTCTTTAGAACGCGACCGTCATTTTCCACCAATTTGGCACGACGTACGTATATCAGCATATTATCAAGGTATATTTTCACAACTGAAATTGCTATGAATTATTAACCAAAGGAAGAGAATTCAAGTAAAAACTCAAATCTATAAATTAAATAAAACTGTTATTAATAATGTATAAATTTTCTTTTTGTAAACTGTGAACGTTATTGACTATTAACAATGTTAGGCCTATATCACAGTTGCAAAAGTCAACAGGTATAAAAGATGTCGCTATTGTGACGTCAAATAACGCTGCTCTGACGTAAAAAAACATAGGTCCCCCCTTAAATATGCAATCATCTCAAAAGTCTATAACTCCACCAATTTCTGGACTCAAGGTAGATAGAACTACATGCACTGTAATAATGAAAAATTGAAAAAAAGAACCATTTAATATTTCATAGTTTATTACTCATCATGAAAATATAAAAAAAATATATATGTCGGAAATTTGTTACAGGAATATTTTTGATATGTAAATTGTATATAAAATGATATATGAATTTTTTATATATAGAGAATACATGTGATTGCACATACATCAAGACTACATACAGAGTTACATGTAAAACGTAATATTCAGATCTGGCAGATTTTGATTTCGTCTTGTAATGAACACTGAATCATACTAGCAGAAACTACCTGGGTGGTGCAAAAATAAATAAAGGGTTCTCCAATTAACTATTGTTCATCATCCATGTGACCATTTAAGTAGTTATAGTAAACTCGGCATTTCACAGGTAGAAAAAATGGCTGACATCGATTGCAGATACCAAAAGCAAGATATAGTTGTTGAGATAACCCAGAAAGACCAAAAATAATCTTTCAGAGCCTTGTGCAGGAAAGGAATGAAGCTACATATATGTATATAGACAATGTATATTAACTGTACATGCTTATATTATGCCACCTATTAAACTTCAAATAGTCACACACTGGATAGTTCTATATAAACAAACAGCCACCAGTATCTGTATAATTACGATTACTGTTAGTAACATAAAGTGGAATGTCTGAAATTAGCACTTTTGCTTCAATTGAATACAGATTCAATCTGATCAGTTCTTCACAAAATTGTCAATAATTGGACAAAATAAATTTCAACATGATAAATCTTTATAACATCTGTACAAACAGGAATAAACAATATTTACAAATGCATGCCTAACAACATATACTGAGAGACGATATACTCAGGAAAACAAAATAATAAATGAAACAGAATCTTCTAATCCAACATCCAGAGAGGGAAAAACCCGTAATTACATGCAATAATTTCTGAATAGAATCTCTAAATTGCTATTTACATATTTTGATTCATTTCCATTGCAGTTTCTGACACTTGGTGATCTACTGACTGGATATACAGTGCTCTGAATATACACATATAAACCTAAATTTAACACGAGATTTCTTGTTCAAGACACAGCTAAATTTTTGTCTATAATGAGTCCCTTATCAGCTTAAGCATAATTACAGACATAAACACAAAGGGTAGAACATAACGTCACACACACACACATACACAAGTAGTATATGTTTATACACACAGGGTAACTGTAGACCCGTGTTTGCACTCTATATACGAAGCACATATTAAATATATCACAGAATACAATAAGTGGTTTTGTCTAAACACAGTTCTGTACATTGGGGTGAAAGTTTCAATGATATCAACCAATCACCGTCAGTGGTAACGCTGAAGGCTCATCTTCTCATTTGGCCGCTTTTTGTGTCGATTTATTACTTGCATGTATTGACCAATCAAATTGGAAATATCAGATCCCTGCAGGAAAAAATATATAGTTCAATTAGAAGGTTACCTGTTAGATTGACAACAGCAATTAAAAAAAATAGCTTTCCTTACTTTGAGTTATACTCAAATTTTTATTTCTTACCTGATTTGTTTCAATTCTGACAATTTTTTGCACCATTAAATTGCCCAATTTCATGTCGAGAAAGTTATCCCCACTGTCACTGCGATAACGTCTTGTTGACAACACTTCACTGAATGAATAGTCCAGGAATGTTTCCTACAATAGAATGGGACTCCATCAACATTTTTAAATGTAAATATGAATTCTGAAACAGACTGGATGATACTGAAGAATGATCTCCAACTACAGTAAAATATGCTTATAGCAAAGTGCCTGAAACATACAAAATTTGTTCATTATAAAATTTATTACATCTGTTAAGATTACGTTTTACAACCTTGGACACTGAAAATCAGTTCGGTGTGTGAATTGATTCATTTGATTATAACCGTGTTTTACTGTTACTTACATGTGTTTCCAGACTGAGGAAGTGGATGCCACGTTTGTTTACAGCCAGAATGCACTCTCCTTTGATGACTGGCTGCGTCGGGGGATTCTGTCAAAAGCAAAAGTTCACATTTAATATTTTACTTTTAGTTTATTATTTGTTTTAACATTAAAATGTGTGTACTCTCTTTCTTCTAACAGCAACGGAGGAAGTAAGGAAATTTCTAAAATAAGCAAAGGTACGAAAACTCAGAACTTACCCTTATACTGAAAAAGGTGGATCCAAACAATGGCCAGCGTGAAAGAATGTCTGTAAAAATAACAACTCTTTAATAACTTTATGATCCAGAAGTATGCTTTACAGAACCAATGTATTCTAACCAATGAGTGTTTTTTACATGCATTGTAATTTAGGTTTAAAAGATGTTCAATTGCACTTGCCTACAAATCTGGCTTTACACTCTAGTGGACTTCTCCGCATGACATCCTGCATGTTAGCGTGGATTCTGTTAAGCCACTGCTGCTGGTGGTAGTCTGGCATTCTACGTACCGTCTCAGGAATTAGGTACGGCAAATCTTTCCTGTAATTAAATGTAATGTAAGGTACCCTCCATAGTATTTCTATTACTTGTTGATTAGTACATTTATTTGCTGTATTACTCCACTTACATTGTAGGCATGCCAACTCTGTCATAACCTCTGTGTAGTAAAGCTCCTAAAACACCAATGTCCTCCTACAAAAATTACATGTATTCACTGTAACATTCTATAAATTTTTACCTATCAATGTATAGTCTTCAGTTATTGAAACATTAAAGCTTAGAGCAACTTATTTTATGCTCCTAGAAAATTCCTGACCTAGATAATGAATTTTATATACTGTAAATGTTATTCGCAGAGCAAAATATCAAAGTTGAACTATCTTAACACTTCATTTTGCAAGGTCTAACTATGGCCCTCTATCAAATGTACCAGAAAGTCTAAGATTCTGCCAAAGCCACATCAGCTCTGGGTATCTATGTACATGTACCTCGTCACGATGACTTAATCGTCCCTCCTTGAGGACCACGACGAGGCCCTCAATGTAATCGGGAAGACTCTGGAAGAACATGAGTTCATTGTACAGAATGTTGTCGGTGGGCCGGAGAGGGTAATACCAAACAGTCCTCTGGAAGACAAGATCGTAACTCAGGTTGTTCCGCTGTAAGTCTGCGGTCACGTCCAGAACGTATTCCTCGGGCTTCAGTCGACTGAACACTGGGGGACCCATCATATCTTCCTCTGAAAATCCAATCAAAAAATAAGTTTCCACATTTTTATTTTAATAGAAATCTATTTTAATAATCAATTTACCAGGGTAATTTATAAAATTTACTTTTTAAACTACAGTAACTCAGAAGTTGATCTCACAGCCAATTAATAAAAAAGCCCTGAATTGACAACCACTTACTTGTTCTTAAAAATAGTGTATATTCCTCTATTTCCACACTATCGCTGATATTCAGCCTCAAACAAATCTCCTCTACAGCATCTCTAACAACCTAACAAAAATACAAAACAGAACTTTTATTTGAAATGCTCCTTTAAAATCCACCATTAAATGTCATTTTGAGAGAAAATTCATAAAATATACCGTATAGGTGGAAATTTTAGCGAGACGCAAATTTAGCGATTTGTCCTTAAAAACTGGTAATTTATTTTTAACGAGATGTTATTTTAGCGATTTTAAAATGCCACATTATAGAAGCTATTACAAATAAAACACAATTTATTTTTAGCGATATTTAATTTTAGCGATCTTGGCACGTTCGCTAATAATGCCAAAATTAAATCCTCGCTAAAAATTCGACTTATAGGTATTCAAAAATAGGCAGGAAATCAGATTACCGTGCAAGGTTTGATTTGAACCATTCCTTCTTTTTCACAACCACTAAAGATGAATCCAAATCTCTTAGAAATCCTGCCATTCTACAAAATATATAATAATTTGTGAAAACTGTTGAAGCTTTAATAAAAGAAAAATGGCAATTAAAATTCTTTTTGATATCTAAGCAAATAAGAATTTCAAAAAAAATGAAAGCGTACAGCTAAAGCTCGGATTTCCTCTTGGAGGGGAACATTTTTGCGTCCTCCATATTTGAATGTTTTTCGGAGATTTTGTAGACAAATAGAGGCGGCCCCACTATAGGTCCTCATAGGGTCTGAGGCTGTGTTCTCTAAGTATTTAAAAAGGTACGGCCTCAACGACTCAGTACAATCACAGTAACAGGCAACAATGGCAAACAATCGCCAGCCCATGATGCAACTCTTCCTACAATTTAAAAAAATAATATTCAATTACCTGTAGTAAAAGCATGCAATTAATAAACTGACTGTTAAGCATCAACATATGGTCTGCTCATAGAAAAGGCAGTGTGTAAAATCTGGCTTTTACTTACGGCTTCATGCTTCTGTTGCTAGTTGTTTGTTTACAAAGCTGACAGTAGACCTCATCCCTTAATTCTGGGTATTTGTGGCAAGTCTATCAAAAATGCCAGAAATTAGTGGAAAATTTCACATCTGTAAACACATACAGTATACCGATATTTTGTTTCTTTTCTAAAAGAAAACTTTGCTTACCTTTAGAATTTTGAGAGCACAGTCTACTTCAGTCTGGCTTGATCCCATTGGATAATCTCCCATAAATTTCATTATGCCTGTAACATAAGATTATATTTACATGACCTCCTGTATAAAAATTATACAAACTTTTTTCTATAAAGCAAACAACTTATTTTCAACAGATGAAATCAGGTTAAATTTACCAAGTTCTGCTGAAACTTACATAAGAAACATTCCAAAGCTAACTTGTTCAGCTCTGGTTGCTGTAGTTTCAGTAAAGAGGCTTGAATCGGGGACTGAAAAGAAATAACATTTTATTAAATTTACAAGCCAAAACAACTGTCTTTAAACTGTTATTTCTATTTCTTTTTAAATTACAAGAAAGTATGTCATCCACTCCAAATAATAAGAAAATACAGATGGATTCATAACATCATGTTCCTATTCAGTGAAGAATTTCATTATGATACTGCTGTTTGGAGTTCACTGCTTTGATTCCCCCTTGTCTATAGAAATAAGACTTTTATCATGATATTCCTGTTTTCCCCCCGATTTGTACTCACCCGTGTCCACTTGACCAGTTCTGCCTGTTCTCTCCATGTCCATTCTGCATTACCTGTTCAAATTTCATAAAATTTATCTTTTCAATTCTTAAAAGACAATTCCAGTAAAAGAAAATTTAGAATGAAACCTTCGGATAAATTTCAATTGATGAAATACTAGGTTTACTTATATCTAGTACACAAATATCAGATTTAAAGTTAATATTAGTAGTTAAAATGCATATACAAGTATACATGCATGTACAATATCATAGATAATGTAGGTGATTAATAACTTCCTAACATTTTTATCAAAATAGCACAATTTTTATTCCAATATACTTTTTTTACATTGACACATAATTTTCAATAATTTTGGAGAAAAAGTGAATTAGGTTACAATTTGTTAAATCATTGTTAATGCTTAACACAGAACTATGATGCTAGAAAATTCTTTTGTCATGCAGTCCGGGAAAACAACACAAATTACAAGGGTACACAGAAAAAAATGTTTTTCCATTTGAATTTAGAATAAGTTCTCCCTATATGCTATCTTTTTCACATTAAAATTACACTCCTTATTAAATGTCCACAAACATGTTATCCAAAACTTCAAAAGATGTGCTTTATGACATACAGGTACAATTGACTTGAGTGTGCAAATGCAATAAATCAATTTTACTTCAATTCACACTGAGTTTTTGTGTATCAGATTGTGTTAGTGTTATTTAAAGCCAAGCATCACCAGACCTTCCCCTCTCCTGTTTTTATCAGGATCCATGCTACGAAGCTTGAGGCTTTCTATCATTTTAATCGTGCCTCGTATAGAACCATCATCCTTCCGCATCATCACGAACCTGAATATGGAGGATATAACGTAAAATGGTGCAGAGTAAAAACAACAATAGACAGTTAGAATAAACACTTGGGGAATATAAAATATAATGTCCACACAGTACTGGAGGTTCATATAAAGCATGTCCATTCACAATGTGGAAATGATGAACTAAAATAAGATGTTAGTAATAAAATGCAAAAGCATGCCTTCAAGAAATATTGCTTGAGTACAAATAAAGCTGCAAATGTAAATAATGCATCAAGTTCCCCATTTGAGTAAACAAGAAAATCCAAGCAACATTTCTCCCTGAACTGTTTTGTAACAACCTAATACATAGAACTGTGTAATATACAACATAACAGGGTAACATGCCGTCATGCTAATGGTACTGTTTGCTTTGTTTACCTGGTTTATACTTCACTAACTCTCTCCTGTTACTGTAACACATATCAATAAACAATGTAAAAAAAGTCAGTAAATCTCCAAACAAGGCACACACACTATTACTTACCCAGCATCAAGGTTTGTCAGGCTCAGATTCTGAGGCCTTAGTGAAAGAAGCAGTACTTTATAGCATGCCTACACATCTTGTATGCATTGTTGTCTTATCTTAGAAATAGTTTCACACTAAATAAATAAATATATGTAACTGTCTTCTAGCAAGAACACTTCGATCACTTACTTCTGTAGAGATTCTCTGAAGTGCAGTAAGGCAAACTCCATCATGGAGAACTTGCCGTCTTGAATGGCGGTGCCTTGACTCGTCTCACTCCTGTTGTCAGCATAGCCATCCTGGAAGACATCCACAAACTTAGCATACACATGTAGGTTAGAAAAAAAAAACATCTTTAAAAGCTACATCTATATCCTTTATAGTGGAAAAAGGAAATGTTATACATGTACATAATTATACAGATGTTAATCTGAGTCTAGAGTTGTAAGATTTCACACAAGTATGAAGCTGATGTTTTATATATAGATACCGACCCTGCTTGGAGGTCTGATCATCCTCTGTATTGTGTGTTCTGTTAACTGAGCTTTCATGCCCCCTGACCTCTCGACCTCATGTCTAGCCAAAGGTCGCACATACTCAGCAGGGAAATATCCCAGCATTCCATTCAAGGATCCATACAGCCAACCTGTCGATATGGAAGTAAAGTTTTAACATATGGTTTTCAGAAACATACATCTTTACCTTACAGATATCTGTAGAGTAGAAATTTTCTTCCTTACCCTCTTCTAATGCCATTTCTGGATCTAGCAGTTTGATGACCTCATTCCTTGCAAAGCTCAAGAGTGTGGACTCTCTGGTGATGTAATCCTTTACAGCTATCACATACTTGTTGCCCTGAAATACATAATCATGATATAAAACATGCTTAATATAAAATAATTCTTCCAAGTGTTTTAAAACATGCAGTAGATGATACTACCTTGTCTGCTTCTTGAAGATACAGATCAATCATCTCTTTGAGCTGTGAGGCCTGTAATGAAATCATACATTTAATTTTCATTTCTGCTAATATCTTCTGAGTTACATAGTATATACATCTAAGATTTGGTGGTGAGGTTAAACCTGACACGTACCCTGTTGGTGAAGAGAACCACAGATTTGTTCTTCAGATTTATCTGAATGGTGTCCCTTGTTGGCAGCACTGCATCAATAATGTCCTCAAAACTGTAAAACAAACAGACAGTCTTACTGAAGGCAAGTTAGTTCATGTAAACTGCACAGTATGACAATATGGTATAGGTGAACTATGTATACTGAGGCTAGGTACTGACTTGTGATGCTCCATTACATCCAGATAATCCTCCACCAGGGAGCGCTCCCGAGTCAGGAAGTTGATGCCATTATGGTTAACCCCCACGTAACGAATCCCTCCATACTGACCTTGACCCTGAAAACAATGAACACTAATGTTGCACTTAAAAAGTCAAAATATCAAGCTAATTTAAAAATATATATGGGCAGAATAGAAAATATTGTTCTAATTACTCTAAAATGGCAATCTATGGTCAAAGGATTTGTCTTCTTTAAATGTCAGAAAAAGAAGTACATGCAAGAATTAAATAAAAAACACACTGAACATTTAAAATTATATAAATTTTGACATCTTACAAAGATTTATTCTAAATTACTAATATTTACTGTGATTATAATCATTGCATTGTAGTTAGAAAGAATAGACAGGTATGGTAGATTTTACACATGTAACTTCATACTTACCGCTACAGGGAATAACTTGGCAAAATAAGTCGGCCATTCTTTGGCTGTGTCTACTATTATCTTTTTCACTTGATTCTTAAAATTGCCACCTAAATAGTTATCTTTGTTGATTCCATAGCTCTCTACAATAAAGGAAATTTATGGATAATAATGAATGAACACATTACCTTGATCCATATGTAGTCCATAATGATACCAAGCAATGTCCTGAATAATTGTTTTCAATTTCCTGTGCTAATACATGTTTAACCATAATTTTACTATAAATTGATTTTACTTCAATCAATCAATTTAAACTTCATCTGGACATCAATTTTTTTGTACCATTAACATGCTTTTGACCCCAATCCCTGAAATTCATTCAAGTGTGAAAGAACTACTCATGTGTTGAAAACTATCAAGATATGAAATCGTTACAATAAGTCAATGACATTAATACCCACAATGCCTTGGGGGTCACTTACCCAGCATGCCCCTCATTTTGATTCTATCCTCCTTGTTGATGCGGACACACCCTCCGTTGTAGACATCCTGCACCACCTGACAGAAGACTAGGTGGAGGGCCATGGGGTTCTCTAGCCGCTCCCTGGGGTGGAATACCTGGAAGATCAAACATCGAGATAATACAGTTACAAGTACGGAGACCTTTAATTGCTTAATCCATTTACCTGGACCTATCTATCTGTAAATAGCAATAAATATCCATTCTGTTTATATCCTCAAGGCAACTGCTCATTGAAAATTAAACAATCAATTTATAAACTAACTTCCCCAGATATTTATAAGAGACACACAGTATCTTAAATTCTTATCACTCCAAAGTGAAAAAGAAAATTAACTTCATGATGATCAAGATTCATCACAGTTGATACCTCTTGTCTGATATTGATGCACAGTGGCATTTCATTCATTGTAGAATTAGGATTCACCATTATAAAAGGTCTACTTGGGTTCATCATAATTCTTAGTATTTCCAAAAGCAAATCACCAAATGAAACATCCAGCAAGAAAACTCTACATTTCTAAATAAACTCTATCCACACAGCTCCAATATTTTTCTATCACAAAACAATGTGTATTGGCCATATATAACATGTCATTAGCTTCTATATAAATGCCATAATTGTTTCCCAGACAAGCAACCAATCATCTTAAATCATTAAGAACAAGGGCGTGAGGCCCAGTACATGCGAGGGGAATCCAGTGTGAGAGTGGCCGCTGTCCAGAATCTGTGTCCAGTGATACAGGGCCCTGGCAGTCTGTGGGCTGTGGAGACAGGTGCCCCCACTTCTGTAGCTACTGGTGCCATCCCCACACACATATAGGGACAATAAACACATCACCTGATGGCAGTCACTACAGAACAAAAAACACTGACCACAACACTTGTTTGACAACAGATATTCATTAGTGGTAAGACCATATCACCTTAACAACACTTTTCCTACATAAACAGTATGCTTTTTGGGCTTACTAACGCAGAAAGAACATGGAAAAAGTAAGCATTTATTTCAATTACATGTATCTTGCTAGTGAAAATTCCTGGATATAGACAGTAAGACCACACCAGAGACAGACATGATGACCCCCTTTCATGTTAAATTCCAAAACAAGTTACATCAACTCTACTGAAATTTCCTTGACAACTAGAAAACTGACCAGTCAGCAAGGGCCCCGCCATGGGTTTAAAAAATTATTTAAAAATATATGAAGAAATAAGCAACAGCAACTGTATTCTTAAAATTTTCAACATAATTCCTGAATATTCAAAAACCTGTTATTAATATCCTTGTATATTTACATTTGGCAGTTCAGAACAACCTAACATTGAATGTATATATAAACAATAACGAAGTTTGTATTAGTGATATATAAATTGCCAGTCTTCAATGAATGCAAATACAATTGTACATGTATCATGAAGGCTTGACCTTAACTTCAAAACATTAATTAACAGCAGTTGCAGACAAAGGTTTTCATTAATCTTAAAATGACGGATAAAGATAGGCTTACTAAATTTTCTTCAGCATGCTAGATAATTAATCCCAAGGGATTAATTGTACCTCTCTCATCATTTTCTTCTAAAGTTACAATAAGAACTTTTCAGTATTAATATTAGAATGTTTTTTTTAACCAACTACCTTAAAAATTGATATTATTCTTGAATTTACTTAAAGAAAAAAAAAGTAAAAATAAAAGATACGTCTTTTTTAATCTATTTCTTGTTTTTAGAATTTAATGAAATCATAACACATTGTGTAGGGTATTTTAACAAAAATAAGGAATAAACATTTATATCTAAATCCACAGTTTAGAGTGTTCATAGCATTCCAAATTGACTGAACTTCCAAACAAACTTCATTTGCAGACAGAGGTGGTAATTAATTTCAATGTGACAGATAAAGATAATGCTTTGGATTTTCTTCAGGAGGAAAGCTAATAAAATCCCAAGGGACTCATAGCAGCATTCAGTTTACAATGTAAACATCTTCAGCAGTTATCTCTCTTTGCCAAAGCATTCTTACATAAAGTTAAGGAATATACCCAACCACCCCAGCTCCAAACCAGGGTACATAGAGAAACAAACTTAGCATCAAAATTTGTCTTTCTGCCTATTGAACTACCACACAAAATTTGATCTTAATTGGACAACCATAAAAAAAGTTATAAGGAAAAAACAGAAAATTTGTGGACGGAAGAATGACAGACGGACAGACAGAGTGATTACTATAGGGCACCCGCAAATCCTTGCGGGGCCCTAATGATGCCACAATAGAATGGATTGTTATCTGAGAGATCCAGTAAATGTTGGCATGTTACCTCTTTCCTCAGGTTGAGTGTCCAGGGTACATTGTGGTAGGCTAGGTACTTCTGCTTTCCCTGGGGGTAGAGGCGTGTAACGACCTTCTCTAGCTCTGTGTAGTTTATCAGGAACTGGGGCTCCTTCTTCTTCACCGTGACAGTCTCCAGGGTCTGGGTGGGGGGTGGCAGGGGAGGAGGGGCAGATTTCGGCAAGGGTGGGGGCTCTACAGATAATTAAAGTTGAGTTAAAATAAAGAAAAATCTAGGTCTATGTCATGCATACTTAAGGACTAACAAACATTTTTAAACCAGAAAACTTAAAATTATAACAATTTACAAAATTATATTTTGAAACATACAAAAATAGAGAGACAATCTTTAAAAAAAATAAGTATGGTCAATTTATGATAATGAATCATCATCGATATCTTGTATGTTATTGAATTAATGGTACACTCTTCTGACATTAAGTTTGATGAATCAGATCTGTAAAGCTGTTAAAAACTGGCTTCAGCAAAAGACAGGATAAAGCATTGAGGAAAAAAAGCTACAGGAAAATCATCCATCTTGATATAATTATTGCTATACAGTATTTTTAATCAATAACAATGAAAATGTCAAAGATAATAATAAGTCATTCCAGACGGAAAATGATATGTGTTGTTGTAAACACAACATCATCATGAAAGTTATAAAACTTATTCTGTGAAAAAAAATTATCTAAATATATATGCCTACTTCATCAAATGTCCAACATATCTATAGATGTAATAATGAAGTGTTAATTTGTGTATAGTTGTAAGTGCATTACATGACATTAATATGCCAGGTTCTGTAGTAAACTGTCCATAAACTGACAAGTGGACCGATTGACTACTATAAAAAGGTGCAGGTGTACACTAGAATGCTAAGGTGCAGCATAGGTAGCCTAAGGTAATGCTCAGTAGCTGTAGGAGTTACATCCCTTAGTATATAAATCACAGCACACTAATGTAACTGTAGGAGTTATGTCCCTTAGTATATAAATCACAGCACACTATTTAATGTAGCTGTAGGAGTTATGTCCCTTAGTATCACTATCACAGCACACACTATTTATTATAACTATGAACCTTGTTCTTCCTCAATCTCCTCTGTCTTTGGAGGTTCTGGTTCTATAATAAAATATTTGTTGTTTGAGATTAATTTAAAATATTCAATTTATCCAGTAAATGAATCTTTTAGTTTAAATACTTGAGCAAATCCTATACTAAAAAAAATGCTTTGTGTAACTAAAATGAATTTTGCACTTGTTTGCTGTAAATTATGCTATGTCATTGAATTTAAAAATTTGAAAACAAAGCTTTAAATTCAACAAAACAAAGCAGAGCCTCTACTGATTAAAAAAAAATCATATTAATTCATAAAACAGCAAATAACCACTCCAGCTTCACCCAACATAATGATCGTCAGTATTTTGTTATTTAAAATGTCTTTAAAAAAACAAACTTATTCTAGTTTTGGTAATTGTTTTGATTTTCAAAAATTTAAGAAGCAATCTGACACAATGTAAAGAAAGTAAAAAGTTTAAATAAAAGGCTAAACCATGTCCTTATTTCGATTACGTGTAATCAACTCTTTACAACTACCGGTAAATAAATTGTTTACTTTTAAATACTCATATCAATGCATGTCTACAAAGCAATATGTGCAAAGGGCAGCCAAATTTTCTTTTCCCAGAAATATGTAGAAAACTAAGTAAGATTTGTTGACAGTGCAGGACTAGGTGGATTGATTGGTATTTTGTGAGTTGTATTGAGGTGCGTGTACTGTACCACGTTTGATTGGCTGAGGAGGCAGTCTCAGTTCTATGACTGGTTCTAAAATCACCAATCATTACTGTTTTAGTTTGTGAATGTTGTTTTAAAAGCATCTTTTGCATGCATCAAAATTTAACATTTTAAAGCAATTTTCACACATTTCAGAATTTTTTTTTCAACTTGAAATTGCAAACATTTAATTTATCATTTAATAATTTCATTTATCAGCGCTTGGCCTCTATTATATATAAGTATATTTATGACTGAAGTTCAATTCAATGTCAGAAAGAAACAATAAGCAGTAGAAAAGCATTGTAGACTAGTACCCTTTTGTTTTACAGGTTCTGGTGGTTTAACTGGTTCTACAAAGTAATGTACAACCTACTATAGGCAAAATCAACAATGGCAAAGAGAAAAATTGCAAATACCAGGTTAAGCTTATTTCTTAATTTCTGTTCATTTTTTTCTAAATTTTATATTTTATTTTTATTTCATTTTTATTTTTTGTTGGTATTTTTGTTTTTAAAATTCAATTCATTTTAAGACAACAAAAACTTTCCAGTGATATCTTATTTGTTGATTTGTTGTTTATAGTGCATTGAAAAATGAAGCAAAAATGTCAAAAAAAGGTGTTAAATAATTTGTACCCGGTGGTTTTGGTGGAGCAGGTGGTGGACCAATATCTACAATGGGAAACGATTATAGCATGCAATCAACATTCCTCATTTAGCAAATATTTCATTGTACTGCGAACACCAAAATCCTGAACTAAAACATATAATACAAGAAAAGCTTTCCTATAAGAAGATATTACACCTCCAACATTAACATGCTTCTTGGAACCTGTGTCTATTATACTTTTTTTTTTACCCAGTTAAAGCCTGTAACTGACCTTGAATGATTTTTGTGGCGATGATCTCCTTCTTCTCATTCTCCTGTTCTTTGTTTCCTCCCAGTTTCTGCTCCAGCAGTTGAAGAGTGGCCAGGTGGACTGACTCCGCCAGAGACTTATTCTTACGCTCCTACAACAAACAAAAATCTGTGACAGGCTGTATCACTCTACAAATTCAAAGTTCATGTAATTATATTTACACACTCTTGGTCTAAAATGATTTCTTATAATTACAAATACAAATTGCAATGACTGTTAAAATTTGTAATGATGCAATAATTTTTGTCAGTAAAGCTTACTGACCTTTTGTTCTTCATTTGGAGCTTCTGGTTTTTTCCACTGTTTCTTGGGGCTGAACCTCTCATGAAGATTCTGTTTCACATTTTCATCAATTTCCAGACGACCAACTTCTCTGGCCCTTTTCTCTTCCTCGTGGGAAGGCGGAGGCCAGACAACCTTGCCGATTCTGACAGTTCGAGCTCGGCCTTTCTTGTCAGTGAAAGTAAACATCCCTTTCTCTCGATCAAAAGAATCTTCTGTGGTTTGCAAGACGGGAGGAGGGGGTGGGGGTGGAGGGGGTGCAGATTGCATGCGGGGGCTTGTCAGCTCGTTATCCTGGTACTGAGGAGGAGGAGGGGGTGCTGGGGCGGGAACCATTCTGACGTTAGATTCCTTTCTCTCAGAGGATTCAGTGTTGATGGTCAAGCCCTGGGTGGGGGCTGTGCTTACAATGGGAGCGACACTTGGCTGTCCAAAAGTCTTATGCTCAGTGTGTCCCTCAAACTGACTCCTCATTTTGTAGACTTTTTTAGGGACACCAGTACTGCTGACCTCTGCTGTTGAGATAGCCGAAACAGGGATATGCATTCCTCCCTGACTGTTGATTTGGCCCCCTTGTGCATTAACCACAAATGGTTGTGTAGCAGATGTCATTACCATACCACCATTGATCTGCTGTTGGTCCCTGGGTGTCACGACAGGGAATGGACCCACAGAATTAAAGCTGGAGGCGGGGCTTACAAGGTTCTGGGGGGTCTGCTGCTGTTGCATCTGTAGGAACTGCTGTTGCAACATTTGTTGCTGTGCTGACTGTAGGAGATTTTGCTGTTGCTGTCTTTGTTGCTGTTGGAGTTGGGCCTGTGCTTGTGCTTGGGCCTGAAGGTTTGCCTTGAGAAAAATAACAAAATACTGCTGTACTATTCAATGTTTATCAAAGTTACATGCGAGTCGTACTAAAGCCTTATGTCAATAAACTTTTAATTAGTTAATTATATATTTTTTGAAGCTTTATATGATGTGTGAATTTACCATCTGTTGGAGATAGGCATTGTACAAGGCCTGTTGCTGGGACTGCTGGGCCATTTGCTGAGCAGCTAGTTGTAGAGGATCTGAAATTTTTTTTTATTTAGAATTAAAAGTATAATGGCTGAATTCAATCAAATTCACTGATCATGTGCATTACAATAGCTTATCAGTAAAACCATTCAGTAAAACAATAAACAATCGAATTCCTTTATCTTGCATGTCTCTCAATTTTTAATTCTGATAATTTTCCTTATTAAAGAAAACAAATTCTATAACATACCATAAAACATGAAAACCAATCATTGTCAATAACAAACATTCCTCTGAATTGTCCTTGATAAAATAAAGTTCTAATGAAGATAGGCTACTACATAAACATCACAATTAATTAAGGTTTTATGTGAAAGGAAGCGTAAGAAGATAAACATGCATCATGGGACGATTTACAACCTTGCGTCAAGTGATGCTTCACTCCCCGTTAAATGCGTAATGTCTGATGCATTCCTCACCTTTGTTATCTGTTATTTTACTTTCTGTCATATTACCCCTAACAGACAGTCGGCTTATCAGTGACTCATAAAAACATTATCATCAACAGTATAGGCATCTCAGATTTACAGATTTATCAGAAAATTTTAATGCTTCCTGTGCAAACTGCAAGATATGTCGAAATGGGTAACGCTTGGTCTTTTATTATACATTTCAGTACAAAACACGCTAAAAAGTACTCTGTAAAATTTACCTATAATAAAGCATCCTTCAAAAAATTATGAATCCCTTGTCAAGCTTGCCAAAACATAAGGAAACTAGATAATCGTGTCTACCGGGTACTTATCTTATTCGCCCTGTAAATTCCAATCAGTACTCACTATAATCCGCTTTGCCATCTTTTGCCCCCACTACGACATGAAATCCGCGAGCCTGACTCACTGGAGTCTCACACTGAAACACTACAGACTCGGTCTGTTCCTCCTGATTAGTCCCCATAGTAACGAGTGCTGGCGTTCTGTGTCTGACGGAACAGAGAGTTGACCCAGGAATGATCACCTCCACAGGTGACACTCACTCTGGCCCGCCCTGCGCTTTGAAGCTGACAAACACAATGTTTCAGGACCTCCTATCATTCATCACTGGCTGGGCCTGACCAAATAGCCTCCACTTCTACGTGATAAATAGGCCTCTACATGACTCCAGGGGCCAATACTACATCAAACAAAGGGATTCTACACACCAAAAACATCTCGGCCTCACATTGCTTCCTAACACTAATACATCTACAGGGCAATATTTGACTGCAGCATAATTAGAAAAATTTTCAAGGGAAGGGTTGGTGTTGAATACACAACTGTCAAATGGAGGTCAAAGTAATACACAATATAAGGTCACTGCTACAACACCTTCAGGGAATAGAACTAACACAGATCATTAGCCGAATTCTAACACCATCACATGTATCTGATCAAAAGTAACAATCAAATTTAATTGCAACTGGTCAAAATTAAAATTAGTCTTTGTAGGTGGGTATGTCATTTTTCATATCGGAGATACCTCTCTTAAATTTACAAGCATGACACATTCAGTCTGCAACAGAATATGGTAATGCATGTCTCATACAAATGCTTTTCTATTAACTGCCAGTTACAACATGGACAGACCATTAATTCAATCTCCTCATGAACTTGAAGACCGTGTCAATGAACTCATTAAACCTGCTCCTTCAACACATAAATGACATAAAAATATCACAACTTCATACACAAAGAGGCAACACCTTACCATTAACAGGAACCACAGGTGGGGAAGTGGGGATCATTCCATTGGGCTGTAATCCCATATTCAGCAGTGGCAGGGTAGCAGGAGGAACCGGGGCTGGCTGGACCCCGGGGCCTGGAACACCTTTACCCCCTCCCTTCAATCGATTCTCCAGAGTATGAGCATCACTCAGGGTGTCCACATGCTCATTGAGGGCGTTGTTAAATACATCCTCCACCCAGTGTGACCAGTCTGACTGACCAGTGGCTGCAGAGATGTCGGACGCAGCAGACACACCCTCCAGATAACGATCCTGATTATGTTTCCTGGACACTCCAATCCCCGGGCCGTGTCTTCTGATGCGTTCACGTTCCTTTATGATAACTCCAGATTTCACATAGCGGGTATTCAGTTTAGAATGAGGACTGAGGTCTTCATCAGTCACAGACCTCGGGGTACCAGCTCCATTACTGTGTACTCCATTCACATATCTGGTGTTTAACTTAGACTTTGGGTCCAGTCCAACCACTTCAATGTCCTCTACAATAGGGGTTATATGTCCATTAGGTATTCCATTGGAAACACCATGTCCATTCGTCGTCGGTGGACTGGGTGCCTTTCGTTTGTTATATCTCATGTTTAACTTAGATCCCGAGAGTCCATCCATCATTAACTCTGTCGGTCGCTGATTGAGAACACTTGTCATAGAGAATTCGATTCCATCATCATTTTCCTCCATGTAGTTCTTCCTTGGAGTGAATGATCTGGATTCGATGCGGGAGTGTTTCACTTCCAGAGGCTGAGGTAGGGACCGCGTTAGTTTCAGGTATCTCTCATCGTCCACGCTATGTGGGCTGAAAGGCATGATAAAAATGTTTTGTTAGCTCAGTAGCTCCCACCTTTTGTTTCCAGGCTATTACTACCCTGGCAAAAGATCAAATCACTAGACCATAAATTATTTTATCATCTATTAAAAATTTCTTATTTCCTAAATGCTTCAGTACATCACAGTCAAAACAATCCTAAATGTCTAAAATAAAAATTTCTTTGGAATTTGTATTTAAACCTTGCTGTGTCCCTCCCTCTGGTACTTACGAGTTTTTGTAGAGGCCTCTCCTCATTGCAGGAGGTTCCCTGGTCCTGTCAGACGTGGCGAGGTAATACGACTTACAGTAGGGGAACCCTGGAGGGACCTCCATCTCACTCAGAAGGTCAAGGACGTAGTCGTATCCCATAATCTCGTAATAATCTACCTCCTCCTGGACCTGGACGGTCCAGCCGTAGCTGTTCTCCTGCAGACCCCTGTAAACGTCAGGTAACATATATAATTAATCAACAATTTACGACCAGTTATTGTTGGTCAATGTGTTCTAATAAACTGACCGTCCCTCTCACCTTATGTTCAACAGGTGTCTGGCAAACAGTTCAGCATTTGTCCAGGATTCCACATGGCCAATCATTTTGTGACCTAAAAATTAGAGTTTTTCACTTACTTGTCATGAATTTTGCTAACCTATGTATTGATATTGTATTTTTTAAAAATCTCCATATTTTCTTTTTTGCTAATGTTTATCAGCTTACCATCAGGGAACTTAGCCTCAAGTGCCATGTTAGCTTTCTGTTGTATGGCCCTCCACTCAAGTAGACAGGGAGGGTAGACTCGGGAAAACTGGGGCTCCACGTTAGCACACTGTAAGGCCTTGTGTTGACACAGCTGCTGGTGCCCCTCTAGTCCAATGTCTGACACAAATCTAGGACAGGGAAAAAATTATCAATTCCACAATCAATCAATAATCTAACATTTCTTTAAGTTCAGAAAACAAATCTTCCAACGTCATGTACACCAAATTTCTTGTAAATAATTCCCATCTTACATCAAAATCTGCTGTGTACAACAAAAAAATTCTTGGTTTCTGCACTATGATCTGAATCTATTCTGCAATCTAGGCTAAGCTTATCTGTTTTAAGGACAAAACAATGTTTCCCAGAGGAATAATTCTTACTTGATAAGATATTTGCATAATTTTTTGCTGGGCGGGAAGGCACTAAGACAGGCAGCCATTAAGTTCCAGGCTTTTTCTAGGGCCCCAGGATTCTGGTTGTTCCAGCACTGGTTTGCAATTTGACTGTAAATTTCATCCCTCAAGCCTTCATGTTGTAGACCCTACATAGAATTCAAATGCCATCAAAATAAACCAGAAAGCCCTGTTTGACATTGCATGATATGATCTTAACATTTACAAGAAGAAAAGTTGAGGAGGAATAAATTAAATACCATTTGAATAATATAATCCACCATGGCCTTTTCCTGGCGATCTCTAAGATTTCTATCATACATCAGCCGCAGGATCTGAAAAAGCATTAATCACAGTCATGTCTATGTATGTACATATAGACAACTTTTATTACATTATAAATCAGTTTCACACCGATCTGGTGAGCGGTCCTTACCAGTTTAAATACAGCCGCAGCAATCTGATTTAGTTCTCCTCCTGTTACTCCTTGTGTGAGAGAAGACTTTATTGGTGTCATTGTAAAACCCCAGTTTGGATCCTAATAAACAATACAATTTTAAAGATTTTACTTCAAGAAAGGCATTAGAGAGGTTTACCATTAACCAAAATTGTCATATTCTTAAATCTGTTGAATTTCTTGTAATTCAGACACTACTTATTAGCAGAGAACAGGAGTTATGCAATATGTTTCTTTACATGGAAACACCAAATACCTTGAAGAAGACCCCCGTAAATTTACTGAATGGGAAAGCGTTGATGTCCTCTGGCAGTTTGTAGTGTTGGTCCATTTGCTGGACGTCCTTACTGACCGTAATGATGTGCCGATCATTGTTAATGGACTGCCAATCTGTACAAACGTAAATACGGAGGTGTTACTTATCAATAAACTGCACACTAATGGATATACCTTGTGATACTGCAATACTTACCATCCAGCTTGTTGTAAACAAAGGCCAGCTCTCCTGGAATGTCCAGGTTTGTGATGGAGGCAATTTCACGCTCCTGACGGGCCTTAAACAGAACACAATAAAATTAAATTCTTTTAACTTTTTTACTCCAACATTTTTATAAATATAGTTCTTAAATTTCAATGAAAACTCAATAAGTATGAAGTTCTATAAGCAAGACTACACACCATCAATGAATTCGAAAAACTGAATAACAAACAAACTCAAATATACAAAGGTTGAAGATAAACGTAGCGGGGTCGAGCAAAATACCTGTATCTTATAATTCACCCCGCTAAAAAGACAAGTTACTGATGGGAAATGTATCGCTGAGACAAAGTGGCCCGCATATTTGAAGGTAGGATCTGATATCTATTTACATGCTGGATGCAGAGTTGTATGGATCAGATTACCACAAAATACAGCTGTCTTCTAAACAATGACAGATGACAAAGAAATGATATAGTGTCAGAGGGTTCCCTTAAGTTATACATGTACCATGAATGCTTTTCAATTTTCTTCATGATGAAATTTAGGAAATTTTTACTATTGCTTAAAAATCTGCTTGTGCATGTACTGATTGTTTGGTGCAGTGAGATCACAGCTAGGACTCTTAATGGTTATTTTTTGCATAATGTGGTAAGCTGCTTAACATTTTACCACCATCAAAAACCACAATCTTGTGGAAAACTTTGGTTAAATGGTCACCATGTGCTACATAAGAAACATAACATTCTTTTTATTACTGCTTTCTTATACCTATATCAATAACAGTCCACTTATTTCTTAGCCAAAAAGAAAACTCGTGCAAAAACATGGACTATTAATCATACATATGAGGTTTGATATTACAATAGGAAAAGGGCTCTCTCTCTCTAATCTACTTAATCTAGATACATATATATGTTTTGTTCATTTTCTGTCATTTACCAATTATTACATGTAAGTCATATTAAATCCTGTAGATGGGTACATAATTGAAAAACCACATATCTTGCACTTTACAAAAAATGTGTATTCACATTTTCTGCAATAGAAAAATGACCATTTGTCAATAACTTTTCAATTTTCTTTTTTTCTCACTTGATTTTCATTGGTGTTTTTCAAAATCTACCTTCTTGAAATAGTTCACCACTGAATTTTTTTAAGGCCTCAAATACCTTACATACCTATGTTTTTTTAACGTGTATGTAATTTTGCCCTTAGTAAAACTTGTAACCTATTTCTGTGCTGGTATAATTATTTGATACACTACAGATGTTAAAATGAAAGTAAAATGAAGAAAGAAAGAAAGAACACCTTTCACAATATCCATAAAATTATATCATAGGCTAAAAGAGCAAAGAAAATTCATAATCTGTTGTACTGGTCCAATAATGTGTTAATATATCAATGTCAGTTTCGCCTTGTCGTACTTCTGTATGAACTAGAACTATAATTCTGATCTTCTCCCTCTTAAGGTGGAGACTTAAGTATCACCGCAGTGACAGTCCCCAGTAAAACTTGTCCCTGGACCGAGGGAGTGAATTACAGTTTGTCTGTGAAGGTTTGGATTCCTGACATGACAGATAAGTGATTCGGATATAAAACAACAGGCTCTGTGAGACAGAGAGGTGAAAAGAAAATCCATCATCCTGAATCTGGTAAATAAAACAGGACCCAACAAAGTGTTCCCTCCTGTTTACCTACATGTAAATTCAGAGGTTAATTCTAGCGACTTTCACTGATCTTTACTGATACTTTCTAAAAATAAAACTTCTAATAAAATAATTACATTCAAAACCCATCAACTTTTTGTGCACAAGTACACTTCCCTTAAACAGGGGCTTTAAAATGCTATTCCCATTTTAGCTATCTAAGAGGTAAAAGGAATACACCATGTTCTTCATAGCTCTACTTAATAGTTATTCTCATAGTTTTACTTAGTCAACCCTCTAAAATAAGTATAACATAATTCATCCTTTGGAGCCAACATAAAACAATAACGTTTACTCAACTGCAATGCACTGAGTTTTTATATCTGTATGATTCATATATGAATTGAGCAACTGAGGCAGTTTGTTGTCCGATGACAGTTATGATAATCATGAACTACCAAGTCAGCTTTACAGGGTTCGACACTAATGCTAGCACGGGACAACTGAATACTGAGGTCGGGCTACCAAACATGTCTTTAAACTTGCCCTGCAGGGCTACAGTAAATTTTACCAATTACTCACTAAGAGCAAGAAAGTAATTATAATTTACACACAATATATCTGATAATTGTTAAATTTATTTTCAAACATGTTTTATCATCATAATTATTATTTTTGTAAGTCAAAATGTTAACTTTAAAGGTGATTCGAAATACCCTATATGATTATAAATATGGAATTTTTCGAATAGAAAAAGGTCTTAGGTACAATCATACAGTGACATATAATTTTTGCCCAAAATACAGGCAGAATGCAGGATTTTGCATCTCTATTTTCAAAATTTCCTTGAAAGCCTTCGGCTGCTGGACAAGTAAAACATGAACAGGGCTAGTACAAATTAGAAATGGCTAGCCCTGCTGACAACTATGGTTTTTAAAGTTAGTGTCGATCCCTGCTTTATGCTTAATTTTTTAGGGAAAAAAACATCTCTGAGTCTCTTAGCTTTTGTTCTTACTTTTTTGGCAAAACATAAAGCCATTGCACTTAATGCTTACCTCTCTGTCAATAAACCTTACTAGTGAGCCAGATTTATATCTATCTTTCTATCAATAACCTAACTACTCAGTCAGCTTTATCCTTATGTGTCAACACAACTAAGTCCTGAGTCAGCTATCCATACACCTAACTACTGAGCCAATTATATAGGAACTAAGCCAGCTCCTATCCATATGCCTAGCTCATGAGCAAGCTCCTATCCATATACCTAACTTCTGAGCTAGTTATCCATATACCTAGCTCCTGCACAAGCTCCTATCCATATGCCTAATAACTAAGCCAGCTCCTATCCATATAGTTACCTAGCTCATGAGCCAGCTTCTATCCATACACCTTGCTCCTGAGCCAGTTTTTATCAATACACTTAACTACTGAGCCAGTTCCTAATCCATATTCTAAGCTCCTGGGCCAGATATTCATACATCTAATGACTAGGCCAGCTTCTATCCCTACACTTAACTACTGAGTTAGTTAGATGCTCACCTTTCGTTCCCTCTCCATCTTGGCCTCCTCTTCCTGTTTCTGCCTCAGCAGACGTTCCTGCTCCAGCTTCCTCTTTAACTCTTCTCTTGTCTGTGAAAAATAGAAATACACTTCACTACAAAAAGACTCATCTTCTGAGTTCTCTGTGTACTCGGACTCGGGGGAATCAGAGTACTCGTCCGAGCATGCCCAGTACATGCTGCTGTCTGGTAATTCCTTGGTGGTATACACAGTAGAGTACATGTTGTCCTACTGAATCCAATGGTTGATGGACAACTGTTTGTTATGCCTGATTAGTCTGATGTGCACTGATCACTCAATCTCGACATGTTACATTGAATTCACAGACTGATTTATGTATATGTTACGACACAACAATAGAACAGCCATAAATACGTAATAAGTATCCTCCATAAAAAAAATGAAAATAATTATTTTATCCCTGCATGCTTCATCTCCTTCTGGAGAAGCTTACATGAGCAAACTTTTAAATTATTTGTGTCAAGTGACACATGAAATGAAGCATTACTCATAACTTTGACTTTTTAACAGTATAAATCTGTATTCTAATTTAATGTAGATAAATGAAGAACCTGTGCTGATGTTATCAGTGTCTTACCCAGTACAGCATGCTACCTCCAGAGGCTTCAGAATGTCACACAGGTGCATTGTCATTTTCCAGGTATCAAAGTCAGGTAAATCATGTTAGTTTTTAAGAACAATGGCTAAATGACCACAATAGTTAGGGTGTGTCCCCCCGAGCCAATGCATGATTAAGTGAGCCTTGGCCCTTATCTCTCACCTGGCTACATGTTCAGCAGCCCCAGGGAGTAGAGCGCTGGGTGGACCCAGTTTACCTGATGGAAAATCTGTATAACTACAAAAATGTCGGTCAGGTGTGAAAACTTGTGTTGCTTACCTTTAGATATCTCTTGCGCTGCCGGAACATTCGAAACTGAGCCTGGGCTTTAATGATTCCATTCCTAACCACAAGGAATCTCTTTCTGTTAAAAAAAAATTAAAAACATCACATGAATAAATCAAACTACACAGAAATGTGTGAATTGGAACACCATCTCTCAAAGGAAGAAAAGTAAAAAAAAAAATAACAGGAATTTACCTGAAAGATTTATTAACATATAAAATGTAATGTTAATTTGTTCTTGCCAGTAATACAAAGCCATACTAGATTTCTCTTGGGCGTCTCCACTTTTAGGCCTTATTTGGTTTATCTCCAAAGATTTAAGACTTGTAGTCTGATACAGCATGTTATGCCAGTGTATGTCAGCATTGAATGTTCCATTCAATTTACTCCAAGATTAAAAATGATTAAAATTTCATTTTTTAATGGACCCAATTAATCTAAGCCAAAATGTTCCTGATTTTTGTCCATCAACAAGAATACTTGCACGGTATAATTTGTAGGCGTTTAATTACTAATTGATGTCCACAAGGTGACGAAATGATTGTCTTCACCTGTCTCAGTTAATGGTCATGCTTCGTTAATCATTCAACAAGTCCATTGAAGATAACAGATTCACACACATAATTGATTACAAATGATTACATTCCATAAAATGTTTGTAAACTTAATTAAAGGTACAGGCTACCAGAAATCATCACAACAAATGGATACAACCTACCACTTGTCAAGATTATATTCCAATGAAAATAACTATCTCATAAAAATGCACTGGAAATGCATTCCAAGCTTTGGAATGGAACCATTTTATAAAGTCAGAAGCATTTTAATTCTAAGCATCTAAAAATTAATTAGAAGGTACAGAAACTTTAAGGTTAATACTGACAGGTATCTGGTAAACAAGTGTAACAGGTTGTCTAATAATTGATTGTAAAGGCCGACTTTTGTTAATGGCACAGCTTTCTTCATTGTATTTGGACTGACTTTATATCACAAACCTTTTTTCAATTAAAGTTGCCATGACACTCTAGAGAGCTCAATAAATTATCTTTCATTAACAGATAACAAAATTAAGGTGGCATATTTTCTTGCATTGATTACTTGATAAAATATTATGGCAAAAGTTTTAAACTTTAAAGGACTAAAGCAACTTAGAAAACTGAAATAAACAACATGTTTATATCAAACATTAAATATTACAAATGAAGTGAATGAATCAAACGTAACTTAGATTTATCAAGAAAAAAATTTATAGCATACTGTCTAGTTAGTTCTCTCAAAGGTTTCAAGCTTATTAAATAGGAAACTATTTTTAAATAGCCTCTAAATAATGGCATGTCCTACAAATCAAATATTAATGATGGAATTTTTAATTCACTGACTGGTACATATGGGGATGGTCGCTCACTTCATCAACCAGTATACTGTACACTGATAAATTTGGTTCAAAGCTTATTTAGGAAAATTAAATTTTTTAATGGTTCATTAAATTTACCTGGCTGTATATCTCTGGATTGCCCTCTGTAAGTTCTGTACGGAAGTCTTGGCTTTGAGAAATTTCTTACGAGCGATGAACATCCGGGCCAGCTTCTGAATCCTGACGATGGCCTCGTCCTGGATCTTCTTGGCCTCGGTATCCAGGACCTGCTCGAGGCTCTCCTTCATAAACACCTGTAGAAAAGATTCAATATCTGTGAAGCCTGTGTTCAAATAATCCCCACACAAAGAATACCTCCACATATCCAGGAAGTTAGCTGTCGGAACAGTGTAAGGGGAGTTTTGTATCCCTAGGGAGGTGTCATTATATTCACTGTCCACAGACATGCCATCTACCAAGGCTTTCTCCGACATAGTGTCAGAGGGTTCTTTGATATATTCATCATCACTATTTTCCCAGTTGCCAAGGTAAAAAGATGCAGACATGTTCTCCTAGTTCAGATCATCACTGTCCGAGTTGTCAAGGTAACAAGAGGATGGAATGTTTTCAGTTTTGTGACTATCATGCTACCAGTAACAGGGATATTCACAGTGAGACAAATTTGAATTTAAATGGTGTCTTGACATTCTAACAACACTTGCTATGAATTTCAAAGCCAAAGAAAAAATTTAATCTTCCCATATTAATGAGCAAGTTTTTTTCATAAATTTCACTTCCTAATATATGTAATATATGCATATTCTCTCTGACAGAAAGTATGCTGTACACATCAATCATGGCAAAATTATCTAGTATAAGTTAGAAAAGTAGACATTAACATAAATCATAAGCACAAGTCATCTGATTTAGCAATCACTACTGAGACTTAGATGTCAAATATAAATTATGTAAATTACTTAATATTGACAACACAGAGAAGTGCTGAAGTGGGGAAGAAATAACAAGAATCGTGAAAAGATGAATGGATCTACAAATTTATCTGACTAAAAACCTGCAGCAGTAATTTACATTATGCTGAAATTTCCACATGTTTAAATTTTAGTTCAACCTTCTACAACGGAAAACAGACAAGAATAAGAGGAGTAAGAAAAGGAGGTGACTGGAAAAATTCAGCAGTCTGAATTTATGTTACATCTCATGAAAATGTTTAGGTTTGGGGGAATATTTCTTAATTAAAATTTTTACCATTACAAATTCTGAATTTATATAACATCTCACAAACTGTAAAATGTTTTTGGTTCGGGGGAGTTTTTTTTTTAAAAGTTGTTCCAATACAAAAGGCTAAATATAAATAGGAAAACCTGCATACAGAAAAGTAAGTCTAATCATACTTAGATAGACATAAAATAAACAACCAAAAAAAAAAAATTCTCATACTTTAAAGAAAATGACCGCATGAAGGGGAAGCAGACTTGCCTATTTAGCAATGCTGTAAATATTAAACATGTAGTAAAGATATATACAGAACCAAAGGGAGATAACTTTGCTCTAACCTTCGTAGCACCTATCCTATACAGGTACTTGTACACAGAGCCCTGGGTGTTGAGGATCATTTGGCACACTTTATTTGGCAGTAGTTTGGAGTTTATGTCTTGTCCATGTAATAAGCAATGGTATCTGTGTGAAAACAGAGATTTTTCAATTTCCTTCCACAATAAAAAGCATGTATTAAAATTTTCACTACATACACATCAAAATTTTCAAATAAATTCTACTCTAAATAAATGATTGTTACTTTGGTACAAATTGTACTAGATAAATGAAACATACCTTGAAATGAAGACAGGGAATTTGATGCGAACAGGGAATCCCATTTTGCGTATACGAATTGTTTCCAACATCCCAGTGTACCTCAGCTGATCAAGTACAACTTGAGTTTCGAACACCATGGGGGCCTTGTGATTGTTGGGTTTTATGCAACGGATGAAAAACGGATTACACCTAGGAAGAAATAGAAAAAAAAGGGTACTGTATAATCCCTATTAACCGCCCCTGCCCCTATAAGCGCCCCTCTAGGTCTTTTTTTAATTGTCAGGAAATAAGGGCCCCCTGTACAGTGATTAAAATCATCTAGAATTGTATCAAAATTAGAAGAAAGTGATAATGAAACTTTCTATCACCCAATTTCTCCAATTTCAGTGGAAAATGAACCATTTAGCATAATTTGGGTGGATTATCTTCACTTTAAGTAAAGATAGACATTATTTTAGTGGTTCTTTGAATTTATTGTTTTTTCAAGATTTTTTGAAGTTAAAATATGACATTAAATATTAGAAAGGGAATACCAAAAACCGCCCCCTTTTTGCAATTTTCTAAGTGCTCGGGGCAGTTACAGGGATTATAAGGTAGTTTTGGTTACTTTATAAAACATATACCAATTCTTTTACAATAATTTTCAAACATAAAGATAACAAGTTTATAAAGAGCAAGAGCCATCTTATGCATAAAATGGCCCTGTACTTATATCAATTAATTGACTATCTCCCTCTTTCCCATTTCATATATCAAAATAAAGTAGACACTTGGTGCTTTCATTTTCTATAATAATATTTCGTTTTGAGAATCCACATATTGGAAAACAGGCTTTGAGAAAATGCAATGTTCTTGAAATTTGCAGAAAACATGCATATTTGACGACCTTCAGCAAAGAATTAAAATATGAGCACAGCCCACGATCCAAAAAATGAAACCTGTTTTCTGATCTTCAGAAACAGAGCTTTCATTATGTATTTGCATATTGTGGATCAGAGGTTGTGCTCTATATAAAATATTGAAAAAATGCTTCAACTTTAGGCCATTTTCAAAGGAATTTACAGGATCTGAGGAAAATGACACATTTTATGACGTCATAATGCATTGACTAGATGTGAAATTACGTCACGATTAATAAATACCTTGTCACCAACACTCCAAGTGATAAATACTGCACTTGCAACCTAAACTGAGCGGTTTTGATTTTTCAGAAATTCTCAGGGCCAAATAAGGCCCAAAGTGGCTCATGCTCTTTTTCACAGAGTAGCAGAGTAGCTTGTACTAATACTGTATACATGGAAATTTTCGCCCCTTTCACCCTCTTCATGATTGGGCAAATTTGAAACAGGGCTAATTCAAAGAACAAAGCATAATTTCTTAAACAAAACTATGACTGGCCAAATTTAAAATGGGCAAATATTGTTCGCAAGTGCAAACGGGTGAAAATAACATGGGCGAAAACAACCCTGTATACAGCTTTAGATTTTTTCTTACTTGGACATATTGTCAATGAGAGACAGGAGTGATTCTGTGAAGCCAGCGGAAATCGTGGGGGTGCGGGGTTTCAGGGTGACATAACGACCAGTGGATTTGCTGAGGGTTTTTGTGATTAGACGATCTCGCATGTCTTTGAACATCTGAGCAATGATCTACAAAGAAATTTAAACTTGACTCGAAAGATTTACTCTCAAGATGTTGTATTCAGCCAAGGAATCACTTTATACCAAACATTTTATTTAATTACACAATATACAGTGAGGCTGAATCTGATGTTCCTTTTTTTAGCCTATTTGGAAAATTTGTACTTACTCTGTTTTTACTTTCACATAATAGTTCTACCACATCACTTCTTAATGTATCCTTGTTCTTTTCCAGAAAATGGTTCACCTGTAACAGATATTGTACAAATTTATGACTTTTGGTTTTAAAGTCTTGCTGATTTCTAGAAGCAACAGAGGGATCTATCCTGTTCCGTTTAATACTCACATTATATCTGATTCTGCCAGCGTAATGCTGTACGTAGAACACTGGATCTGACATCCGAGGCTTTTCATAAAGCTTATTGCTGTCATGGTGGAAATGACACTTTTCCAGGAAAGACATATCAGTGGCCTGAAAATGTATTGAATTTAACTATATACTCAGTTTACTATAAAGTATGCTCTCAGCAACTTTGCAAACTAAGAGTTATCTCCCTTAAAATGCTTTTTGTCATTAAATAATTTGGATTTACTTAGAATTCATTATTTTGCATAGATTAACATTGATTTTATTACTCATAATTTTAGAAAATTGAAATAATAAATAAAAATAATTAAAAATATTAACTTCTTTCTCACTAATTGCTTTCTCTCTCAGAACCTCATCTTAAGAGATGTACATAAATAGTCAGTTATTACCTGTGGGAAGCTGCATTCATCGTCCAGGATACAAAGAATTCCAGTCGGTTTACTGGCTAGGAGGTCAATAACTGGCTGGTTGTCACGGAATTCAATCGTTGACCAATCAATGCCCTCCCGAGAATATTCCTTTTGCTCCAGACGGAAAATGTGTTGGTTAAAGAAGAACTGCATAGTCTCATTGGCATAATTAATACACAGTTGCTCAAAGGTGTTGGTATGGAAATCCTAAAGATCAAAAATAATATGACCATCAAAACTTCCTAAATACAAAGAGAACCTCTTGTGGATTAAAGTTCTGATATATGTCTATGCAATAAAAATATGAAGCTTCCAATAAATTTCACCTTGAAAAAAAATTTACACAAAATGTTTACAAAATAATATTACCTCGAATCCAAAGATATCAAGGACAGCTAGTGATGTGTTCTTGTCGCGCTCTGCTCTACAAATGATGTTGTTAATCCTCTCTACAAGCCACGTGAAGAGGCGACTGTACAAAGCTTTAGCTATAGCATCCCTGTAACAACAACAACAAAACATGAGCTTTTGTATACCTAATAGTTTAAACTATACTCAAGATTCTGTTTCATTAAATTTGGAAAGCCTTCTTCACAAAACCTTAAATAGTCTCTCCTGTGTTTACCTTGCATCAAGAGCTTGATCAATATTGTAAGGTGTCAGCACGCGATCCCCTCTTGTTTCCTAAAATACAAAATAATGATATTTCTTTGTAATATCAGGGACTGCACTTCATTTTAGGTTTAATTTTCATTTTCAATACAGGTCTACATACAGCCTTTATTCTGAAATGTATTACTTACTGTGACTTTGGTGGTGAGTGCCTGTTTTAACCAGTCCTCTGACAGCTGTAGGAGATGTGATATCCACTTAATCTCAGCATCACTACCCAGTAACACTGTGTCGTGGTTAGCGTCGTCCTGCAAGGAGAACCACTGTAACTAGTCTTGTCTTTACATGCATGGTGCACTTGTTTATAAAAGGGGGTGTAACATTCTCTAAAGTAATCATAGCCAACGCAAGCAATGTAATCCAAATTTGAACACTTACATGAATTTTCTTGAAGTATATATTTCCAATGTGCAGAACAGAGGAGAGTATTTTAAATATGGTGTCCTGTTCACTTTTCTCGAAGTTGAGAACATCTAAAGCGGCAGTCAATGCTCGAAAATTCTCATAGTCATCTCTACCAGATATTTTACAGTTTCCTCCCTTAAAGAAAATGCATTGTTCTTTAATTGGTATATGATCCAGTAAGTCTTTATCAATAAATCTTTTAAATCAGGTAAATGTAAATTTGTCTTTAATAACATTCTGTTTCAAGAGAATTAACTTATGCAGAATATTTCAAAATTAAGAGAAATTGTGGGAGATTTTTCACAACGCTTTTATTCTCTGGTGGTTCATTTTGTTTCTGAAACTAAATGTTGATTTACAATACTGTGAAATCACAAATATTCGTGGGGGTTTAATTTTCGTTGTTTTCGAGGTATGAAGAGAACCACGAATTCAAGTCCTCCATGAAATATAAATTGTTAACATACGAAACTACTCAACAATTCTTCATCCACGAATTCAAATCCCCACAAACCAAATTTTTTACTCAAACCACGAAAAATATGTGATTCTACAGTATGTAGAACAAAAATGTCTGGGTATGGAAAAGCTAGCACATAAAAATTAAAATACCTGATTCAGATAAAAATATTTTTCAGCATTTTGTAGACCATATTTGCCCCTCTGTTCTTTAGACATTCCTTCAAGCATCTCATAGAAAACATGGTAATTTCTTTCATCTTGGGCCTGGAAAAGAATCACATTGGAAAATCATACAAGTTTCTGAATACATTCTCTGTATTGCTATATATTTAACATTTTGTGATTATCCATGTTTATGATTCATAAATTCTATAACATGCTTATAGACCAAAGTATGAGGTCAAAATCTGATTTAAAATTTCCTAATCATCATGATTTTTGAGCAATTTTATGGTGTTTTGTGCTGCAGACAAATAGGGAATGCATATAAAGCAATGTCTAAATTCACATTTTTTTAAAAATAAGAAGCTGCTGTGTTTGAATCAAAGAGACAAGCACACTTCCACTTTTTGTTTTTTAAATTACAAATCTACTCAAAAAAAATCTGGAAACATTTGTTCTAATTTGTAATCTTTTTGACTCTAAGTAGCTGCATATAAAAATTGAAATTCTAGCTTTGATACCATGCAATTAATTTTTTAAAACATTTTTAATCAAATTGAGGAATAAATTTTTCACTGCATTCTGATTTTTATGACAAACAAGAGACCAAATATGACCTTCACCAAATTTTGTTTTTTTAAAGGAATTTGATATCAGATAATATTTTCATGCTAATTACAAAATTTAGGTCCATCCAAACCTCTTTTTCCTTAAACATGCACTGATTATGCATAGAAAGATAGAATCAATAAAACTTTGCTGGTTGTCATTTCTGATGTACAATGTGTGCAACTGTGCATCTACACATTTGGATCCATGTTCAATATCTGACTGTTATACATGTATGACAATCATTAATATGTCCAATTAGATTTATAATGCTATCGTTACTGAAAAATTTTACATTTCTATTCTATTTTTTGTTTAATTAATTCAGTGGACATGTTTAAAACAACAGTTATGCTGACAACCTTATCATAAAAGTAAGATGATAAATAATTATTTCAGATGAAATACTAAACAAATGTATGACTAACTCTTGTGATTTATTGCAGCATTATTCTGATGATCCTTTCCAAAACACAAAAAGAAGCACAATTTACCTGGATATTACGAATATTAAATGAAAAACTATGTCAGGACAACTTACCTCCCCGAGGGCCCACCCATAAAATGTTGACAGATGTAGTATTTAAGTTTTATGATTTTAAAATAAGGATTTATAACTCTTAAAATTTTGTTTATGGTTTAATTTTTGGCCTTGTAAACATAACCTTATTGTTTTATCTTATTCGTCCTATGATCATCTTAATCTTTTCATCAGCCTTGGGGCGGTATTGCTATTTAAATTTCTTTACCTCATAAAATCATAGAGCCATGAATGTCAGATATGTTTAAAATGCATATACACAAGATTCAGAATTACAAGTGTATTTGGTCAGAATAATTAATCCACCTTTGTATATAAACACTTGAACTTTGATTACTGTACATTCCATTAGAATCAGTCATCTACTTCACAAGAATATCAAATGAATTAGGGATAGTGATGTACCTAAATTTAAAGAAATGGCCAGATTATAATGCAAAAATATGAATAGATACCATATAAGTGGATTTTTAAGGGAGATGCAAATGTAGTGATTTTTCCTTAAATGTCTGTATTTAATTTCTGCAAGATTAAATTTTAGCAGTTTTGTGATACATACGGAGATAAGGGTAACTTCTGATGTGGAATGAATTGTAAGCCATGTTGAAATTTAATGAGCTCAACAACCTTGTTAAAAATGCCAAAATTGAATCCTTGCTAAAATTTCTCATATACAGTAAACAGAAGGAAAGTTTTATGTTGTTACAAATGTAAATTCTTTCAATCACTTAATTGTTCCTAGTTTGAGTCCAGAAGAATAGACATGCAGTGTAGCAACCTCTAATGATAAAACTCCGCTTAATGATACAAATAGCATTAAGCGTTGCAATTGCAACGCTTAATGCCATAAATTATTGCGTTAATAGCTGACATCATCAACCGCTAATGCTAAATCGCCGCTTAATGACAGAATTATATCATTAAGCGTCACAAATGCAGTGCAACACCGACGCTTAATGAAACAAGCAAATATCGACATATTCGACGCTTAATGATACAAACTAGTGTATCATTAAGCGTTGCAGTTGCAACCCTTAATGATATAAAATTTAGAAATCGCTTGTTATATCTAAGAGAAACAAACATCCACCTTTCCTGAACAATGATATATCACTTGTCAAAATATTTATATATGCCCTTGTGTTATATAAATGGTAATTATTGAAGTTTTACTGTGTTTTCTATCTATTCAAGGGAACGTCGTTAAGCCCCGGTTGTTTAAGAGACAGACAGTCAGATACCTAGAAGAAAGAGATACAAACAAAGGGATGAATAAAATGATATTTAAGAGCCATTCTCTGTAATGACTTGAAATTTTATATAGGAGCTGTGGCACGCATAGTCTCAGAATTTCTCCAAATTCTCTATAAGAAAAGTCATTGATACCCTAAACTGAAATCAGGCAAAAATTGGTTGCTATGCTCTATAGTTACCATGGCAACATGTCTTAAAGTTCGAAAAATGGCAATTTTTAACATGTTTAGAGCCCCATAGTTAACATTTGCGGCAAAGCAAACTATTGGCGATGACTGTTTCCAAAATTAGAAGGTCAGATGTCTCAAATGCATGATAAACATGTTTGGTAAATCAACTATTACATACGTTACTATGGTAACAAAAGTATTCAAAAGTAAAAAAAATATTCATTGAATTTTATAAAGTCATACACGTAAAAATAAAAAGCAATTATAGGATGAAATGTGACCAAATAACAGAAAAAAGAGCCTTGAAACATATACCAAGAACAAAATATGATATTTCATTTTGGTTGGCAATGGTTGCCAAGGTTTTTATACCACAGAGAGCCTTCAAAGTAACATTCTGTATGTTTAAATCTGATCCTATCTTTTAAAAAAGCACATTTCCTTATAACTAATGATCAATTTTTAAAGATGTAGGTGTGCTCCTAGTTTTCCCATTTGAAAAAATTCAGATTAGATTCTTTAAGTAGAGCGTTGCTATGGAAATAAGCAGAAAATATATGCTTAAAAACCTTAAAAATATTTTCTTTCCTTGGATACGTACCCTTAAATGTAGATTCCCAAAACTTTTATGATTGATATTTATTAACAGCTTACCTGACTTTTAATTTTGACTATCATCCAATCTCTAAGTGGATGCAAGAAGTTGGCACACAGGGTTTAATATTGATATAAAGTTCACAAAATCGAACATTTTCCCTTCTTGGTAACCATAGCAACAGTGTTGTTTTCTTCATCAAATTTTATCAATATATGATATTCAACTTCAGTTCTAACAGATAACTACTATTCAAACTGAGTCCTTTAATTTGTTCCTTGATTATATGGCAATTTAATTCTTAATGCAGCGAAAAATAATTCACTTTTAAGCACTGGTACTTTCTTTCCATGGTAACACTGCAAAGTAATAATTATACCCAATTTTTCTTATGGTTTTGGTGTTGCAAGGTCCTAAGGATGCATATTTGCCAGTCTTGAATTTTCATGTTTTTCCTCAAGACAGTAGCATTAACCCAATCTTAGTTACTAGTTTTGCATGGTTACACTGTGTTACCATGGCAACCATAAAAGTTATTTATAGAATAATATTGTTATACCTATATACTTAAGGTCAAATATTTTCATTGTTTTTCTTGAGTCATTGATTGAGTTTGAGCATATAACACCTATCATTAGTGAATACGGAGTGTTTTTCAGCATATTTCAGCATTTTAAATGTATTCCAAATGTACCCTTGGTAACCACTTACTTAAAGATATATTCTAAACAGTTTCTTTACAGTATAAGTGACATCAAGGTGTCATGTTTTTGTGAGAATGGTTTGTTTCCTTTTTCTAGTTTTTATTAAGCCACAGTCAAGATTTAAAGTGGCTGAAAATCTCGATTTTTCAAACTTTTCCGGCTGTTGCCATAGCAACCGAGACACATAGCAACGAAATTTTGTTTGATATTTGTTTCTGGTGTCAAGTACTAAGCATGGGTGAAGTTTCATCAAAATCGGTGACCATGCGTGGCAACGAAGTTCAAGTGGTTACAGAGAATGGCTATTAAATCCTTTTAAAAGAACCATTTTTTTTACTGAAAATACAGAAGCAAACAAGCAATTAAATTCCTTTTAATTTCATGCAATGATTTTAATACTCAACCTAAAATATATACAATGTATTTAAATATTCCAAACTTTGTATTTTAGATTTGATACAGCTTAACACATGTCACTGTAAACGTTTCAGATATACGTATCGAGAAATAAATTTAAAATGTTCACTATAATTGTATTTTTAATCTGCTTCGTTTCTCCAAATTTCGATAAAGAGAGACATTAATATTGACAATTTATGTTTAAGTATATTAAACACAAAGAATACAAATGAATGCATTTACATTGAATAATATATTATTATGAGAAAAGGTTCATTCATCCTTTATTTGTTATCAGTTTTACTTGAATACTTTACTGTGGCATGATTATTTTAGAATCAATTTTGAAATCTAGTACATGTATATAATTATCAAATTATGAAAAACATGTCGAATGAAGTTGATGAAGCTGATGTTTTTAAAATTCTAAATGATGCATACTTCATTTTGTAGTATATTTGCCTGTCTGTCTGTCCGTCTGTCTGTAAACAATTTTTCAAAATGCTACTCCTCCTGCAGTTTTGATCTGATTTCAATATAACTTGGCATACAAATAGACTACACTAAGATACTTAATTTCTGCATCTGTTTTTGATTTCTGCCTTAGTTACTAAAGATAGAAATAATATAATAAAATGCTACTAATACAACTTTTTTTGTGTGATTTCAAAATAACTTAGCTCACATATAGACTATACTTAAATATATCGGTTTTTGATTTCGATCAACGGTGTTGCCGTGGTTACTAAAATAGAAATTTCTGTGAAATTCATTCAAATTGCTAATCCTCCTACAGTTTTAGTCAGATTTTGATATAATTTGGCATGCAA